TCTCTCTTTCCAGGGCAAGAACGTCCTCATGACCGGTGCTGGTGCTGGTTCCATCGGTGCCGAGGTCCTGCAGGGTCTGATTTCCGGTGGTGCTAAGGTCGTTGTTACCACCTCCCGCTTCTCTCGCGAGGTCACCGAGTACTACCAGGCCATGTACGCGCGCTTCGGTGCCCGCGGCTCCCAGCTGGTTGTCGTGCCCTTCAACCAGGGCAGCAAGCAGGATGTGGAGGCTCTTGTTGAGTACATCTACGACACCAAGAATGGTCTCGGCTGGGATCTCGACTTTGTCGTTCCCTTCGCGGCTATCCCCGAGAACGGTCGCGAGATTGACACCATCGATTCCAAGTCTGAGCTGGCCCACCGTATCATGCTGACCAACCTGCTCCGCATGCTGGGTTCGATCAAGACTCAGAAGCAGGCTCACGGTTTCGAGACTCGCCCTGCTCAGGTTATCCTCCCCCTGTCGCCTAACCACGGTACTTTCGGTAACGATGGTCTCTACTCCGAGTCCAAGTTGGGTCTGGAGACTCTCTTCAACCGGTGGTATTCCGAGAGCTGGGCCAACTACCTTACTATCTGCGGTGCCGTCATTGGCTGGACCCGTGGTACTGGTCTGATGAGCGGCAACAACATGGTCGCTGACGGTGTTGAGAAGCTTGGTGTCCGCACCTTCTCTCAGCAGGAGATGGCCTTCAACCTGTTGGGTCTGATGTCCCCGGCTGTCGTCAATCTCTGCCAGCTTGACCCCGTCTGGGCTGACCTCAACGGTGGTCTGCAGTTCATCCCTGACCTCAAGGACCTGATGACCCGCCTTCGCACCGAAATTATGGAGACCAGTGACGTCCGCCAGGCCGTCATCAAGGAGACTGCCATTGAGAACAAGGTTGTCAATGGTGAGGGTAGTGATGCACTTTACAAGAAGGTCGTTGCCGAGCCTCGTGCCAACATCAAGTTCGACTTCCCCAAGCTTCCCGATTGGGATAACGAGGTCAAGCCTCTCAACGAGAACCTCAAGGGTATGGTCAACCTGGACAAGGTTGTCGTTGTCACTGGTTTCGCCGAGGTTGGACCCTGGGGTAACTCGCGTACCCGTTGGGAGATGGAGGCTTATGGCAAGTTCTCTCTTGAGGGTTGTGTTGAGATGGCCTGGATCATGGGTCTGATCAAGCACCACAATGGTCCCCTCAAGGGCAAGGCCTACTCCGGCTGGGTTGATGCCAAGACTGGTGACCCCATTGACGACAAGGATGTCAAGCCCAAGTACGAGAAGTTCATCCTGGAGCACACCGGTATTCGTCTCATCGAGCCCGAGCTCTTCAAGGGCTACGACCCCAAGAAGAAGCAGCTTCTGCAGGAGATTGTTATCCAGGAAGACCTGGAGCCCTTCGAGGCCTCCAAGGAGACTGCCGAGGAGTTCAAGCGCGAGCACGGTGACAAGGTCGAGATCTTCGAGATCCCCGAGTCTGGCGAGTACACTATTCGCCTCCGCAAGGGCGCCAACCTGCTTATCCCCAAGGCTCTTTCCTTCGACCGTCTCGTCGCCGGTCAGATCCCTACCGGTTGGGATGCTAAGCGTTATGGTATCCCCGACGACATCATCGAGCAGGTCGACCCCGTGACTCTGTTCGTCCTCGTCTGTACCGTCGAGTCCCTGCTCTCTGCTGGTATCACCGACCCCTACGAGTTCTACAAATATGTCCACCTGTCCGAGGTTGGTAACTGTATCGGTTCCGGTATCGGTGGTACCCACGCTCTGCGTGGCATGTACAAGGACCGCTACCTTGATAAGCCCCTGCAGAAGGATATTCTGCAGGAGTCTTTCATCAACACTATGAGTGCTTGGGTCAACATGTTGCTCCTGTCCTCGACCGGTCCTATCAAGACGCCCGTCGGTGCTTGCGCTACTGCGGTTGAGTCGGTTGACATTGGTTACGAGACCATTGTGGAGGGCAAGGCCCGTGTCTGCTTCGTTGGTGGTTTCGATGACTTCCAGGAGGAAGGTTCGTATGAGTTCGCCAACATGAAGGCTACCTCCAACGCCGAGGACGAATTCGCCCACGGTCGTACCCCTCGTGAAATGTCCCGTCCTACCACCACTACCCGTGCCGGTTTCATGGAGTCGCAGGGTTGCGGTATGCAGCTCATCATGAGCGCTCAGCTCGCCCTCGACATGGGTGTCCCCATCCACGGTATCATCGCCCTGACTACCACCGCTACCGACAAGATTGGTCGCTCCGTGCCCGCTCCTGGCCAGGGTGTCCTCACCACTGCCCGCGAGAACCCCGGCAAGTTCCCCTCGCCCCTGCTGGACATCAAGTACCGCCGTCGCCAGCTCGACCTTCGCAAGAAGCAGATCAAGGAGTGGCAAGAGTCCGAGCTGCTCTACCTCCAGGAGGAGGTCGATGCTATGAAGGCCCAGTCCGACGAGTCCTTCAACGCCTCCGAGTACATGCACGAGCGTGCCTCGCACATTGAGCGTGAGGCCGTTCGCCAGGAGCGTGATGCCCAGTTCAGCCTCGGCAACAACTTCTGGAAGCAAGACTCCCGCATCGCTCCCCTGCGTGGTGCCCTCGCCACCTGGGGTCTCACCGTTGACGACATTGCTGTCGCCTCCTTCCACGGTACCTCGACTGTTGCCAACGACAAGAACGAGTCCGATGTCATTTGCCAGCAGATGAAGCACCTCGGCCGCAAGAAGGGTAACGCCGTCATGGGTATCTTCCAGAAGTACCTCACCGGTCACCCCAAGGGTGCCGCCGGTGCCTGGATGTTCAACGGCTGCTTGCAGGTTCTTGACACTGGTCTCGTGCCCGGTAACCGCAACGCCGATAACGTGGACAAGGTGATGGAGAAGTTCGATTACATCGTCTACCCCAGCCGCAGCATCCAGACCGACGGTATCAAGGCCTTCTCCGTGACCTCCTTCGGTTTCGGTCAGAAGGGTGCCCAGGTTATTGGTATCCACCCCAAGTACCTGTACGCTGCTCTTGACCAGGCCCAGTACCAGGCCTACAAGAACAAGGTCGAGTCGCGCCAGAAGAAGGCTTACCGCTACTTCCACAACGGCCTGATCAACAACAGCATCTTCGTTGCCAAGAACAAGGCCCCCTATGAGGACGCCCAGCAGAGCCAGGTCTTCCTGAACCCCGACTACCGTGTCACCCTGGACAAGAAGACCTCCGAACTGAAGTACTCCACCACCCCTCCCAAGGAGGTTGAGAAGCAGAGCACCCGCCAGATGGTCGAGTCGCTCGCCAAGGCCAATGCCGCTGGCGAGAACTCCAAGGTTGGCGTGGATGTTGAGAACATCGACGCTGTCAACATCTCCAATGAGACCTTTGTCGAGCGCAACTTCACTGCCTCTGAGCAGGAGTACTGCCGCAAGGCTGCCTCCCCCCAGGCCTCGTTCGCCGGCCGCTGGAGTGCCAAGGAAGCCGTGTTCAAGTCGCTCGGTGTTAGCAGCAAGGGTGCGGGGGCTGCCCTGAAGGAGATTGAGATCGGAAGCGATGCCAATGGCGCTCCCGTTGTTAACGTAAGTTTTATTACCTTCCCTATATAATCCGATCGACGTGATCAGCAACGCTAACGGGAGATCTTCATTTAGCTTCACGGTGCTGCCGCTACTGCTGCCAAGGAAGCCGGTGTCAAGCAGATCACTGTCAGCATCAGCCACAGCGAGTCTCAGGCCGTTGCCGTTGCTGTTTCTCACTTCTAGATTATCAATCTAGAATTGGAGCCAAGTCTGACCCCAGAACAAGATGTATAGAGTTCTCGCGGGGTCTCCCGCTGTGGGGTGTTGATGTTGATGTTGATGTTTGATGTTGACGTGATGTCTGATGTTTTGCATTGTTGAGTTACCATTATCCTAGACGGCCTTGAGAGAGCAAAAGGCAGAGAGACACATGCAGCGAGAGCAAAAAGCGAGAAGACGGAACGACTCCTAAAGAAGACAGACGATTGTATTGTCTTTCTTGAGGGAGCGGTCTCTTAGCTTTGGAAGTGCTTGACACTTCTCTTTTCTCTTTTTCTTTTTCCTGTTCTTTTGAGACGTGACGATTTGTTATTTATGCCTTGTGTGTTTGTCTTACGTTTCTACTTTTTTTTACTTTTTGTTATTAGATTCGGGCCAGCTTCGTCTCCTGGTTCGACGGTGTTTATAATGGGAGTAATGATATGTCATAATTTTCGTTCTAGAGTTTTTCTTTTCCTCTAATTGAAGCTGAAGCTAAAATTCAGTAGGACAATACTTGATGTAGAATCAATCTAGTAGAATAGAAACTGCTGAAAATTGGCTCCTACCTATCCTGCTGCTCCGTCACTAAATAACGTACAGCTACGGCGGTAGTTCAAAAGTCTGAGTCTAGAGACTTGAGAGACCACCAGATAGATATGCTTCTACTTCTTGGTTTTGAAAGGTCTTTCTAAAGGTCTTTTCAATAGTCTTTCTCGATACCTTAGGTATCATTGTTAAGGCTATCATTCAACTTCTGACTGAGAAGATGATTCTGAACATCGGTCATAGTTTACCAAACATATGAAACCCTACTATAATCACACTTTGAACCTTGCAACCCGCGGGTCCCAAAAAGCCGAACTCGATTTGTAAAATTGCACCAGCATCTCCTCTAATTAGCGCACTTGATCATTACCGGGACCAGTCGTGGGTGTATAGCAGAGTGAGATGCATGTTGGAGAACTGCACCGTCGCTTTTCCCCGGAGTTACATCCTTAAATCCGGACTGGCCAGCAACCACCAATCAGGGCTTGGAACGGCACCGTCGATATCCCACAGGGCTGGTGATGGAGATGATAGATCCCTGTCTAGCTCTATAGAGACAGTCTCTGTTTCTTGTCAATTTGTCCGTCCAATTACCAAGCTGCAAGGAAGTTAGATAGATTATCCTAGAACCCCATACCTATTTAAGTCGACACATCGCCGCCATGTCTTGCTTCACCATCATCATTATTCTTCATCTATTCTCCATTGACCCATCCTCAGAATGCCTTTCTACAATACGTATCCCGGCTTTCTCTATCGCCAATTCCTAGTGTGTCCTCCCAAGGCCCCATCTACCACCTCCCTGCACGGCAAAGCCGGTCTAGTGACAGGCTCCAACACCGGGCTGGGCTACCAGGCCTCTGCTCAGTTCCTCGCACTCGGACTGTCCCATCTGATATTAGCCGTCCGCAACACCTCCAAAGGCGAAGCTGCCCGGAAATCCCTCCTCGCCTCACTTCCAGCTTCAGCTAAGCCTCCTCCCTTGGTCGAGGTCTGGGAGTTAGATCTGGGGAGTTATGCCAGCGTAACAGCTTTCGTGGAACGTCTTCAACAATCAGACCTTCAGATCGACTTTGCTCTTCTCAATGCCGGTGTTGCCAATTTTCATTACATCGTGAATGAGTCTACGTCCCATGAGACGAGTATGCAGATCAATTGGCTGAGCACTGCTCTCCTCACTCTTCAGCTACTCCCTATACTCGACCGCCAAGCCGCCCAGTATCCTGGCCAGACTCGTCCGGTGATTTCTATCGTCAGCAGTGAGACCGCTGCATGGGCACAATTTAAAGAAGCACAGATCTCTGTTAAGGAGAACATACCCCTACTCGACGTCTTAGATGACAAGGAACACTTCGACATGGCCGATCGATACTATACCTCGAAACTACTATACCAGCTCTTCTTCCTCGAGCTATTCAAGCGCCGATCTACCAGTAAACGCTCCACGGGGGCCATTCTCAACCTGGTCAATCCCGGCTTTTGCTATGGTTCGGAATTGCACCGCACGGCTGAGGGGGTCTTTGGGAAGGTCCTTGGGGGTATGAAAAGAGTGATTGGTCGGTCAACCTCTATGGGAGCTCGTACACTGGTTCATTCATCTGTGTTGGCTGGTGATGAATCTAATGGCCGGTACTTGAGTGATTGCAAGTCAGCTCCGTTTGCGGGATATGGGGATAGTGACGCTGGTAGGATCACGCAGGGTCGGGTTTGGGATTTGACGTTGGCGGAGTTGAGTTCGGTGATGGATATTGAGGTTCTGTCTGAGATTTGATTTCCCTTTTTTCCTTGAGATCCTGTACTGAAGGAGTGTAATACATAAAGTGAAGTCTGGTAGAGTTTAAGGTCTGACTCTGTTGTTCCAATTACTTATTTCGTCCTAGGCAATTGCCGAGATATTTTCTGCCATTATAACCTATCTAACTTGAGGAAATTTCTCTATCTTGGTTTAATTCTTTTGGGGTTTTATGTGTAATTTACAAAATATCGTTTAAAATATTTTAATGGCTTTCAAAGTCGACATGTCGTACTGCATCGGGCTGTAAAAAAAGTCTGAGGCTAATCGCACGACAACTTGTGCTTTCGCACAATACACAATACTCCTTTTGGATATAGTGGAGAATAGGTATATCTGGAACGTCGATATTAGACCAAAGAAACAGTTTTACTATATAGATATGTAAAGTTGGACTTTCTGTTTTCAGGAAGATCTTTCTAGCTGTCTTTCGAATCGTCTTTCTTGATAGCTTTGGTTTCTTCACGGTCAATCTCGTATAGTCGTGACAAATAAATCATTTTTTGGAAAAATATCAAGATTTTTCGAACGCTACAATCTAAGGTTACTATATCTATCTGTGATAGAAGGCTTTACTCAATGTACCTATTATCTACTATATCCGAAAATAATAGTATGTCGTGCGATTAGCCCAAGCCTCTTTTTATGGCTATATAAGTCAAGAAATGAAGGTGCTGACAAACAATCCCTGTCTAGCCTGGAACTCGGCCATCTTAATGGGCCAAGGGACCCCAGCCTCCGCTAAGAATGACTGCGAGTCTCTTTTGTCAACCTCCACTATGACTTCGACCCCACTCAATGCGGTCCTTCCATCACAAGTATTAAAATATCTACCGACTTACCAGGTTCTACTCTGTCTTCGCTGCCGCTACGCTATCCAACCAGGCGCAGTTGGGCGCTATCTCAAGGAAATTCATCATATTCATCGCTCATCGCGTCAAGCTTTCGTCAAATATGCCTCCCAATATGAGCTAGCCCAACCCAATGATGTCGTCTTGCCTGATCATGGCCAGTTTCCGGTGTCTTTACTCCCAGTACAGGATGTATTAGCATGTTCTTATGACGGGTGTACTCACTTGTGTGCCACGACCAAACGTATGAAGCAGCACTGGAGACTTGTGCACAATACACCCGCCGCAGATGGGAATGATTTATGGAAGTCGGTACCATTGCAGACCTTTTTTCGGGGGAATGCGCTCCGCTACTTTACCAACGCGGCATTCCTGGTTTCAACGCCAGCGGCTTTGTCTGACAGCTCCGATGCCCTGACGAGTGATATATCCGCCCGCACGGGTGAGTGACAGGGCTGTTTGTTCAAACTCCGTCAGATCTTGTACTCCTATCAATTCTGTGATCGCAAGCGACCAAGGCCTGCTCGATCATTATCGAAATCACACCTACAAGACCCTCTCATGTACCTCTGAAACACAAGATGCATTTGGGGTCACTGTCGTAGAGCTAGCCTCTCGATTTCCCTTCCTGCTTCATGGTGTGTTAGCCTGTTCAGCCCTGCACCTCGCTTCCACCGACCCCGATAACCGAACATATTACACAATCCAGTCAATGCGATACCAAGATCAAGCACTTCCCGCCTTCCGATGGGCAACCATGCATGTGGACCTCGGCAATTGTCAGGCGGTGCTGGCCTTTTCATTCTTCCTGGTCATCTGTGCCCTGACCTCCCAATTCAAGGAACAGAGCTTGTTTTTATACGATGACGATGAAAATTATGACCAGTCACATTGGATCAACCTCCTCCGCAACGGCTGCTCCATGCTCTGCCCCGTGTGGGACGACCTCAACGACAGTCCTGTAGCTCCCTTCGCGGCCCTGTGGCGTGACGACCTGAGTGCCACGGCCAATCCCAATGACCCCTTTCTGGTGACTTTGCTATCCGTATTCCCAGAACACGAGCCCGAGTATCCCATTTTACGCGACTCCGCGATGAAATTAGTAGAAGCGTTCGCATTCATGAAGCAACGCGGACAGTCGTCAACAATCTGGGATGCTCTCAATTCATGGCCTTTGCGTGTCATGCCCGAGTACCTAGCTCTTTTGAATCGAAATTGTTCTGGTGCTTTACTACTCTTGGCTTACTATGGGGTTCTTCTGCGTCCGATACGTGGCGAATGGTTTCTAGAAGGTCGGTCCCGGAAATTGATGGATGAAATTGCACGAAGGTTACAAGGGAATTGCTCACCGCAGATCTGGGGATTGTTTGTTGAGATTAAGAATACGTACTCATTTTGATCTTTAAAGAGTCGTTTCCTGAATATTGCATAATATGCATCGTTTGGTCGGGTTAATGTCAATAATAGATTCAAGAATAGATAATTGAATTCATATTATGGTAAGGTTACCGAGTACAAAGTACCCGTACTTTTCTCTTGTTAGCTCCACGCCTATGAGCCCGTCTCATCTGAGGCGTGGCGGCCTGGTTACTGTAAGTGGAAAGTCTGGGTTGCGGTACTCGTGGAATGGGCTGCTTAAGGGTGAACTGCCAAAGGTAGCCTCTAAGCAAGATAGAGTTATGTCACGGGCCTGCTCCAAATTTATCCAGAATGTACTTAAGATGTTCGTCGTGATTCTGCTGTTTCACCATTTCCATTTTCCAGGTCCTCCAATCTGTGTCCCTATCGACGCCAAATGCAGCCCATATACCCCGAATCTGTAGCAGTGTCTCCTCCAAAGGAAGATCAAGGTCAAGACCAAAGAATAATCTGCGTAATCTTTCATTCCGCTAATAATGTCCGCCAAACCAGCGGCACTCTTCGCTCTCAGAAACCCAGAAAACGAGCTAATGCGAGATCATGAACAGTCAAGGATGACATGCCATTGTAAATGCCGGTCATTTCTTCCATGAGTAGATAGCTTACTCCCACCTGGTTATTGATGTCACCGATAATCCCATAATCGAATATCCGAGGTGCAGGTATTTTGGTCGTCTCGAGGAATTTGAGAGTTGCATATTCGCTTCGAATTAGGTAGTTGACGAGTGATTTGAGGGATGCTGCTATTTAGTCGAGGCACTCGAATGAGCCAAACGGAACCATTCTTATCGGCAAAGCGAATCCGAGCATGATAATTAGTACAGCCCATCAGCTATCCGCGCCCCCAGGCTGGTGGGTGTTCAATCTTGCATTTGACATTGCTATTTAGCTCCGATGCACGCTCGCAAACGGCCTTGTCATTGATTTTGGCGCGAAGATTTTCTACTTCAGCATGTATTTTGGCTTCGAATAAATCATCTGGTAGGGGCTAGATAGCTGTTAGACCCAATTCGAGTATGTGTTATAGGTGGGGACGTACTGTGTCATCGCAAGTATGGGATGGCGAGCAGCGATGGTTTAGGCAGAAATGGCGACTGCATCGCTCACAGGGACTAAGTCCCCGAATGCTTGGTAGCAGACAGCCCGCGAAGTCACAAGTAAAAAATCTGTCAAGCATCGAGCTCTTGTCAAGTTGGGTGAAGATTGTATGGTGCGGATTATCCAAGTCACTACTGAGGGGTCATCGGCGGCTAGAACTTCCTATCGTCCAGGACCAATCACTGCACTCAATAATTATTCGATTTGATCTCAATGTCTGGAAGTTGCATATGAGGTCGTGTTAGGGCGCCGATCTATAAGAAACTTTTTGATATAGTATGTCCTCAATGGGAATGTCACAATGCTAAAAGGCGAGTTTTTTGGTATTTACAAAACATAAAACGTACATCTATTGAATAACATCATCACTTTGACTTCACCGCCGCCCGATTCAGCGGCCCCCAGTTCGCCCGAGGATTGAGCTGATACCGCACCAGACGCTTCTTGGAGTGTGCAGCCGATGCCTCTTGGCCCAGCGCGGCATCAAACTTCACCTCCAGGGTGCTGGGATGCGCCTTCTCGGCTGGCCCATCACTGGCAGGCTTCTCCTGTGCATCAGCGGGTTGCTCGTGAGTCACGAAGGAGTGCCGTGATCCGGATCTGTACAGGGAAGCTTCCACCTTGGTAACCAGATCGCTGATATCCTTTCCAGACTCGACGGCGGCAAGAAGATCATTCTTCAACTGTGCTAGCCAGGGGTTCTCGCTGCTGCCCTTACGCAGGTTGTCGCGGCTCTTAGCCATGATGGCCGCGCCGGCAGTACCGGGCTTTAAGGATGCTTCCTTTACAGGGGAGTGTTGGCGGACCCATTCGCGCATGATTTCCCAGACGACGCTCCAGGGGGCATCGGTGCGGATAGAGTTCGGTTTGGCGTGGCTGCGGGTAGAACGGTACCCGACTGAGCGAAGAGCACCACGGAACTCGTCTTGTCCGACGGTTGAGCAATGGATGACCTTTGAGAGTGCGCTCAGGGAGAAGTAGAAGGGGTATGGCTCATGGAGAGCCGGGTTCATGCGTGGGATGATAGCTGGGTAATCTGTCTGTTCTTGGGATTTCTCGGTCCCTTCAGTGTCAGGCTTTTGTTCTTGCTGCTCCTGACCCGCAGACTTGTTGAACGAGGGACTGAGGTCCAAGTCCTCCTCCATAGCGGTGGTGAGCATGCCCTCAATACGAGGGATGGTTTGGTATGTCTCCGGGTCCAAGGTGGGAAGCATATCCAGAATGCGCTGGATGAAGTGGGGGTTATGAAGCGGGCCAGCCCACATCGGTCCCGCGAGATGTGTCTTAAAGCCACAGTGCTCACAGTAAGTATTAGCCGTCGGGCCCAGAGCTAGCTTATAGTGGTACAAGGGGTTTCCCTTGCGATCAAGCTTCTCACCGGACGCAGCCAAGGGCTGGATAGTCCATGCGCCGCATCCAGAATCACAATTATACACAACCATTGAGTTGCTAGCAGTAAACTTGACTTGAGCGGGGGAGCGAGACACGCGCACGAACACACGGGCGTAGAAATCGATTGATAGCGAGAGCAGAGGCTCAATTGCAATGCCGTATTTGGCAGCGGACATGGCCAAACTGTTCAAGATAAGGCGCAAGCCACCTTCATGGGAGTGCAAGCCCTTGATTGGGGAGCCACCGTATAGCGAGAACGCCTTCTCGGCATAGCCGGTCGAAGCCCAGACACCCGCATCGGTGCAGGTCACACAGAGAAGACCACCATCCTTCACGCCCTGAAGGGCTGCATCCAGGAATGGAGCCGCGGTACCGTACGGATCCAAGTCGATCACATCAAATTTGCGTGATGGATCACCGCAGGCGCCGTACATAAAGACACGCGCATCGCCCAGATTCGGCTGAATACGGCCCTGCAACTTGTTGTACTCGATATTCGTCTTCATTGACTTGATGGCAGATTCTGATAGGTCATTTCCCACCACCTTGGAAACTGCTGGCAATTCGGAGGCATATCGGAGGGCACGCAGGCCCGTCGCAGAGAGGGCATCGAGGACTGTGAACGAGGGCGCGGGGGTGGAATCGGGCTGCGCATCTGACGTCTCATTGGGCACGGAAACAGATTCTTCGGTAGTCTCGGGGTTCGTTGCATCTTTGCCCTCTACAGATGACGGATTAGGTGCTTGCTCGTCGGACGAATCCTCACGCTTGCGCTTCTTTCCCTTGTTGGTACCGTTGCTTGCGGCGCGTCTCTTCGACTTTTTATCCGCTTTTTGCTTTTTCACATCCATCGCATGTTCACTGAATGCGCGAATCGCTAGGACACTCAGGTCACGATTGAATTGCTGAATCGGGTTGTAGAAAACTGATTGGCTCTCGTCCTCTTCTTTGAGATCTCTTCTGGTGCCCTTGGAAGCGGCTTCCTGGGCCGGTGGGTTGAGGATATACGCCAGGCCCTCTTTAATCACATTGTAATCGGCTCCCTGGTAGGATACCAGCTTGCTGGTGGGAGTGGTCGAGCTCTCCATGGCTTTCGAGGTATGACAGAACGGTCTGCGGGCGGTCCAAGCAGTTCCGAGTGGGGATAGCGTGCGAATGGTGGTGAATGGCAGATCAAAAGTGCATCTTGGGGCGAAGGCGAAAAGCGACAGACAGTACCGTGGGCTCATGGACTTATTCCCAAGGCGCAAAGAGCACAATGACACCGAGTGTTGGTGGAAGTCGGTCGATCGTCGATGATTTGCGAAAAAAAGATTCCCGCACGGACCATGTGACACTCACCTGCAACCACCTCACAGCTCAGAGCTCCACTATCCACATCCACTCTTTACAACTACAATATAGGGACCTGTGAAATCGACGCCGAAAATGAGAACCTCTGGCGCCAGAAACGGCCGCCTTTCTACCCGTAACTTTAGAAGGCGAGCCGTTACTTAACCGCCCGCTCTCTTGTACTGCCCCGTTTTCCGTACCTAACCAGGACTGTCACGGGCCAGTGCCCGATGTTGGTCACGTGTATCACGGGACCTTGGTATGTTGACGTGGGGAACGCGCGGGATTAACTTCCCCTCCTTAAGCTTTTTGTAAACAGCATGTTGGCCTAGTTAGATTGAATCTAAGTCTTACTTCAGCCCTTCACATACAAAAAGCTTCCTTCTACACCCAGAAGTATCATTGGTCATTGGAAAAGCCCTAGGAAAGCGACCTAGGCACTCATTGGAAACACCCCTGAATCCCCAGCGATTCAGCGACGAACACACATCGGAACGGAATCCTCGCGCATAGATCTCTTAGCGCTCGAGACGTATTAGAAAGCCCTAGAAGATCCCAATTCCTAGGCATATTAGAACATTGGACGAAAAGCGACCGAAGCATTACCGGCACGCTACGTAACCCCTAGCAGCAATGCAGCAACAGGAATCGACAAGCCCTCCCGGGTGGGCGCGAACGCTACTACAGCAGATAGCACAGACCCAGGCTATGCAGAACGAAGAAAGGGAGCGGCGTCACCAGCAAGATGCTGCTCAAGAGGAGCGGATGCGTCGCCTCGAGGCAATGCTGGAGCAGCAGGCCTCACCAGCCGCAACGACGACCACAACGAACGAAGAGCAGGCGACACCAGCGCGATCGGCCGCCGAATCGGTGCCGATTCCCCCCGAACAGAGACGATTCACCGACCGAAGCCACGCCTACCAGACCCAAAACCATTCGGTGGAAGCACGAGCGACTGGCCAACCTGGCGAATTTCGATTGAGAACAAGCTTAGCGTGGACGGTGAAGCTATTGGTTCTCCCCAGGATCAATTTATCTACGTATTCTCTAGACTAGAGAAGCTAGCATGGAAGAACACTGGAACCTTTGTGAAACTCCGCCGAAACACTGGCGAACCGCAGGCCTTGCTCGATTTCCTTGAGAGTATCTACGGAGACCCGAATATTAAGGCACGCGCAGCAAGACGACTCCACCAGATTCGACAACCAGAGGATATGAGCTTTTCTAGATTCCTTCCCCGACTAGAGAAGGAGTTCGCGGATGCAGACGCTCTTGAATGGCACGACGAAGCAAAAAGGCAGATCCTTCTTAGCGCGCTCAATAAGACCATGACGAACGCGTTAATGAATCGAGGTATCCCTGCTACCTCGTCGGGCCTAATCTCCCGGCTCCACGAGATCAGCTCGGATATGGATGCCCTTAATATCAACAGAGAGGAACGAACACGTCGTCCGCGCTCAACTAGGCAGAATAGCGACGAAATGGATTGGGCACCGACCGTGTCGGTAAACCGTGCCGAACCACACACGAAACACCGCCGACCCGAAAGTGGAACACCGAAGCAAGCTCAATGGGTTAGCCAGGACGAGATAGATCAGCGACGGGCCGAAGGGAAATGCTTACGATGCGGGAGATCTGGACACCTTATCGCGAGGTGCGCGTTACTACCAGCACAACGGCCGAATAGTGTGCGTATCGCTACTTCCTCGAGCAAGAAAGAAAAGGGGCGCACAGTTAAAGTGAAGAGGTCGAAGCCTACGAGTGACCTAGATCTAACGACTTCCGACGACGAGAGTGTGACCACCGAGGACAATTCGGAAAAAGAGTAGCTCCTGTTCTAAGCCGCGAGCAGGAGCGAAAGGGGGTCGAAAAGCTACTGGAACGTGAGACACTACCGTTTATAGTCGATGCTAGAGTGAATGGAATTCAATTTACACAAGCTCTTGTCGACAGCGGTTGCCGCTGTTATGCAACAGTGAATGGGTCCTTAGTCCAGGCGTTTGACCTCCCGCGCATTAAGATACGGCCACGAATCCTTGACGGAGTGGTGCCGAATCAGTACCAAATCACCCATGTTACCTATTTCGACCTCGATGTCCACGGCCAGCAACAAGGCCGGGTATTCGCGTATATTATCGAACCGCAAAGCGATAGTATGATACTTGGGGACCCATGGCTACACGAGGTGAACGGACGATATTCGGCAAAGAAAGGATACCTAGACATCTTCACGAAGTCTGGAGAGCGAACTAGATGTTGGAACCGCGCGGATCGCACTATTGGGCCTATTGGAGTAAAGAGATTACGCGTTGCGCAGGCCGAGGCATCATACATCCAACATCTTATGCAGAGCGTATCGGACGCAGATCGCCTGCGAATCGGCAAGGTTTCACTAGACGACATCGAGAGAGCACTCCGCCCTAAGAAGCACATTAACCCAAAGGATAAGCTACCGAAACACTACTGGCGATGGTTGGCCGCTTTTAGCCAACAGCTAGCCGACCAGCTGCCTCCGCATAGACCAGGAATCGACCATAAGATCCCTCTGAAACGTGACCGAAACGGTGTCGAAGAGCCACCACCGTATGGTCCTCTCTACGGCATGAACAAGGAAGAGCTTCTTTACCTGCGAAAAACGTTGACGGACCTACTTGGGAAAAACTATATACGCGTGAGCCAATCGCCTGCAGCAGCACCAATCCTACTAGTTAGGAAGCCAGGCGGTGGCGTACGATTCTGCGTAGATTACCGAGGGTTGAATGAACGAACAGTGAAGGATCGCTACCCTCTACCGCTGATTCGAGAGACATTACGGAACATGGGCCATGCCCGCTGGTTCACGAAGCTTGATATTATCGCAGCCTTCCATAAGATTCGTGTCCACCCTGGAGAAGAATGGAAGACAGCATTTCGGACGCGATACGGGCTCTACGAGTGGAACGTGACTCCCTTTGGGCTAACTGGTGCACCGGCAACGTTCCAGAGGTATATCAATCAAACTCTACGAGAGTACCTAGACGACTTTGTGTCGGCATACGTGGACGACATAATTATCTACACCAACGGAACGCTAGCGGATCACCGCCGAAAGGTCCGCGATGTGCTGCAGAAACTAATAGATGCTGGCCTACAATGTGACATTGCGAAGTCGGAGTTCGAACAGGAGTCAGTGAAATACCTTGGCTTTATCGTCGAAGCTGGAAAGGGGATCCATGTTGATCCAAAGAAGGTAGAGGCTATTAGAGCATGGGAGAGACCGAAGTCCATACGGGATGTGCGAAGCTTTATTGGATTCGCGAACTTCTACCGGCCGTTTATACCTCGATTCGCCGACCTTTCGGCACCATTAACACGGCTTATGAAGAAAGACGCTTTCTTCAAATGGGACGATGACTGCCAACTAGCCTTCATAGAATTGAAGGAACTCTTCATAAATGCACCAATCCTAGCTCACTTCGAAGAGGATCGTCAAACAGTCGTGGAAACTGACGCCTCTGGCTGGGCTACTGGAGCAGTTCTATCGCAATACGGGCCCGATGGGCAACTACGGCCATGCGCCTATCTATCCCAGAAGCTATCCCCAGCAGAATCGAACTACGAGATCCACGATAAGGAGCTCCTGGCGATTATACGGGCCCTACGCGAATGGAGACCGGAACTGAAGATGGTGCCCCGATTCACTATCGTAACGGACCATAAGAACCTTCGATACTTCGGTAAAGCACAACACCTTAACGAACGGCAGATGCGCTGGGCAGACCTCTTAACAGAGTTCGATTTCGATCTCCGTTATCGCCCTGGTAAGCTTGCAGTAAGGCCAGACGCACTATCACGACGAAGCCAGGATATGCCACAGAGTATCACCGACGAAAGGTTATCGAATCGCTTCCGAGTGCTACTCAAAAGGGTCAAGGTCAAAACGGGACGGCTAGACCCTCGATCAGCCGACGACCAACCTAACGAAGAGATCGATTTCGAGAGAAACATCCCTCTCTTTGAAGAAGAAGAACTCCAGATAGAATGGAAAAGGGCAAGGGCGTCCGACTCGATCTACCAACGAATCACCCACGCTTTGCTAACGGGGGAGCGCCGAATCGCCGCCGAAACGAACATCAAGACAAGTCTATCGGAGTGCCATTTAGACGATCGAGGGGTACTCCATTTTAGGCAACGGGTCTGGATTCCCGACAACGAGGTTCTACGCACGGGGATTATACAGAAGATCCACGATTCACACGTCACGGCACATCCTGGGCGAGACGCCACCTATTCGATACTGTCTCGACGGTTCTTCTGGCCAGGAGCGGCGAAAGACGTACGACGTTTCCTCCGGAACTGTACAGTTTGTGGACGAAGCTCTGTATGGCGAGACACGAAACACGGGTTATTAAAACCACTGCCAATCCCCCAGCGAATCTGGGCCGAAATATCAGTGGACTTTATCACCGAGTTGCCACCCTCTGGACCTACAGGAGTAACGAACTGCATGGCAATAACAGACCGGTTGACGAAGGGCGTGATTCTGATCGGAATGAAGAATACAACGGCAAAAGATGTAGCAGAGGCGTTCCTTACACACTTCTATATGCATCATGGGGTGCCACTAGCGATTGTAAGCGACCGCGGCCCCCAATTCGTGAGCTCTTTCTGGGAAATAGTATGCGAAAGGCTATCGATTCGACGCCGATTATCCACTGCTTTTCACCCCCAGACCGACGGCGCAACAGAGCGTGCTAATCAAGAGATCGAACGAATCCTACGTGTGTTCACGACGTACGCACAGGATAACTGGAAGGATCTACTGCCAATAGTTGCCGTGGCAATTAATAATCGTGATGCTGCTTCAACTGGAATCTCGCCATTCTTCTTCACCCACGGCTACCATGTTGACCCGATTGGCATTGACGAAGCAGGGCAGCTAGAAGACGCCCTGACCCCACCGCGAAAGGCAGGCGAAACGTTCGTGAATCGCCTACGAGAAGCCACCGATTGGGCCCAGGCCGCTATCGCTTCGGCACAGGTCCTTCAAGAAGAACAAGCGAACCGACGTCGACAGGCCGCGCCTGTCTATAAAAAGGATGACTGGGTTTGGCTAAACCTTCGGAACGTACGCACACAACGACCATCAAAGAAGTTAGATTGGCTACATGCTCGGTACCGAGTGGTAGACGTCCCGTCACCGTTCACCGTCCGACTCAATGTGCCTACTGGCATACACCCAGTGTTCCATATCGAGTTAGTTCGCCCAGCAGCAACGGACCCGTTCCCATCTCAGCTAGTAGACGATTCGCAGCCACCACCACTACTAGTTGATGGAGAAGAGGAATACGATGTGGAGCAAATCCTAGCCGTACGACGGAGGAAGATTGGGCGAGGATATCGTGACGAAGCGTTAGTGAAATGGAGAGGATGGGCAGAACAGACGTGGCAAACATTGGACTCAGTGCAAGATTGTAGCGCCTTGGATGCCTTTGAAGAGCAGTACGGCCCCGTTTCGGATGTGATTCGCCAGCAAATCGGCACCGAAACCCATGTCGTCGCACCCCTAGCGAGCTCGACTAGGAGGGGGTATTGTCACGGGCCAGTGCCCGATGTTGGTCACGTGTATCACGGGACCTTGGTATGTTGACGTGGGGAACGCGCGGGATTAACTTCCCCTCCTTAAGCTTTTTGTAAACAGCATGTTGGCCTAGTTAGATTGAATCTAAGTCTTACTTCAGCCCTTCACAAGGACCGTTAGTTATCATCCTCTTATCCTGCTATTAACGCTCGACTTTAACGATTATTCCCCCTATTTCTACTAATAACTAAACGACGCCGAAAATAGCTCCTCTCTGTATCCTAATATAGGGCCCTCTCTATCTCGCTTAGCCTAATCGAGCGTCTATAAGATACCCTGTCTGCCCTCTCTTCTAGGGCCTTTCAATACCCTTCTCCCCTTATCCCGGCCCCGCTACCTAAATCGCCCTTGATATACTTATTTTAAGGCTATTTATTAAAGAATTTAATACTTAGCCTCTATATCTGAGTTTACTTTATCGCGCCTATATCCGTACCTCTACCTTAAGTTAATGTAAAAATATACTCTATAAGTCAGGATAGAGACCTGTTGATCAGGTAGGAGAAAGGAACCAAGTCAATTGTATAGAATAGTCAAAGACTGTTTCCTGACGACTGCAAAGCCTCTTCAACATGAGTCAATTTATATACAGTCTCATAGATCAAAACGGGAAGGAGATATATCCTAGGTAAGAAAGTGAGAGGGGAAAACACAAGGCTTGTGTAACCCGTTATCCAAGGGTCTCCCCTGCAGGCGTTCGTACTCGTACTATCAGCAAACCCCCGGTGAACCTTCACCGAAAGCTTGCCGGGTTACCAGGGTCCTAGTGGCCTGAGGCGTCAATGCTTATGAATAACCTCATGTTAGGTATATCATAACACAAACCCACTAGCGAAACGCATAGGCTGATAACAATCTAGCGCATCGCCAACATCTTAGCACTCTTCGACTTCTATATCCTGGCAAACCATAAGTAGCTCCAAGAGGGAGAAAAGAACCACAAATGAATCATAGTCTGGATAGAAACGTTGATTGTCATTGGTTGGCTGCTATGTACAGTGCCGCCCGTTATCGCCTTCCATATCCAGAAACAGAGAGATGCACTTTTAAGCCCCAGGCACGTGATCATAGAAACCTGGTTTGGAATCTCGTAAACTACGAATTATGATCATATATTGTAATGGTATCTGATCTTGTACCCCGCTGTACTCCGTATTTTTCAACACAAAGGGACTAGCACTTTCCAGATTAAGCACACAAATCAAACAGCTAAGCCGGACCTGACGGATCTAGGGAGCCGGTCGTGCCTTGGTGGAGATTCTCTACAAAATCTAACCTCCTCAAGCAGATCCCTGACACTGTCACTTAGAGACTTCATACGATTCCGAGAATATGATTCCCTCACTGGGCCCACCATATCCAATTTGATATCGGATATTTTAAGTGTGTAGACTATAGCAATAGTCTTGCTTATGTATCTAATGATCTGCCCTTCAACCAATTCTAAGGACGTATTGAATTTTCACATTCCTAACATTATCTATACCGTTCATCTCCTGAGTCTTTATGCTCTGTCGGAATTAGATATCTTTGGACCTTATACTAAACCGGACTGGTACTAAAGGTATATTTAATAGCTTTCCGGTGGAAGAATCAATCGATCTTAGCCAGAATAGATACAAGAATAGTCCATTAGCGGAGGTCCGACAAAGAATATATGGAAATCTCGAGTCCCAAACACACTAGTGCCGAGAACTAGATAAATATCATTTCGATGGCTATAGCTAATGACAATATGAGCAGCCGTCGCGGAGGTGCCCAGGCTATAGCACCCCCGGTTGCCTTCTCAAAGCTCACTAGCGACTGATTGCTCGCTCCGACTTGGAGAACCTGCGACGAGTTGGCGGAGTCGTAAGTGCCTATAAAGCCAATGCTGAAAGTTACGTTCACCTGCTCGTCATGAGATCCGTATAGGTCGCCGAAAGCAGCGATTGTCGTCCCCGAGATGGATAGTGTGAGCGTGTTATTGGTCATTGTTCCGTTGATTTTAGTCCCCGATGGCCATCCGATTAATATATCCCCCATCATTCTGCACGTTTCCGCAGGGATGTGGATCTGGTCGTTATGCGTGCCGTCACTCGCGAAGATTGTCTGGGTCGACCTCAGACTGGACACATCGTACAGCCCTTCAAATTGGACCTCATGGTCATTATTACCGGCCTGAGTGACATTAAGAACCACGGCATCTATGGCTCCTTCGACATTCTTATTCGTCTCGTGGACGTACTCCCTCCAGTCGACAGTTGTCTTGAGCTGAACGAGATTCACATCCGTATCGCAGGAGCTGTAGGAATAGGTAATGTTGGCGATAGTATTATCGGATTGCCAGGCCTGGAAGCCCAATGTAAAGGGATTGTGAAGGTTTGATGGAGTAGGCGTTCTTGGCCCGACCCATGCAATACCTAACATGCGAATTGAGCGATGGTCCTTAGGACAATTTGTTCCACGGTAGGTGTTGTTGGTCGGTAGATCGCGAATCACGTAGTCAAAGGAAGCTTCTCCTTGGAAGTAAAGTCCGTTCCATTCTGTGTACGCTCCAGGGTTGCCAGCAACAAGTGTGTAATTGCTATAATAAGACGGCTGGAGGCCGGTGGTTGTAAGTTTGTGGTCATCAGAGCAGACATAAGTGCCGCCGCTGGTTGAGGAGTCGTCACTGCTGGTCCCGCTGTCGCTTCCAGAGTCGCTGCTAGAGTCGCCGCCGCCTTTGCGGGATAGAACCCTTGCAGGAATCGCCAAAATTGCAAACAGTAGGACTATAGGCTGGCGGAGTAGCATAGTGTCCGGTTTTCTGTGGGCTTCACTGCATGAAATCAATGTCGTTGTGAGCAGGTCGAAATACTTGTCAGCTAATCTCTCAACAGTGAAAGCAGAGGAACACTCGGCGGTCATTGTAATTGAAAGCACGGGCACTACGGAGTACTTGATCCTTCGCCTAGTTATCTGTGCCTCGCCACATAGAGCATTTTTGGGGTAAAAAGCCCGTCAAGGGGAAAGGCGCCAAGGAACTAGACAGGATGGACCTCGTATTCGTTGCGATCGCCAGTCGCGACAAAGGGGAGCCACGTACTATCCTATTTCTGAATTTTCCGTCAGGCACCGCGATTTCCCAGTTGTTTCTATTATCTCGCTTCCTCGCCTGCCAAGATAACCAAAGCATCCACCTATTCCCGAAAATCACCCAGTGACCTATGCTTATGTCCTTAGCGCATCCACGCTAGGATGAATCCCTTCGACGTAAGAACCTTTCCCTCCCGCTAAATCTGTACTGACGATGGTAAGACAGTTTTCAAAATTAGTTCCGACTCGTAGATAGGTCACTCTACCAAGTATTTTTCCTCTGCCAGGTGGACTTTCCTTTCTGAGATGCCGCCGCTTTTACAAGGGCTCAGAGTCAGACTCACTGAGTAAATCTCAGACCGGACTCATACTCAGAGAGCTGATCAGGGGCGTTCACGTGACTGCTCAGAAGACGCTCATTAAGTGTGATCAGTCAGCTTACTGAGTCTCAGAGACCGATCAGAGGCAGCTAGGGCATCCAGCTCTATATTGAGCACCCAGTCTGCCGCGCTTAGGCTAACTCCGAAGCCCAGCGCTCCACAATTTTGTTTGTTTCGTGAATCACCTTTGTGTAGCCCTCTGTTTCCGTCATGAAGCCATTTCTTGAGTCATTCCACCCTTTGAAGGAAAAGAAGGTCGGATAAATCATGCCGCAAAAAAGGAACGCACCGGAGAAAAGCCGTCTTTGGTCTCTGGTGTTGATGATCTGTGCCTAAACATTGAAGTACAAAATGGAGGTTCTACCCCGTCACTCTAGACCTTCCATATAGTTATCCTTCGCTCATTACTTTAATTCCCATCCTGTTCTCTAAACTGACCTCGAAATTTTGACGCAGCTTTCCTAAGGTATAGAGAGAGATCTCTTTTTTGCTACGAAAGATATGTAACAGGCCAAAGCCCGGTGATTCGACCAACTCGCTCCCTGGTGGCACCACCCATTTAAGCACCTCAAGTCAGCGGTACCACTCTGGAAAATTAACAGCTCATGGCTCGTGGAATGGTTCAAACCTCTCCGAAGAATAAGGATTCTTCTTATCTTTAGTGGTTCTATCGCGTCCTCGGTGCTTATGTCCTTAGCGACCGTCCGCCCTACAGCTACGAATTTGATGAGGACCTTTCCGATTTAGCGACAGAGGGAACAAAGAGCGAAGAAGAGCAGCTAACGAAGAAAAGAAGGAAATTTGAGGCTGGCGAAAAGGAAAGCGAAAATGACGAAGACGAAGAGGAAGACAGCGCATCTGAGAGATCACATGCTGATTTTTTGGCCGACGTTTACTACGAATTCAAAGAAATAAGCGAAGGACGAAAAAGGGAGCTTGCACGGGAACAACAAGTTATACTCGACATGATTCAGTCCGAAAGCGAAATGGAAAACAAGGTCAACCAGGCATACCGTTCTTTCATGGACGCCCAAAAGGAGGACAAACTGACCTCCTTACCGTCTCTTCATGCCACCACTTACATTATTCATTGCCGTGACCAACCAAGATATTTCTATAATGGATTGAGACCGGGATATGTTGAATTTTACCGCCTACCAGTGGAGGATAACTTTGGTTCCAATCCACCGCCAGATTCTGACCCGAAGAGCATGTACGGGCATATCTATATCAACGCAAGCAACGGCATCGAGTTTAAACCATTTGATCGGCCCGAGGAATTCAGTGGTCCGATTTCATAATATCACCTTTCCCGAGTGGCCCCCATGAAGTGCGAATCAAGTTTTTCAGCAAGGGTTACATCAAGATGAGTATCCCTAAAGAGCTGGCATTTGAAAATAAAGATCCGCCTGCCCATGCTCCTGATGTCTTTGAGTACGTGGGTGTTCGGCGCGATCGGGAAAAGTGGAAGACAGAAAGAAAAAGGATGTGGGAAGACGCGGAGAAAAACCGCTCCCCTTCACCTCACGATACTTCGGGTTTGAGAGAACCCATCCGGTGGGGTACTGATCCCACAACAACATGGGTAACGCTGAAATATCAGCAAACAACCCGAGCCACACGCAGAGTGATCACACCAAAAATCATCACAGGGCCCTCAAAAAGTCCTTTACCTTCCTCGCTTGTGTGGCCTTGGAGATATAGGGTCCGTCCTAATCGTCAAGGCGGGAATTAGTGTGGGATACGTAATTATCGGCCAGTGCTTACTTACGAGGGTGCAAGCAAATCACAATCGCCACCCGTTGCTCGTTCACTTCCATCTCGTGCGGTAGCTATCCAAAAATATCCCAAACAGTACACACGCCGACGGATCAGCAGATTCGGGCGGCTTGAACACAGGAATATGCTTTCCTTGCGGGAATGCTACCTTGACGGCAATGTTTTTTTTTCTATGATAGATGATCTGCCCTTGACTCTCGGCCACGTTCGTTTCTTGTCCAACAATACATCCGCCGAGTCTGAGCTAGGCTGCGTCATGGTCTTGTAGCTTATTTTGGAACTGCCCGTGAATGTGCTCGATAAGGCAGACGCTAGATACATATAACAGCTCATGTCGATAACAAAGTCATATGATTTATAAAGTCCAAGGCCTTCATTGATCGAATGATTGGGTTCATTATCAAACTCTTGACTCCTCGCCAGGGCTCTTTTTCTAGGGTGGGAGGGTTTTTTTCCCTCCTCGAACACTGCTCACACCAGACCATACAAGCTTCTTGGGGACCATGGGTTTCATATGAGCAAGCCAGACCTGTTCGTACAAGCCGGGGCTACCATCAATAGCAAGGCTGTCTGGCTCCAAGCTGCCCAAGAATCCATAGTTCTCACAGCAAGCCGATTGTGATCCCCAAAGCGGGCCTATTTGAGGGAAGAGAGACAGTTGTCAGTACTGAAGGGTTGGAACGTAGAAACTGAGTGGAAAGAAACGCGATCTTGTACGTACCAGCAGCCCACATGGACCACCCTATATAAACCGAGTTTTCTTCCATGTAATCAATCAAAACCTTCAGCATGTCATAGCAGCCAGTTGTGTTGGACCCACCAAACTCAGTAATCATGGCCTTAAAGTGATGATCTTCCAGCCAAGATGTCAAATTTGACAGGAAGATACGTGGGTCAGACACACAATCCACGTGCGAACCGCTAAAGTCCACATCAAGGTATTCATGGATATCAAACGCTGTGTTGTGGATGGGGTCGCGTAGCTTCCACATCCAGTTAGCATTTGAATCCTCGCCGTTGTCATGCCATGAGTGGCCACCAGTCCAGTCGTTTCCAGGGGCAAGAATCAGCTGCTCACATCCTGCCGCCCGGATATGATCAATCGCCGACTGGTCATTTTTCAGCACCAAGGATGTATTAGTACCCCATGGCTCGTTCATGAGTCCGAAGATGACTTTCTCATTGTGCCTAAACCGGGATGCAAGCTCGCCCCAAAATTCACCAAACTGTTGCGTTGTCGCAGCCTTGGGATCTGACCAGTTACCGATAATGCTACCGCTGAGAGGCTGTTCAGAGGCATCATTGTAACGCATATAGTTGTGGGGATCCAAAATTGCATCTAGTTTGTGTTTCAGTAATCATAGGAAAAATGAAAATGGGAGCGAAGTATGTAAACTGACAGGCTCCCCTGGTGAGAGTGATATGGTCAATTGCCTCTTTGTAATGCATGAAGTAGGTCTCATTGAATTTACTGCCTAATCCATACTCCAGAGGGCACATGCGCTCCAACAGAAAGGCGACACGGAAGAGGTTGATCTTTGATAAATGAAAGTCCCGTGTTAGTTCTTTGATTCTGTCCTCGCTAATTGAGTTATAGAAAGTGAGGAATACCTTGCTTTCTTCGACGTAGATATCAACCGCGGAGTTATTAACGAAGGCGTAGTCGACACCAAATGCTCCCGGCAGCACACCAGGTGCGAATTCTCCTCCAGACTCATCTATGCCTGCCCAGTAAATGGTTGCTAAGGTGGGAGCGATTAGAGCAGCTCCACACATGGTGGCAGCTAAGAACCGCTGGACTCCCATCACGACTGATGTCTATTTGGGCTGGCTGCACTTGGTAGCTTTTCAAATATCCCGTAAGGTTGGAAGATAGGATACCTTGAAAGAAAAAAAAGTGAGAAGAATATGGTCCTGATTTTTTGATGGACGAAAAGAGGGGAAACCCTGCTATTTACACGAATTATTCCTCCGCTCCTGCTAGCATATAAATGGAAATGCATCCGTTTAGAGGCAATAATGAAAAACGTTGTCCTGAATTCTATTTTATATGTCAACTTATACTCCCCCACACCCATTGTTTCCAGAAGAATCGATTGATACAGAGGCCGCAGGGGAGATGTGAAACTCAAGGATACATCTCCAGGTACCTACGTGGGTGGTGGAAAAAAGCAAATCCGAGATCATCGGACGTGGAGCGTATTTCGTCTTTCAGTAGAGTACTCCGTACATGATCCGTTCACCCGCAGATTGCTGGTCCTTGGCCGGTGGAGGAGGCAGGGGTCTGACGTGAAGCCGTTCCCAACGCGGCCAGAGTAAGGCTAAGTGCAGTAGCTTCGATACTTTGGATACGAGGAAACTCAAGAAGCAGCCAGTAAGGCGTCCTCTCGCTCGCTCATATGCTGCAGTGCTAGAGGTAAGCGGAAAATCCTGTAGTCTCGGCTGGCCAGCCCGAGAAAGATGAGGCACTGGCTCCGCGCCACAAAGGGAAATGCGACCAAATAAGCAAAATTTCCCTCTTTGTGCATTTCAAGCTTGAGAGCGAGCCTTATTAGTATCTATACACTATCATCACAGAGAGAGTGGGGATTAAACAGAATCAGTGAACTATGCAATAATTGTTTGATTAATGTTGAAGAGAACATGATCTTTGTGATTGATATACTCGCCGTCATACTAATTGTGTATCGACCTATCACGCTTAGAGAATGAGTTTCCCTTATTGAAGGTCCGAATAACGACTACGATGACCGTGGATGTGTGTCGGATATTATCGCAATTTGTGGCTCGTTTCTTACGTTACGAGAAGAGACTATTATTTTTTGTCCACCAGTCTGGAAAAGAATTTTTACTCCGAGAAGCACTAAAGGTATATTTCCGGAAGGTATAGGAGCTGAACACCTTACGATTTCAGAACGCTCTCTTGGATCCATGTTCAAGATACTTCGACCTGATATACTTAGTATCGGGCTGCCTAGACTTTTGACTAAAAACGTCACATAGCTATTCCTTCCCCTACTAGGAATTATAAAATACGAACGTGTCTATTAGAGTAGCTATCTCGAATCTGGCATGCGTAATAAAAGCCGTGGCTTGTTAGCTAATGAGAGAGATTGCGTGAATGCCTTTTTACAGCAAGATACCTTCACTAGCTTAAGGCGCTTAGCATTCTAGGAAGCGTTTCTCATGGTATTTAAGCTATACAAAGGCTTGTGACCCTAATGCAAGTATAGCTAATTAAATACTAAGATATTCTTCCTTTCTAACAAACAACCCACACTGATAGGAGAAGCCTAAGCAAGATACACTCTTGCATCGAACTCAAGACGCCCGTAGGTTTATTCAGTACTATAGAACAGCAGTTAAAAGTGCCTCTCTATAGGTGTATTTCTCACCTCTAATCTTTAGCCTAACTAATAGCCTTACGAGAAACTGTTATCAAAAAGAAATACTAGACTAGCTCTTGAGCGGTCTGAGACTTAAAAAAGGTTGGGGTGTATGTCTTCACGCTCTAGAGGATAATACTAGTCCGGTCTATTAGATTGTATAGTCTTAAGAGGGAAGCAGCCTCGTATTAGGGTCTAATGATAAGATAATTAGGATCTGATTGTGAAGGGCTGCAGCAGAATTGATTCAATTGTACTAGGCCAACATGCAGTTTAAAACAATCTTGAGGAAAGAAAGAAGAAGAAGAAGAAGAAGAGACAGGAGTCGGTCACGGTCCTTAAGAGTGTCGACTCCGTTTCGGATAGAATCCCCTAGAACCTCGTGATAGAATCGCTCAGAATCCTTCTGCCAAGACGATATCCGAAAAGGCCATGGCACATTGTTTACCACCCGGCTCTGGCCCGTCACACTGATATTCAACCACAGGCCAGAGCGTGTCAACTCTCAGGGGGCATAGTGGTCAGGTTACCTTAATTTCCTGGTCGCCGGATAGAAGCCGACTTACATCGCCGTCTGATGATAGGACAATTAGGATCTGGGATCTAGCCACCGGTCAGAGCGTATCGACTCTCGCGGGATAGAGATTCGGTTATCTTTAGACTTCTGCACGACCCAATATAACCCGGACCCAACCCGGACCCAACCCGGGCTGGGTTGGGTTTTGGGTCGAAGACTCCGACGTATAGCTGGGTCCGGGTTACAGTTGGGTGACCTAGCCTAGGTCTGGGGCACTAACTTGGGTTATAAACGTAACATATATGGATGGCGTTAGCGAGCGCATGCAGGCAGGGATATGCCCACACACATGTTGACAGTTATTACTAGAAAGCGAGTTTAGTGCTCTCTCTAGAACGTAAGAGGCGTAATGTAGGTAGTATTTATTAACTAGTCAGTATATTTTGGGGACGACTTAGTTAAAGTACTACTATTACGGTATTAGGTTATTTCGTTAGTAGCTATATTCAGTTAACTATGCCTCACTCTTATCTAATATCTTATTAAGCTTTAAGCTTAGCCGAGCTGCTAAGTGAGACCTATCTGAAGACTATTTAAGAGTCGAACGTTGCTCTCAATATAGAATAAGAGGCTAATAGAAGGACTTCCGGTAGGTATCGCGCTATTTCTGATCCTAATCCTTTTGTAAGGAAGAATTTGAACTTATTCACTAGTACTAGCATTGTACTAACTACGTAGATACACCCTTGAATATTGGTATTTGTTTGAGATGCTAACCACATTCCCACATTCCTCTAAAATAGCCGCCGACAGGGCTTAGCCGGCAGGGTTTTGTACCAACTCGCTGATGTGCCATCCAGTGACCGCGATACTCGAAGCATAAGAAGGGCATTCATGATGGCCCCAATGCCCAGGGCACTGTTGATCTGCAGCTTGCCGATTTTCGTTATTCCCACCTTGCCTTGGTTAGGGAGAGAAGGACGATTGTTGACGAATATCGGCAGCTGATGGCGGAGAAGCGGGTTTGAATGAGTGTTGCGTGAACCTATCGCTGTATGGAGGAAGCAGGTGAAGGAACAGATGAATTGAATACTGTGTTAATCCTACAGATATTCTCCTTCTACGACATGGCGGATCCACGCCATTCCTACGGCCCCGGACATCCGTGCCATGGATAATTACAACTACTCTCGACCGTGCCACCCGTGATCCTCACATGCTCGTACTTGAAATCTTTACAACTGCCCACTCCGCAGAGGACATAGTAATCCGCAGCTCCCTCGGCCACCCAGCCCGTGACGTTCCTGTAGGTGATGTTATGCACCGCGACACCATTCGTTGGCAGGCCGTTGGGCCCGCCGTTGAGGTAGTCCTGCTCGATATCGATACCCCGAGCCTTGATATTGGACACAAAAATGTTGGAATAAGTGACGTTGGCCACGCTGCCCGTCGCGTTATAGTCTGTTTTGATGCGCAGGCCGTAGGATGAGTTGGTGACGACCGCGTCGGTGAAACTAGGGACCCATTAGTCAATCGAATTCACTAACCCTTCAGGGGTACTGGCACTCACAGGATATTGGTGACATTATTGCCCGGTCCATTTCCTCCCCGGCAATAGAGAGGCCGTGGCTGCCCGAGCAGTAGAAATTCCGGAAGGTGACGTTGTTGGAGACGGACAAGGCAACGCAGTCATCCTGGTTCCAGACTTGAATGTCTTGCATGAGCAAGTTCTCGACATTGCCGACGTCGAAGGCGTCGGTGTTGTGGCCAGCCGAAAGGCCGTTGCTGATGGCATTGGGGGTATCTCCCATGGAGTTATTGACGATGATCCGCTGGATGGTTGAGTCGTAGACGCCGTCGACATCGATGGCGTGTGTAGGAGTGTTGAGAACGTATAGGTCCGTCACGAGGGATTCGTTCTTAAGGCTAAGCTTCATGAAAATTCCGGGTCTACAAGAAGCGCTCGGTTAATCATCTCGGACACACTCGACCGGTCCCTTGGGAGTGGATTTATTACTTTGGGCCACCACCGTTGTTTCCAAGACCGTCCCAGTAGAGGGGGCCACCTCCGTCGAAGAAGCTCCCCGGGGCGCCCTTGATGACCACATTGTTCCCCGAAATTTGAACCATTTTGTACCCTGATCTCGGCGTATACTCGAAGCTGGTGTTTCCTATGAAGGTCACAGTAGCACCGACTTGGAGGTTAGTCAAAGACAAACCTTTAGCGCTGGGGACGGCGATATTGTCTAGGGTGAGATGTGGACATAATGATTGGGCAGCGGAAATTTGGGACCAGGCCGTGCAGTGGCAGTCTGGCGTACTCGTAGTGGCGGCGGTTATTGTTGCTGCAGTAGTAGTGGTGGAAGCTCTTGTCGTACTGGCTATTGAAACCGGTTAATTAAGTGATCCCATATGATCTGACGGTTGTGTATACCTGTTGTCAAGGGCAATGTCGCCGTCGCTGTCTCGGAAAACGACCTCGATGAGACAGTAGTTGTCGTGATCGTGGTCGAGGTCGCTGTGGAGATGCAGGCGCACGCACTCTCAACTCGGGACGCAGATCCATCACAGTTTGCCGCGAATGATGGAATGCTGTCTCCGGGAGAGTAGGTTGCACAGAATATCTCGGCCGGGCTGCCTTCTCTGACAAAAGCCCTCAAACAATTATCATTGGAACACTCTCGGCGCTGGACGTTTCCACGGGCAAGTGATGCGCCGAGGAGTGCTAGGAAGGAGAATGAAACACGCATGGCAGACGCTGGTGGTCTTCAGGGACCATGGAATGTACCTCCAGGGTCCTTCGTCGAGCATCAACTCAGCAGGTCTCCTATTTCAGGTTCACCATTAGCTATATGATAGTCGACGCCCCTTCTTCCGCATCCAACAACTCCTCCTAAGGTCGAGTCTAGCGAATGGTGACCAGGACACCCTGTCGGAATAATTTTCTCCACCTCTAATGGCATCGTTTATGTCCCTGACATTGGAGATAGATTAACTGACTGCGTGCGGGGAAAATGGGGCAGTTGAATATGTTAGTTAAGCTAGCTTAGACTTACTAATTGAGTTCTGTGACCCTCTCATCGCGTTCTTCGACGACATCACGTCGTTGTGTGCTCATCAGAATAACGCACAGCCCCTAAAGCATGTAATTATTATCATCCATGTATTTCCTCTTGTGGGTAACTCCGGTATCATTATCCGTAACGATTTTACTCATTGTGGTGGGTTTCCGTGATGGTTGAAGTTTCTTGGGCTTCCGGACAACTTCCGTCCGAGGGCGTCGCGGACGGGGGCTACCAATTTCTGATGGCCTAGGCCTTCCGCCTTTGGAAACAGAAGGGGGATCGTTACCGAGCGTCTTTTGGAAGTTTAAGAGCCGCCGGACAGAGCTAATTATTTGATTTTTATAAAGCGAGAAAGAATCTCTAGTGGGAATAGGTTCCACGCTTGGGCTATCCTTTGTAAAGAGGAACGCTTATTGGCGGGAAAATTGTCCTTATTTTGTTTTAGCTTAAATGCTACGGGAAAGCGCCATGGCGCTCACAAGATTCGATTGCGGCTAACGTTGGCCAGAACAAAGTGGCATCTCCGGCGAAATGAGAATTGAAGTGCACTGGGCTGAAGGCGCACACACAATGGCGAGCAGGGGCAGGAAAGAAAGCAAATGAGGGCAGCCACGAGAAGATCGTAAAGTTCATTTTCGCTGATAATTGGTTCAAGGTAACATAAAGCTAACGGCCCGCAGTCAGCCATAATAGCGAGTTCTGAAGTTTCGGATAACTACTGGTTATTTAGCGTGGTCAATACCGAGTAATGCGGAGATGAAGGTAGATGAAGAATACCTGTTGATTTAATCAAGTTTTGAAGAGTACGATAAACACGGACGGGAATATCATAAGGTAGGATATTTTATATCTTGAATAATTTCCCTTATCCTGGAATATAGCTCACTGATAACCATGGCGATGTGGGAATTCATGTAACGGGTCAGACCCGCTTCTCACTATATAGCCCTGCTATGCGGAGTACTCCGTATAGACTTTCCATGTACGCCCCCGTTCTGCCACCGTTCAAAGAAGTCAAACACTGTTTCTTGAGGAGTATAAAACCTCCTCTTCATGGCTCAATTTATATACAGTCTCATCTCTCAAACAGAAAGGGGATGTATCCTTGGTACGAGAGGGGGAGCGGGATAAACACGAGGCTTGTGTAACCTGTATCAAGGGTCTTCCCTGCAGGGGTTCGTACATCTGTTGGGGGCGAAGGGTTGGCAAACCTTCCCCAAAAGCTTGCCGACTTACCAGGTCCTAGTAACCTAAGGCCCCAACACTGTGAATAACCTCATGCCAGCATATATCATAACATAGAGTATATTCTTACAATTTCTGATTAGAGGACTAGGTCTGATATGTGAATGTAAGGGTAGGAGACCTCAACTTTATATCATGTTTATCACCTATCTTTAGCACGCTTTAGGGATAGTAAAATAGTTCGAGTTCCTAGGAACCTAGGTATCTAGGAGCGAATAAGTGAAAGATAGCTTTAGCTTAGCAGAATAGGGCAGGAGCAATATTCTTAGACCAAAATGCTTAGCCTAAAGGATATGGTGATTGCCAGTTAGGGATTCTAATACGGGCGCCTAGGGGTAAAAAATGTAGACTTTGTCCTCCCACTTCGAACAATTTACTGCTAGCGGACGGTTACCCAGTGCAAGCTATCGTATTTTAGAGTAGACTCCTGTAGATATCCTAAAACTAGTAATTCTCTAAAACGCCAAATACGGAGCCAGTAGATGAAGGGTTCCTAGGAGCTGTTATGCAATAACAATAGTACAGTGCGCTACTATATATATTGGCTCCTAGGTCATATCCGCTGATCGCGGATTTAGTGGTTTTTTTGGCCAAAGTGTATGATCATGTGACCCAGGCATGTGTCGTAACAGGAGCATATAGTCTGATTGATCGGATAACCATCCAGTAGGCTTCATTATCACGCAATAAATAGCAGCAAGTGTCCAAAACGGAATATCAAATAATTGATGCCAGTGCTTTTTAGTCGGGCTACAGGGGCAATCTTCAAGGGAAAGGATGTTCTTGGGTACGGCTAGCGTGTTGCGTTTTATTAAGGTACTGGTCAGGCTGTGCTCAGTGAGTAAATCAGAGCGCTCAGCTAAGCATCAGTGAGCGAATCAGGCTTGCTCCGTGAGCCACTCAAAGTGCTTACATAATGCTCACCGATCTCAGATCTACTCAGTGAGCAAAAGCAGCGAGGGTCTGAGCACCAAAACAGAACGGGAAAGCCAAGCCGTGACATAGGAAATCAGGTAGATAGGTGGTCGAGGCCGGATGCCTATACAAGGCCTGACTCGCATCCCCGTAGATTTTCTCCTTTTCTTCTTTCCTCAGATTTGATTTCTTCGTTAGATAACACTAAATATAGACATATGTTCTTATCTCCATTAGCTCGTAATAGCTACTATGATTTAAACACTTCCAATCGGCTTTAGCTGCTGTCTTCTGTAACTTTAAACACGCTTTGATCGAGCTACTATAGCTCCAATATCTTCGACTATTACCGTATGAAAGAAAACTTACCCTGCTTAGCTCTTTTGTGAAATTCGGTTCCATGTTTTATTCTTGCCTAGATTAATAATATTCCACTTGACAATACATTTTGACTTTACGGATATGTTTTTGTATCTATGCACGTCTAATCATCACTCGCTACACCGCACTTTGCTACGCAACATAAAACGTATATATTGAGCTGATCCTAGCGAACATACATTTGTACCTGCCTTAGATTTTATTATCACTTAGCTCTACTTCATTCTCGCACTGATTTTTACAATAGCTTATGATTCCGGTATGATTCCCCACAAGTGCATGTTTAGCACATACGACCATAGGGTGTGGAGAACAGGGCTTCCGGTCCGCTCAGCCGTACTTAAGCCCAATATAATACGCAGTCAATTCTTAATGCGCCCTGAGCGCTAACATAGCGTCGGATTTGATCTAGGGTAAGTGTGGGTGATACGGGTGAGGACTTTGGAGACTCGAATGAGAACGGGTGAAAGTGGGTGAGAACTGGGAGAGGATACTCACCCAGATCACCCAGGTCACCCACTTTCCCTTTTTCACTTGACTCTGGGCCATAAATATGAGCCCAGGGTGTATGCACTATCTACTACTTTTAGGTTCATCTATTCGAAGAAGATGCTCCTAAAGGACGTCTGAAAGAAACTTGATGAAAGAATTGCACGTGCTGCGTTACGTGGCTTCACCTGTGAATATCAGAATGAACAGGAAAACGAAGACAACTCTATATGCCTTAAATAACTCGCTTTGGCTACTCTGGAGAAGTATGAGGGTGTATTAATAGATTTGGCATTGTATATAATGGGCTGATGCCCGTGCATGGCCTTGTGACCGCGGCCTTCCTCATGCAGTAGTAAATTATCTCTCGGGAACGGCCCACGTTCAGTGACGAGGCGCATGTTATCAAAGCAGTCTTCAAGATACACAGGCACCTATTCCTTCAATACCTCTTTCCTCCACCCGATGGAGGTCTCTGGCCCTTCCCCGGCCGACCGCCGCCCGGGGACTCCGTGCCTCCTCGAATCCTCCGATACCCCTACAAATCCACCACGCCTACCCCTCTCACTCGCAGCTCCCCGAAGAGACGAGCGATCTCCTCTCCGACGAAATCCCCCGCCGCGAAGCCAGCTGTGATCCTTGCCGCAGCCCAAGACCGCTCTGTCCGCCAGCAAGTCAGCGCAGCCGTAGACAACCAGCTCCTCTAAGGCTCTAACTCAGCGACTGGAAGCTAGCCACGACCTCCCTCGCGGAGGCTCATGACTCGGCCGTCTTCTCCCTGCAGGGTCGCCCACAGGAGCTTGCGAACGCACTCGCAGCGAGATTCGTGGTCCTGGCGCAGGATAGCCTACCCTGATAGGACACCCCGAGACCCTTCCTGGGCCCGCAGCCAGCGGCTCCTACCACGCAGCAGCCGCCACAGGCCCCCGGGCTATATCCTGGGCGTCAGTAGCAGCTCCAGTTCCAGGTTAAGCAGCCTGGAAGACCGTCGCCCTACACCGGCACGGACAGAAGCAGCAACATCAGGCTCGCCAGGCGAAGAAGCTCGACACCCGAGACTTCCTCCGACTCCCTGGCTCATCTAACCTGCGGGATATCGGCCCACATGGGATCCGCGTCTCCCTCTCCGATAAAGACCCTGGGGACATCGAATGGGTCCAGTCCATCCCAACGGTAGTGATCGACGAGGGAAAGGCGTTCCTACTTTCCCCCGAGGCAAGGGAGTTAGAGGCCGATGGCCACTTCGATGACGCGATGGAATGCCACCAGGTGTTAGTTCCTCGTATCCCACGTCAGATCTGGCCCCCTGATGGCAGGTGGTCCCCCACCACGATCGACGCGATCAGCGCGGAAACTGAACGGGTGGCTAGGATGAAGCCACTTGATTCTAAATCCTCTATCCCAGGCGGATGCCGACTCTCTAACTGCGATCATTGCCTTCCCGCAGAGGCCCCGCCACGAGCTGCAGCTTTTTTGGCGCCTCCGGCCTATCTCGACCAACTCGACCGAAACAGCGGCCGCTCCATTGCACCCGCTGCCACGGTTTTCACGACGCTCGAGCATGCTGGTCAAACGAGAGATGCGTGTCTTGCGGGTCGACCTAAAGCGGAACACTCCTGTCGCACACAATGCATCAACTGTCACGGTCCCCACGCAGTAGACCACCCTTAGTGCCCTGCTAGACCATACTCCCAGAAGGGAGCCATAGCCCGCCTCTCGAATGATGCCCTAACTGTAATCCGTAAGACTGGCCGTACTGCATACCAACAACAGCAGGCTACCCTCCGACTCACGAACCTCACCTCTCAAGCTGGCTCTCTAGGCAGCTCACAGGCCAGATCTCCCCTCGATCTGAACTATGAAGACCTTTCAAGCTAACGTAGGAAGTGGCGGCTCCGCCCACGACCTCCTACTGTCTTTCGAGGCAGCCGTTATCATAGTCTAGGAACCGTGGACAGACATGACAAGGCAAATCACAAAAACACACTCAAGATACTAACTCACCGGTCCTATAACCCGGTGGCTAGGGATCCTCCTCGACACTAAGCTCTCTTTCCAGCCTCACATTAACAGGGTCTTTGGCCGAGGCAGGCAGCTTGCACTGCACCCCCGCTGCCTCCATGCGCGCGGCAGTCAATCAATGCGTGATCCGCACGGCCCTATAGGGATAAGGCGCTGAGGTCTTTTATGTGATGGTCTGACAAGCTGGCAAGATGCGACTAGGGGAGTTAGTAATGGGAGGTTGAGGTTGATGCAAGATGGAAGTTTGGCGTAGAGACAAACAGGACAATCGTGGCCTGGGATAAACAAAAATCCTCCTCGATTCCGATCTTCCCTTCTCTCCCTTCTCCAGCTTTTATACTTTCGTTGATAGTACCTAATCGACTCGTCTTTTTGTCTGGCTTGTAACATTTTACATTTTCCAAAAGCAAAAGGAGTCATAAGCTCACTACGCTCTCTCGCTATCGTCCCGGCATATAAAACGGCCCTAGACCTTTGAAAAGCCCCCGAGCTTTTTAAGTTCTAGCGCGGCTACCGGCTTAGTAGGGCTATCGTATAATCTAACCGAGCTAGTAGCTCTAAGGTACTCTCTAGCAGAGGGCTATAATACCTAAAATCCTCCTATATTCCTCTATTGATTTTGCTCGCGAGCGCGGCGAGCCTTATGCCTCTGCCCGCTCTCGCGAGCTTTTTCAGGGTCTAGTTATCTCTTAGGTACGGTAATTTGTTTCAAACAAGAAGCTAATGCGTTCTATATCCTGATACTCTATTCCGTCTAACTGTGCGGCTTCATAATGTATGCGGTTGCGTCCTTCAATCCTCTTAGTTCCCAATTTCCCTATCGACTGATTCCAGGATTTGAGATTTTGGGAACAGAAGCCGATGTTTCCCTCTCTTAAGGCGTTCTTTATGAGTCCAAATAAACCAACAGCCGACGGTTATAATTGCCAATATGGCAGTAGCGACGACAAATATCCAAAACTGCCTGGATATCGTGAAGTTTTCTGTCGTGCCATCACCAAACTTGAACAGATTCATTCCCAAAACAGACTGTTTGATTGTTTAGCGACAGAGTTTCAGTGCGGATGAGCTGCCAATGCTTACTGAGACAAGGCTTGCAGGCAAGTAGATCAAGGTCACCAACGTCACCACTTTGACCGTGGCATTTTCATCAAAATTTTCCTTTCCAAGCTCAAGTAATCCACCATTGACGGTGAGTAAGCGATTGTTCAACTCCACCATCCTATTGCTGAGGTCGAGCATTTTATTATTGAGCCGCAGATTTACTACTATTTCCAACTGCAAATTATGAGCTCAGAATGGAATAAGGGAAAGCTCTATTACATGTACTTACCTTGTCCAAAACATCTTTTACCTTGTGACCAATCACTTCTGACCCAGCCACGAGCCTCTCAAGACGTATTTTGTGGTATGCGGTATGCGTGGCAAGTCTTGAAAAGCCACCATTAACATCATCCTGAGTGGAAGAGAACTCCTTGCTCAAATCTCGTAGCTTTGCTAGAGTTGCTATCGCCACCTCTAGTCTAAACCGAATGGGCAAGATAAGATCGCCGTAGTAATGAAGGTCTTTGAGTTTCTCGTTAGTCCAAGTAGAATTTTCAATCTCCGACAGGATAAGGGTCAGTGAATGATCAACCTAGGAAGATGATTAGCAACGCGATAATGGAGAGTTTCGGGTGAACACACAAAGTGATCCACTTTGAACCCGAGATAATTTACGTAGGAGCGCCAGGAGCCCAGATAAGGAGAGAGTGCAGCGGAATGTAATGCAAACCAAGTAGCATCCGCAGCACGCTGAGAGACCTGAGATGCGAAAATTTCAATTTCTCGCTGCGCCGGCGTGTTGGGCCCGACGTGGAGAAATATCCAAAGATTCTTGATGCCCATGGGATCGTGGCTGTGGAAAACTCCCACCTGCCGCATAGTCCAACGGTCAGCCCCAGTTTGCACCGGAAAAGTAAAACTAAAACTGATATCTGATTGAGAAATCTATTAATCAGTCTGAGTCTCGTTCTTTAAGTGTTGGGGAGCGGGGCCTAACCTTTGATTCCATTGTCTCTTTCTTGAACCGTTATCGCCCCCTCACCCGCGCCAGCACTAAGTGGTTTGTTGCCAAACATCGAAGCTAGATCGCATAATTCTGGTCCAATACTGTATTTAATTCTTAGTGTCTCTAGCGCATCCTTGGATATTTTGAGGGGCAAGATAGAGATCTGGGAATATATCGAGCTGAAATGTCGCTCAGATATTAGCGACCTTCGATCTGGAATCAAAGTTAAATCCCGACACCTTACACGATCCGCAAGTTAGGACATGCGCTTTTTTGAATATACTGCGTAAACTCCTCATTGTCGTTGAAATCCGTGGCGACCAGTCTTCCTTGGTGAGTATCTGATTCGTCACGGTCAGCCAAGAAAGTCGTTTAATTAGCCGCCCAATTTACCATCACTATCAAAAACCGAGATATCTGCGGTGTCCGATGGCTGACAGAAAGCAGGCTTGGAGATGCCAGAAGCCATGATGAGGTTGGCAAGGGAACGATATCTGATTAAGCAGGAGCTGAAGCCTCCACCCAACATTAAATAATGGCTTGAAAGTTGTGATCAAGAGAACTTGATAGCGATCAGTCGAAGGCAGCTCGGGAGGTAATATGTATGGCCCAAGGCACAGCCCAAGGCATGATCTGAGGAAGCGTCTTGCGATGGGATGATCTTTTGCCCCATTAATACTCACCGGGCAAAGCGCTAGGGCACAGCAGGCCACATCAGAAGGTCGCACTCAGCTCAAAAAATGCGGATGGAACGGTGGCTGGGAGGGGCGCAGGATCCTGGTAGCCGCCAAACTCATATGGGGTCACGTTTAACAACAAACCAAGGATCGTCTTGGATCTACTGAATACTGCCCATAGCCTCTTTTAATGGTACTCCGTACTATGGGAAGAGTCCTGGTGAGCAGCTGCGTTACAGCGTGCATGCAAGCACGGTCCGAGCGTTTTGTTCCCAGCGTTTTGTGGCGTGAACGGAAAAAGCAGCAAATAATCCACGGAATAAGAATTTGAGCGCTAAATATTTATCATCCTTCTTCGGATCGGGGATCCTTGAAAACAACACTCAGGTAAAGCAGATGCATTCCGAAGCTCCAAGTTTTCACTGTTGACCATTGGCAGCGTCTCGACAGTGAAAGGCAAACAATAACTGAAGGACTTATTTCACATGTTCATCCTCAATAATGCTCCTGTCAAGTCATATATAAGTAGTTGGTTAAATGGATCGTGGTTTGAAAATCTCATGTGTGACTTACGAGAGCTCTGCCTACAGGCACAGTAACAGGATGTTAGACGATAGAGGAAGAATCATTAGATGAGTGGAAATAGAAACTCACCTCCGTCACGAGCCTTGGGGCTTGAAAATGATATCGGCCGCACTCATACTTCATTCCGCCTGACTTTTAGCACGACGGACACAGAAAACGCAAAAAGTCAAATATGCTTACGTGAACTTTGATCTCCCGCTGGAACATTTGACGCAGTTTGGCCTTCAGCTTTGCCGCCCTGATGTAATTGCTCGTACCTTCTGAGAGGATGGTATGGGGCATTTCCTGGACCATTTCCTGGACCATTGCACCACCGTTTACCGACATGTTCGAAAGGGGGCAGTGCAAGTAAATAGATACAAAAGAGGTATTTGGAGACAATTTTTCCCTTTGTCTGGGGCCAAAAGGCAAGGTCTTCTCGACTTGGTATTATCACGACCCCAAAAATTCTCTGACCACCAGCGGAGTCGGATCCGCTTCGTATTATGTTTAAAGGAGCGACTGAAGAGATCCGTTTGCTTTTGCCTCGCAACCTGACAGCGGCTCCAGCCGTGACTTCCGCAGCGCCGGGACGTCACACTGCGGCTGTGATGGAACTGGGGCCACCAATGGGTGCAATTTCTGAGTAATGCGCATGGGTGGTTGGGAGCCTCCACGTGCCGCTCATGCATATTTCACCACGAGGCCTTAGCACAGAAGGCGGCGGTCCGAGGTACATGGGCGAATAATCAGCCAAGCAATAACAGACACCACCAAGGCAGATCCACCATTCGTTTGGAAACTGAGGGTGGTCGTGAGGGGTGGAAAAAAAGCAATAACATATCCCGGTCCAAAGAAATCCAATGATAATAGGAGTATCTGCTGAGAAACTTTCTACCCAACTTGATTGGGCAGGACAACGTGGTCACATTGGCGAGCTTTGGATTACCAGGTGCAAAACATAGCAGCCCGACAGAAAATGATACGTCATAGTAGGATGAAACCGAGCTTGAAGGCGCAGTATTGAGCAGTTGGCACGGACAGCTTGGCGAGACTGCCCGCTTGAGCCTAAACATTTCCCGCGGTTGATACCTTAGTTTTGTGTCGAGTACTCTCTGAATCTGATGGCGAAGGCTTCGAAATCTGCCAGCTATCTTGGAGTTGCCTTTCTCTTGAAATGGGGACTGGAATGCGCCTTACTCTACTATAACTAAATTTAAAATCAGAGGCTCGAGTGCAAAGATATGTGTGGAGAACGCGCCACTATGGACTGTCTCGGAGCAGAAACCCTTTTTGGACTTTTTTGACATTCAGCACTTATTCGGCTGTCTTCCAATTTACGGCTGGTTCCCCGCCGGTAAAATTGCGGCTCTTAGCTAGTGTTCTGGACAGCTGAATCAGGTGAAAGCTAAGAATCCTGGGGGTTTTCAACCCCGCATCTTCCAGGCACCCTTGAATCGTCTTTCTCTCTACTCGTAATCTTTGTTAAGCCTCTTAAGTGGGGGACTATTCCAGACGAGCCGCTATTCATCCATTGAACACAGAGTGTGAGCGCTACTTCTTCCGCGATGAATTCCCACGACGAGCCACATCTCAATCACACAGCTCCGTAAGACTTCATATGAGAAGAGTTATTTTACTGTGTTGTGCAAGGGTGGCTAACATACACCGCATAATAGAATAGATAACCCCCTCTCTGGGATAGACCTACAGCAGCTGACAACAATTGTCGAACGGTTTCATTGTCGCGTGGGACTGGAAAATGTTGTTGATGTGCAGACCCTCCTTAAAGGCGCACAGGTAGCGCAGGACCCAGATGACTGCCACACGGCGAGACTTTCCACGCGGGAACGAGACGCCCTTGCGAGAGAGAATTCTCCGTGGTTTTGGCAGTCTAGGGACCTTAGCATCACCATCTTAGCAACGGCTTGCGCCGCGATCACGCAGTATGTGCTCCCATCCGAAAGGAATTAATACGATCTGATCTCGGCTTTCAAGAGGATGGCAGCAATCAACGATTAATGCCAGCCATCTTTTTGGATGGGAGAAAGAGTTGCGCCTTGAAAATCAGCTTTTGATTGGATTGATGAATGCGGCCCCGTGGCTTTCGGGGAGCGTTATGTATGCAGGACCATATCCAGGATACTCTTGTTACTCTCTAACTGATGTGCCAGAGGAACCTGGTTGAGCGATCCACTTCAGGAAAGATTCTTTGGAAGGCGACCTGCGCTTTTCATTGCTGCTGTATTTTGCGTGGCTTGCGTGATAGGTATAATCTCCGCCTAACAACAAAACGGCTACACCAGCTCATCATGGCATTCATATAGGGACGGCTAACTGTGACTCATGGCAAACGCTTCTAGTATGTAGACTATTACTTGGTGTTGGGGTAAGAAGTCCCTCGCCTTGATATTATTACCTATTTTCCAATATAATAAGGCGATCTAACGTGATGGAAACCCAAACAGATAGGTTCCAAAGCCTCGATTGCACCAGTATTTGCCGCTGAAGCCGCCCCTGACAAGCAACGTGGGAGGGTATTGATGATGTGGCAACTTTTTGATGCATTGTAAGTTCGAATATCGGGCATCAAGGGCTGCATAACTAACGAAAATATAGTGGCATATTCTTGGGGTTCGTTTGCATTTTCCTTGTACGAGATAGCTGGAGAGCTCTTTTGGCAACGGCGATAATTCCGGCTATCGTTCTTCTTTTCTTGGTTTTCGTATGTCCCGAGTCGCCGCGCTTCCTTATTCGACGAGGACGGTATCCCGAGGCGTATATTAGCCTTCGCCGGCTCCGAGGAACAGACATCCAGGCCGCTAGGGATCTCTTTTGCATTCATGCGCAGCTCCAGGCCGAAACAACGGCGGTATGGAACAGCAACAAAAGGAAACCATGGCACGACGGCCAGATCTACCAGGAATGGATCATGAAAACCCATTTCTTCAAAAGGATGTGGTATCTTTTTCAAAACCCTCGCACTCGGAGAGCTTGTATGGCGGCTTTTATTGTGATGGCATCACAACAACTCTGTGCGGTGAGTTCTGATACTTTTGCAAGAGATTAGTCGTTATTTTCTTTCAGCTTTGCTCAATCCGATAAACAGATCAACGTTTTGGCGTTTTACTCGTCTAGTCTATTCGACAGTGACAAGAATCATTCGTCTGTCAAATGGTACAATTTCGGTGAGTTTGGATCACAGACCAAACAGTTCAAATCTGATCGATCTCCGAGAAGGCTTCGGTCTCGCCAATTTCCTTTTCACTTTTCCGGCCTATAAGTTCATTGATAATCGCGGACGCCGATTCCTTCTCCTTATCTCCTTCGTCGGCATGACCTTGAGTCTCATTGTTGTGAGCGGCGTTTTCTACATCACCGATCAAAAGATACGCATGGGCCTGGTAACATTTTTCTCCGTCATTATTTTTACTTTCTTCTACTCTATTGGTGCCGGGCCTATTCCCTTCACTCTCAGTGCGGAGGTATTCCCCCTGTGCGTACGTGGTAAGTACTTGGCCATTACCCTGTAATGCTTACGCAATGAAGCTAAGGTAGAGCTAAACGATGACAGAGGTGGGCATGAGCTTTAGTGTTATGATAAATTTTCTTGGCCTTGGTCTCTTGGTGCTTTTTGTGCCGAAATTGGCCAACATATTTGGACGCCGTACGCAATGCGGCCCTAATGGGGATGAGAGCCATTGCGATGGCCAGGCGAAACTTTTTTTTCTTTTTCAGGTCGGTCGACTCGTATTTTTTCCTCATGCTTTGATATTGACATACCTTAAGTGGTTTAAATGTGCTGGCACTTATCCTAATATTCTTTTTGGTTGGTTTTCCAAGTTCATATTCAATTTCTTTTTCCCTTTCCTGACAGAAGCAGGTCCCGGAAACAAATCGTGTGCAATTGGAGGCCATGAATTCAATCTGTACGCACTGCCCCGTCTTACGATACCAATTAATGCTGGCATTCAGAATACTAACTTCCGACATAGTCCGCCGCAGGACAAAGGAACAAGCTGCTAACCACATCCGCGCCTTGAGACCATTTTCCCAGAAGGCCAACCCTCCTTGGATGGAAGACATACAAATGGAAAACAGAATGGAACAAGCGTAACCGTGTCATGACTGATAAATATTACCACAGAAATGATTAAGTTTAAGTATATTGCGTGATGATGGTACTGAGAATGATAAAATGAAATATAACTTGCAAATCGCCAGGATACGAAGCCCCAGTATTATGAATGGCTTCATCGTAGGTATCATGGAAAGGCGGGCTTTGTACAAAACAAAAGGTCATCCCCGCCAAGCGCGTAGAGAAAACCCCTTATTTTTTTCTGGTCGTGATTCCCTTGCCTCGTCCACAATTCTCTTCATGTCGGCCGAAAGGCTACTCCTTTTGTAATCGTGCGGCAACTTTGCCCCGGCATCAACAAGTGCCTTGGCAAGGAGCACCTTATTTTCATCCACGACAACCTCCAAGGGGGTTCTTGAGTGGCAGTTGGGGTTCAAAATGTACCTCCTGTTCAATTCTGCCCCTCCTCTCCGAAGAGCATTAAACTTTCTAGTCCATCTCATCTTTTCGTCCTCGCGGTAATGATCGAAAAGCCTCACCACGTGTAGCATTAGGGGTGTTGCGAATGAGTCCGAATCCCTTAAGCCAGGCGGAGTCATATCAAAGTCCATGCGGCCATTGAATGTCTGGATCACATCCGCCTCGCAGTGCGTATTGCACACGGCCCAATGTAGGCAGTTCCATCTGCCGATGAAGACTTCACACTCTGCACCGGAATCTAATAGTTCCAAAATAATGCCGGCATGCCCTGCACGGGCAGCCTCCATCAAAGGAGTCCTGTTGTCCTTGGACAACCTGTTGACGGAAGCCTTGGCTTTGAGCAAGAGCTTGACAATCGTCAGGCTTCCTTTGCAAATGGCGAGGTTCAGTGGAGACTGCCCATCTGAAGCAGGCAATTCCGGATTCGCGTCCTTCTTTAAAAGTGCTTCGACAATAGGAGCGCTTCCTTTTTGAATCGCGTGGATGAGAGGTCTCTCGTTATCGTCGATCTCCTCTAAATCAACTTCTGCTTGGAGACAGTTCAGAACGTCTTTGAGAGTACCATTCTTAATGGTGCTAACGAGGACACCGACAGACAAGAACCGGCCAGGGTGCCTGGGCCCTGTGGGGATCCTTTCTGGAATCGGAACCGAACTTTGAGTGTTGTCGTTCGGTCCAACTTCAGAACGCAGACGGCGGCTATACATGGATCGCCCACTGGTTCCATCTCCGGAACCTCCAATGGATAATTCATTACCACCAGGGAGATTCAGATCCTCATTCGGATATGTTGTCGATGGACTCATGCTGGACCGACGTCCTCGACTTTGGAGTGTATGTAACTTGGCAAAAACACCATGTGCGGACAGTCGTTCGTTAATATTTATGGCAAGCATTGACCCAAGAAGCTGCTGTATTCCGGTCAAGAATTCAGGCTCGTAGGAGGCTGCATACTTGACAGGCAGATCTTTGATCCAGGACTCCACGTGGGGATTAAGAATCGGAGGACTTCTTCGTTGGAAACGATCATGACTGTAAAATCCTTCTCCATTCGTCGCTCGAAGTCTTGATCGATCAAGAGTTTCCAACCCTGCCGGATCAAAGCCCAGAGCAAATAGGCGAACGAGTATGCACCCGAAAGACCAAACGTCACATTTGGGATGGACCACAGAATCTGGGCTCTGATATGAGCCGCATTCAGGAAGAGGAATATCCAACGTCTCGGCCCAAAATCCGGAATCATATCTGTTACTTGCCCACCCCTCCAATATCACTGAGGGAAATTGGGGCGCTATTCTAGATATACCGAAGTCTGTGATTTTCCAAATCCCCGTTGCAGGCTTCCCAGGGCTTCGGAATACTAGGATATTCCTAGGCTTTAGATCCAAATGACACATCGCCTGTTGCCAGAGGTTATCTGCTTCGCTTTCAGGCTGAAGCCCAAAATGCATGAAGCGAATGGCACCAGCCAGCTCCTTGGCTTCTGCGATGAAGTCAACCAGAGAAGGATTCTTTTCCATTTCTCTATAGCGCCCTTGCATGAAGTCTTCCAGGTCCATGTCCGCCCACGGTGAGATGATATTCAAATCGTTGCCGACCGTAACGATTGCGAATTCGGAAAGGATTCGTTGGTGAATGACCCGATTCGATCGAAAAATCTTCAGATTTACAAGTTCACGCCAAGAGCGGCCTGTGTGAAACTTCTTCCGTGCAACTATCAGTTCCGTCTAGGTGTGGTATTCGATATTAGCACTTTCCACCCCAGAAGACATCCTATATGGAGGATGTGCAATACCCACATCGTTAAGAACACCCGTATTATGGTCAGGGAGGTGATTAAGAATAATCTGCCCGGCGGGAATCTTTTCTTTTGTAACAATCCCAAATCCGCCCCTTTTAGGAGTTTCTGATTCCACTCGAACCAATGGGAGCCGATAGTCCTCATTGTAGGGTTCTTCTTGGCCACGACTCAACAAGATCGGAAAGTATGTCCACCTTTCTGTAGCGAAAAGACGCGCCGAGGGGCTGTCACTTCCAAAAAAGCATTCGTCCTCCAGTTGCTCCATGGTGAACGAAAGGACGTTTCGATCTCGACGATAAAGCGCAACATCCAGGTCTTCGGGAAAGAAAATCGCCTTGAACCTTGACCAGTCCGACCAAGATATGCCAATAAGTATGGATATTATATGCAACAGTCCGACTCTGGCGGTATCGATCTCGCTCTGCTGGAGTCCCAGGCCATGGTCCATCGCGAACTGTTCCAGGCGACCTCCAGCCCATATTTTCCGGATTGCCGCGGAGGGAATAAATGCGCGGGACGTTCCAGGGTAGTACGTTGCATTTCGAAGACTAGCCGCGATATCTCTCGAGCTCATTTGGATGTCCTTCGATGCAGTGGGTCCAGGGACGCCGCCTCGGTGTTGGGTAGGAGGGGCTAGCAGGAGGGTTAATGCTGATTCGCAGGCAGTGCTAACCAGTGCTTGCTCATGCTCGCGCGTTCTGGAGGGTGAGTCTTTCTCCGCCCCAAAAAAGATATGCCAGGGGAACGATAAGCGTGGTGGATCGTAAACAGTCTAAGGGAACAACCGGAGGAAGAAGCCCCACGATGCAAACGCTCAGGGAACTAGAGCCTCGAGGTCGACTCACTCTTGGCATGTGAGGGGCTACATAAGTCGTCATCGTCCAAACAAAAGACCCCGCAATTGCCGTCGTCCCCGTGGCTTCATCTGTTAGATTAGTGTTATCTCCAGTGTGCCATATAATACAGCTCTAATCATTCAAGGCATCACCAAAGCATACCCCTCCGTTTCTCAGCGCCAGCGCAATAAGCCCTGGGGGAGCTGAGCTAGCGCCGAGGCTCTTTGTGGGGACACGTATTCTTGTGGGGAGCACATATCCGTGCCCTCCATGATATTGCGGCCCACATCATGGAGGGCACGGATATGCCAACCATCGACATCTTATTCGTAATATTGCCAACGAGCGCCGTAATCGGGTCAGCAAAGTACTTGGTAGAGACACCACTGATAGGGTGATGTCGTGCCTGAGTTACTTGCAGCTGCCTCCTATTGGTTTCCCCCCCGAGTGTTCTATCTCTTTTAACACTTACAAATCACTCCCAAGTATCCCAAGCGTCCTCCAAGACACGGAGTTGGTTCCATCCACATAACAACTGTGAACCAATCTGCATCTATGTATTTAACGTACCCTCTGCCTGCCATTCTCTTGATCTCAGGTAATCAAATTTATCCCGTTTGAGTTAGTTCCGCCTGATTCTCATTCGCCAGAGTGCCTACTAGCAGTTACGAGTTTACATCGGTCTGTTAGGTGAGTATTGAAAAACATTGGCCTAATACTTGATAAGTTATTTTCTCAACTATTGTCAATTTCGAGTCAAAACATTTCAACCATAGCTGCTTCGGGGACGAAAGAGGATGCAATACCTGATCACTTCAAACTGAGCAGCAACGATCCCCCCCCCCCCCCATGGTGAGAGCCAGATGCATCGATTACATCGGCGAACATTCAACTAGCGATGAAGGCACGGTGAAGCTCCAAAAGTTTTCGTTACACAATAATCATTTCACCAAACCTCCAGCGAAAGAACATGACAAGCCGCGAATTCGAAAAGTTTTCACTATCCAAAAAGAAGATCGATCAACCACAATTACCTTGTTAAATCGCTCCCTTTTAGTCAATGCTCTGGAGAACTTCCAGAAACAGCTTCTGAAAACTTGGGAGGGCGAGTAATGAGGTCCATTGTTACTAGCAATCTATCTACATTCCGGCTTGGTCTTGTTTCATTTCCTTTCTGTGCCTCTTTTGGCTTGGGTAAACTACAGGGCGGCCTGCATCAAGGTTGAAAGAATATCCGATTTAGTCCTGGAAGATATGTCTGGACATAATGCTTGTCTCCTAAATAATTCTCAAATTGGCTATTGCTCTAGTCTAGAATCTATCGTTTAGACTTACCTCGCCCGAACTAAGACGATTGTCTAGATGGTCTCAAAGCTTGTTTATTTATGCTAGGAGAGGAATATGACTGGAAGAGTTATGTGGTATTGATAAGCTATTAGCAGTCATTTATAGGTGCTGGCGTATCTCACAACTTTCTGCGCATGTGCCAGCCTCAAATATAAATCGACAAGAGGCCACACGACCTAGCACGGAGTAGTGTTAGATCTAAAACAAGCTAATCGTAGTTTGCGACAAAGTTGTCGCCACGTTATGTGGGTTTGTCGCCCCACGGATTTTAGCCACGCTGTACATGCTGTTGAGGGGCTTCGTAGCTGCGATTCCTGGGGCAAGGAAATACAACACGTTGAAGTCCACATCCTGTTAGTGGCCTGGACACCAAGCACACTGCTTTGGGCTAAGGCGATATTGAAGTCAGCCTCGCCATTGATTTGACCAAACCTATGGGTTGGAATTCGACGGTATATGCAAGTGCCAAGATGCCCCAGTTTCCGCTAGCCTGAGACGAACTAATAACCTTGCATCTGAGCCTAGGTGAGAGAGGGTCAGCGCGGTGGTCGCGCGACGGAGGGTGAGAATCACCCGCTCTCACCTGGCTTTCCACCCTGTCAATTGTGCACTCGCCCTACTCACCCCCGGTTGTGCAATGCTAAAGCAGCGCTCTATGAACTAGATTTATAATTATAGATAATGCAGTTTGTCTCAACTCTCGTTCAAGCACATACGACCACAGGGTGTGGAGAACAGGGCTTCCCGTCCGCTCAGCCGTACTTAAGCCACACGCCGGCCAGTTAGTAGTATGGTGGGTGACCACATGCGAATCCTGGCTGTTGTATGTTTTGGTCTCTGCTTTTTTGACATGATTGCCAGCCAATTTTTCGAGTGTTTGGAGAATAGTGGCTCAGAGCACTAACCGAGACTTACAAGGCGTGTGTAATTTTGTTTGTAGTATTTCTATAGCGGACCTTTCACACCTTTCACAGAGTCTAGGATTCGAAGTTTTGTCCTTTCGTTGTATCCTCTTCCTAGGCGCGAAAGTTGTCTGCTTGAGCTTCGTAAGATCTATCCGATGTTATGTCTCTTTGCAAACATACTCACGATGAGAGTGATTCCTGAGACCCCAACACCAATCGCCCATATTGCTCTCAGGCTTTGGACATATGCCGATCTGATTTGAAACCGAGTAGCTTTGTTCGTCCGGCCCAGGAAATTCAGCACGTCAAATGCATCTCGGCTATATCGATCTGCGACGGAGGCCAGACGCGGGTTCTGCAGCAAGATTGTTCGACCACGATTTTCGAAAGTGGCACCGCCGACTGCAACACCGAGCGCCTGCCCGAAGCTCCGGGAGAACGTTGACAGGGTGATGGCAATGGAAACATGTTCTGGAAGGTCCGAGGCTTGCACGGCGACAGCTATTGCCGGCATTCCCGTTCCGAACCCGAGACCAGATACCATGCACAGGAATATCCAAGCAGGTGTACTTGTTTCAACCTGAAGAAGACAGAGTAGCCCCAGCCCAAGCGTACAAAAGGGCCAGCTTGTCAAAATGGTCCAATAGCAATTGCCAGTAACGGTTATAAGAGAACCGGTAAGAATAGCTATCGGAGCAATGGTTAATGTGGCGGGGAAAAGGGCCACGCCAGCAATGATTGAGTTGTATCCTTTTACAGCCTCAAAGTAAAGCGGGAGGTAGTACAGTTCACACCAAAGCAAAAATCCCATAGCAAAATAGCCAATCAATGAAGTTGCTGTGGATTTGTTGCGGAAGATCACTGGTGGAATGAGGGGGAAGGTTGAATACAGACAATCATATGCGCCAAACGCGACAAGCCCCATAATCCCGAGGATTAATGCCGCCAAAGTGTGCCAAGAGTTCCACGGAAACATGATGCCACCCCATGAGAGAGGGATCAGGAAAGAACTAGCGCTGGTGACGAAAAGGAATATGCCAATGAAGTCGATTTTGTGGAATTGAGTCCTGAACGCACCAAGCGTAGAACTTCGGGGCATGAAGCAAACAATCAGAAAGTTTATGTAGAACATCCAGCGCTGTAAGCGACATTAGGCTACTGGCAGTGCCACTGAAGTAGATGAGCCACCCAAAGCTGCCATGAAGCTGAGGACCATGAGCGCAGTAAATGTCAAGCGCTGACCCGTAGTGAGGTAGAAGGCATTCATGGTCTCCTCGTTGCTATCGAGCTCGAGCGACTCGGGTTTTCTTCTCATGATGTCTAGCTGGACTGGTCACGTTGCAGAATGTCAGAAATGGGCTTCCTCATCCCCTCACAGGCTGTTCCCGTAGTTGACTATATGAACTATGGCAGTCCTTGGTGGGTTGACACTCTACCATGATTCTAGACGCAAATAACCACATTCCACATATTTGTTTCTTTATTCACAAAATAAACTTTCTGTGGACTACGCCACTGGAGCCCACTAAGAGGCCAATCAACGGGTATATGGCTATTCTTCCATACAGCATCACTATACGTAGGCCTATCTTGTTCAACACGCATGCCTCACAATCCTCTTTAGTGGGAGCTCTAGGGAAATTATTTTGAAGCGTATTGATTGGCTCTTCGAGCTATAATAACCAGATTTTCTCGGTCGGCAAGGGGTTTCTTGGATTGAATGAAGGTAAGTGTGGAATGTGCAACATAGAACTAAGGTTTTCTCATAGTTCTAAGCAAGGAGCATTTTTTTTTCCAAACTACAGTACATGCAGGTTTATGTATTATTGAGGAACGTAGGAACCAGATGCCTACTCGCAAACTCTATGATTATGGACCCGTCATCCATGGATTGTCTATTATGTGCGCCCTACGTTCTTTGTATGCCTTGCTTTCATTCATTAACTATCTCTTCTGCTTTTCTCATGATGTGTGTAAGTAATCTCTTGGCTCGAAACTGCGGCAGACACCCTGTTCACCCTTTTTTAGATATATCAGTGCGGCGATCTTTTGTTAAATCTCCGTCAGGTTTTACAAGTCCAAGGGACTGGAACATACCGCGGCACCTTATTTTTGATTATACCTATCTCTCTAGTTGGCCAAGAATCCTTCGAATCTACATCAAAATTGACTGCTTTAGAGAGGTTTTTTTTGTATTTTTCAATTTTTCAATTTAATTTTATATACATCCTCCACCTTTCAACACGAACAGCAACCAACACGGTGCCGTTTCTCTTGTCAACTCATACTCCATATTCGGCAGGTACGAGGGCTACGAAGTAGTCCTACAGAGGCCCCTGAGACATTGGTCGCGATTCGGTTGTCAGTATCTCCGTGTTTTCTGGGGAAATCCAACCTCAAAATCTCTCGAGGCCGTGATTCCGACATGACGATCAACGACGGTGTTGCGACGTACAGCTCTAATGACAGCTACGGAGGCATCGTTAATGATGCTATTCCTAATGGTATCAATCAAACAGATCAAGTGAGCCCAGTTGATGGCACAAGCAGACAAGATATCTCTCCGAAAAAGACCGACAAAATTGCAGCTCCCGAGCCGATTGCTATTGTGGGCATGGCCATGCGCCTTCCAGGAGGCGTTAACAGTGCCACTGATTTCTGGAGCTTGTTGATGGATAAGCGCAACGGGTGCATACGTGTCCCAGAAGACCGTTATAATGTGGACGCGTTCTACAGCGAGAGTGGAAAGCCAGGGACAGTTCGTACGCAGTATGGAAACTTCTTGCAGGATAACATCAAGCATTTTGACGCATCATTCTTCTCTATGACTCGTTCAGAGACTGAAAAGCTTGATCCACAGGCCAGGCTACTTCTCGAAGTGAGTAGAGAAGTGCTTGAGAACGCTGGAGAGACGCAATGGCGAGGCCAACGCATTGGTTGCTATGTCGGTGTTTTCGGAGAGGACTGGCAGGATATCCACCTGAAGGATAGTCAGGATGCGGGGATGTACCGGGTTACAGGATATGGTGATGTATGTCTTCCTCGATGACTATATTCTTGTTGATGTGCTCAGCTGAGGCAATCATTGTTCACAGTTCCTATTAGCCAATCGCATCTCTTATGAATACGATATGAAAGGACCCAGGTAAATTATCTTTCTCCTCTCCCAAAAAAGTTTTGCGGCGTACAAAGGCATCTTACGCTGAATACCTGGTGATAAAAGCGCAACTATCAAGACGGGCTGTTCCTCGTCGCTCATTTGTCTGCATATGGCATGCAAAGCAATTGCAAACAACGAGTGTGATGGTGCCATCGTTGCTGGTACCAACTTGATCATGTCGCCAACTATAACAATCGCCATGTCCGAGCAAGGTGTGCTGTCACCGGATGCAGCTTGTAAGACATTTGATGCAAGAGCAAACGGCTATGCCAGAGGAGAAGGTACAGCGTTCTAATCCTCTCCAGTGTAACTGAAGATCCTCACTAAGATTCGTATAAAGCAATCAACGCAGTTTACATCAAACGACTCTGCGACGCGATCAGAGATGGGAATCCAATTCAAGCAGTGATCCGAGCTACGGCTAGCAACTGTGATGGCAGAACACCGGGAATCTCGCATCCAAGCTCCGAGAGCCACGAAGTCTTGATGCGGGCTGCTTATACTGCGGCTGGCCTCAATGATTACTCTGGTATGGGATTCGTGGAGTGTCATGGGACAGGGACGTCAATTGGTAGGAATTCCCTTGGGCTACTCGCTTGAGTACTGAGCGGAAATAACTTCCTCGATAGGCGACCCCTTGGAAGCGCAAGCTGTAGCCAACGTCTTTGGAGAGCGAGGAGTGTATGTTGGATCGGTAAGGCTCTAACTGGATTTTGCTGTTTGTGGCTCTTCAAACTGGCTGATACTTCACAGTGTAAACCCAATGTCGGCCACTCTGAGGGTGCATCTGGGATTACAGGAGTCATCAAGGGCGTACTTGCTTTGCAGCACAAGACCATTCCCCCGAACATTTATTTCCGAACACCAAATCCTAAGAGTTTGTTTGCCTCCGGACCAGCTGTTGGCTCGACTGCTAAATAAATCATCCAGTCCCGTTCGATAAGCTGAAAGTTCCAACGGACGCTATCCCCTGGCCGAAAAGCTGCGCGGAGAGAGTCTGCGTCAATTCTTTCGGCTTAGGTGGTGCAAATGCGACTGTAAGTCCGGCAAATTCACTGCCAATCAAATGTTAAATCTCTGGATAACACGAGCAAGGTCATTCTCGATTCCGCTGCATCTCATGGCTTGCAAACACAAACAGTTCTTTCTCGGAAAAAAGAAGAGCTCCTCGTCTTCTCGGCAAATCATACCGACTCACTGGAGCAACTGGTTGCAAACTCGAAGGAATTCCTTGAAACGAATCCAGACGCAACGGCTGACCTGGCGTACACTCTCGGTGCCCGCCGAGAGCATCTGCCATTTCGCAAATTCTTGATTACCGGCGATAGAATCACCGAGGGACCCACTGGAGTAAAACCAAGCTGCGAACAGACAATCAACTTTGTGTTTACTGGCCAAGGCGCCCAGTGGGTTGGAATGGGCAGGGAGCTACTACGTGCGTATCCCTCCGTCCGAGAGGATATCAGACAACTCGATAGTACCCTCCAGCGACTTCCAGATGGCCCGTCTTGGTTGATTGAAAAGGAGCTTCTCACGACGGAACCTTCCACTGATGACGAGAATTTTGCCAACAAGATGGCCATGCGGTTTGGAAAGGCGGAATTCGCGCAGCCACTTTGTACGGCTGTGCAAATTGTCATCATCAATCTTCTCAAAGCTTGGGGAATTACTCCGAGTGCCGTTGTTGGTCACTCCAGTGGAGAGATTGCGGCTGCGTATGCTGCAAATGCCATCACTCAAGAGGAGGCAATCATTGCTGCATTTTATCGGGGCTTGTGTGTGAAGTTACAGACGAAGCGGGGTGGTATGGCAGCCGTTGGGCTTGGACAGGATGACATCAAACACTTCTTGATCGACGGCGTGGTTGTGGCCTGCGAGAATAGCCCCAGCAGTGTCACAATATCCGGCGACGTAGAACCAGTGGAGAAAGTCCTTGAACAGATCAAATATGAATTGCCGGGCACTTTTACCAGGGTTTTGAAGGTCGAGGTGGCGTATCATTCCCGTGAGTATCTGATCTCACCTTATACAGAAAGTTACTCTGCTAAGAGCTTTATGACACAGATCACATGGCGGAGGTCGGACGTGAATATCAGGCTGCAATCGAGGATTTGATTGACGCAAAGAAACCCGAGATCAAATTCTTCTCCAGCGTCACTGGAGAGCTGGTTAATGCAAATGGATCATTGGGCCCTGCTTATTGGCGAGCAAATTTGGAGTCAACAGTGCGGTTCTCTAGAGCAGTCATGACTCTGCTGAAGGGTAGCTCAGGAGATCAGATTTTCCTTGAAATTGGTCCACATGCTGCTCTTCAGGGTCCGCTTCGCCAGATCCTCAAATCGTGCGACGCTCGGACTTTGAACTACTATACCGCATTAGTTCGCAACACCAGCGCCACTCTGAGCATTTTGCAATGTGTTGGGCAACTCTATGTCCGAGGATTACCGATTGACTTCAAAAGCATGGCCCCAGGTAGGGTTCTCACAGACTTGAGGCCATATCCTTGGCACCACGAACTTGAATACTGGGACGAAAGCCGTATTTCCAAAGATTGGCGTTTTCGCAAGTATTGCCACCATGAAATTCTGGGAAGCCGAATCAGCGATGGCTCTGACCTGGAGCCAACGTGGAGAAACCTGCTCAGAATGGAGGAGTGCTCCTGGATTCGTGACCATCAAGTTTCCTCTGACATAATTTTCCCTGGAGCAGGGTATATTGCCATGGCTGGTGAAGCCATTCGGCAGCTGACTAGCGCTGAAGACTTCACAGTCCGCGAGGTAACCCTTGCTTCGGCTATGGTAATCAGCGAGTCACAAAACACTGAGCTTATAACCTCGCTGAGGCCTCTTCGTCTGACCAACTCCCTCGACTCTGTTTGGTACGAGTTCTCTATCACATCCTACAATGGTGCTTCCTGGACCAAGCACTGTTTCGGCCAGGTGCGTCCCGGTCCGGAGTATGACTTGAAACCCCCAGGACATCAAGCGCTGCCCAGAAATGTCTCATCCGCAAAATGGTATCAAACCATGCGAAGCATTGGGCTCAAATACGGGCCCAGATTCCAGGGACTGGATGAGATCTCTACAGGAACGAATCAGATGGTCGCGAATGCTTCATTGTCAAATGAGCTGCACGCCGATGAAGGCTTTTACGCGATGCACCCGTCTACCATTGATATGTGCATTCAGCTTTTCAGCGCCGCTGCTACCTATGGTCAGCCACGCCGGCTTAGATTGCTTTCGGTGCCCAGTGCGATTGAGAGCCTCTATATCGCACGACCTGAGAGCAGGATAAACATAACCGTCGAGGCGTCGACAACTCCTAGGGGCTTAATCACAGGTAATGGAGCTGGAACATCAAACGGAAAGGTCGTATTTGAGATCAAGGGGCTTCAGTTGCATCCACTAGAAGACAGCGATGACCTTCGTGGTTCAGATCCCCATGCGGCATGTCACATTTATTGGAAGCCAGATATTGACTTCCTTAACCCTGTTGACCTCATCCGACCAGCGAATGCGGGAAGTCAACGCCAGTGGTACCTCCCTGTGGAGAAGCTAGCACTCTTGTGCACGATTGAGAGTTACAACGAGCTGAAATCCGTTCAACCATCGGAAAGACATCTCATCAAATACCAATCCTGGTTGGAGCGAGAATCTATTCGCGCAACAAGAGGTGACAATGTGCTAGTTGAAGAACCGCAGACTCTTGTTGCCCTGAGATCTGATGAGCGACTTGCTGAAATCACACGTCTCACAGAGCAAGTTCTTCAGACACCAACAAGAGTTGCTGCCATCGCAATTCGAAGAATTTTCGATGCTGCGAAGGACATCTTTGAAGGAAAAGTCAATTCCTTGGAATTGTTGCTCACAGACGATGTCCTCACCCAGTTGTATAACTTGGGAGACCGGTGGCACCACGCGGATTTCTTCAAGTCGCACTGCCATGCAAAACCTTGGCTAAGGATCTTGGAAATAGGCGCTGGCACCGGAAGTACCACAGCCACAATTCTTGACAGCCTTTCATCTCACGGAGAACGAATGTATGGCTTGTATTCGTACACAGATATTTCCGCGGGCTTCTTCATTGAGGCAAATGATCGCTTTGCCAATTACTCCAATATCGAGTATTCCGTGTTAGATATTACCCAGGACCCAGCAGACCAAGGCTTTGAGGTTGCCTCCTACGACGTTATAATTGCGAACAACGTTCTTCATGCGACACCTAACATTCGTGAGACGCTAACCAATGTGAAGAGACTTCTTCGCTCCGACGGCTTTTTGTTCCTCGATGAATTGTGCTCTACTGCAAACTGGTTGAACTACATCATGGGCACGCTATCCGGATGGTGGCTGGGTGAAGCTGATGGACGCTCCTGGGAGCCGTATGTTAGTCCTGAGAGATGGGCACAAGAGTTGGCAGCTGTGGGATTTAGCGAGCCATCCATTTTCTATGATGATGAGGCTCCATATCAGGCCAACGCTCTCATTGTCTCACGTATCAAGCCAGTTGAGGAGACACAAACTCCAAACCTTATCTCACTACTCTGCGATAGCTCCACTCAGCTTCCCCTTGTCGCCGAAATAGAGAACAAACTGACAAGGTCGGGCTACATGGTCGAGCATTCTACACTGAAGGATCCGCCGAAACCAGGGCAGGACATTGTCTCTGTGCTGGACTTGCAGGAACCTTTCCTTGAGAGGATATCTGAGCAGCGTTTCAACGATCTGGTGCAATTTTTCCACGCTTTAGATGCAGAATCCGGTGTCCTATGGCTGACTAGAGCGGTGCAAGTAAACTGCAAGGACCCGAGATGGGCGCAGTCGCTTGGCTTCACGCGCACCATTCGCAACGAACTCGCAGTGGACGTGGCCACCCTAGAGCTTGACACCCTAGAGTGCGAAGCCAGTGGGGCAGTGAAAAACGTGTTGAAGAAGTTCCAGCGTCGTACGAAGACTGATGGCTATGACACCGACTATGAGTGGGTTCTCGATAGCGGGAAGATTCACCTTGGGCGGTTCCGCTGGTTCTCCGTTAATGATGGGCTTCGTCGCACCAGATCTGACAGTCAACTCCCCAAAAGACTTGAAATTACCAAGCGAGGCTTCCTTGGAACCCTTAGATGGGTGCAGCATCCCATACAAGCCTTGGTTGATGATCTGGTTGAGGTCGAGGTCCGCGCTGTGGGCATGAATTTCAAGGTATGCTTCTCTCCAGCGCACTATAGGTGAAAATTATCTAATTCCCGTGCAGGATGTACTTATCGCGCAGGGAATCGTCGACGGACACCCGAGCGAGGGCAGTGGCCTCGGCTGCGAATGCGCTGGTGTCATTCGCCGAGTTGGGCCCAAAGTGCAGAACCTTACGGTAGGGGACAGAGTCATGGTATTTGCCGGTGGATCTTATTCGACCTCACTGGTTACAAAATCGTCACTCTGCGCCAGAATCCCCCCCCAATTATCATTCGAGGAAGCTGCCACAATGCCCTGTGTCTACAGCACGATGATTCGTTCCATAATCCACCTTGGCAGGCTGCGTAAGGGACAGGCAAGCTTCTCCTTTCTTCTGTTCCGATTCGGTCATTCAGCAAGAAACTGACAATATTTCATTCAGAATGTCTTAATCCACTCCGCGTGTGGCGGCATTGGTAGTGCTGCTATTCAAATCTGCCAGATGATAGGTGCAACAGTGTGCTACTTCAGATCCACCTCGTTTGCCAACATCAACTGACTTGCCTCAGATTTATGCAACGGTGGGAACCGAAGAAAAGACGCAATACCTGGTGGATACTTACGGCATCCCTCGAAGTCACATATTCAACTCTCGTAATGCGACCTTTCTGCCCAACGTTCTTCAAGCCACCAACGGACGCGGCGTTGACCTTGTGATCAACTCGCTTTCGGGCGAACTACTACACGCATCATGGAAGTGCGTTGCAGCATACGGATCAATGGTGGAGATTGGCAAGCGTGATTTCATCGGCCGTGGCAGGCTGAACATGGACAGCTTCGAAGCAAACCGAGCCTTCTTCGGCGTTGACTTTGCCCAGATCTGTGCCGAGAGACCCGATATTGCCCAAGAGTGAGTGACTTACAAGCTCGTCAAACTTCTGCATTCTAACTGACAGCACTGCAGCATCTTGGGGGAATGTGTTCAATACTACATCGCCGGATCCATTCGCCCTATCACCCCAGTGACGTACTTTCCTGCTGACAGAATCCAAGAGGCGTTCCGCTTTATGCAGAAAGGGTCTCACATTGGCAAGATTGTCATTACTATGCCCGAGGACTCAAATTCTTTGTCCACATTAGGGAGGCAGGAAAATCTGGCTTTGCGACCAGATGCTTCTTACCTACTCGTTGGCGGCCTGGGCGGTCTCGGTCGTGCCGTATCCACCTGGCTAGTTGAGAACGGTGCCAATAACCTGGTCTATTTGTCGCGCTCTGCTGGTCAATCCATTCAAGACAGGCAGTTCTTTCTGGAGCTTCAAGACCAGGGCTGCTCTGTTCAAGCATTCTCGGGTGATGTCTCCGTTCTTGGTGACGTCGAGCGCACGATTCAGGGTGCGCGATTCCCAGTCGCAGGAATTCTTCAGATGTCGATGGTGTTGAAGGTAAGAGATAACCTAACCTTGCATACTCCCAGCGCCGTGGAAGGAGACTAAGTATGTGACGCCCAGGACAAAAAACTGGACCAGATGTGCCTCAGTGACTGGGGGGCCGCCATCAAGCCCAAAGTCAACGGAACCTGGAATCTTCACGAAGCGACCAAGTCGAGTCCATTGGACTTCATGGTACTGTTCAGTTCATTCTCTGGTATAATGGGCCAACGTGGGCAAGCCAATTACGCTTCAGCAAACACTTTCCTAGATGCTTTCGTGCAATATCGCCATGCTAATGGCTTGCCAGCATCGGTCCTGGACATTGGTCCAATCGAAGATGTGAGCACTCCGTTGTATATAAGTCTTCTTAGTTCCCAACCTTCCGCTAACCACAGATATCCTACTCTAGATTGGCTATGTCAGTGCAAATAAAAAGGTCCTCGATCAGTTCAAGGCGACAAATATCCATGTCCTGCGAGAAATCGATCTCCTTGAATCTCTGCACCTGGCCATTCTCTCCTCCTCACCAGTCTCCTGTGAGGATGGCTTCGTCAATAAAAGCCAAATCGCCATCGGCCTTCGAATGACTGTACCATCACAAGCGCCAAACAACCGGTAAGCACCTCTTCAGTCAGAGATACACACTACTCCTCACCTTCAAGCTAAGCATGAGCCGCGAAAAAGATGCATTTGGAAACGTGATCGACGTACAGCAATCTACCGTAACATCGAACAGGTCGAAGAATCAACAGACTCCGGCTCAGCAGATGGAGGACTGCGTCAATTCCTCGCCGACGCGGCAGCCAATCCGGCCATCCTCAACGAACCCAACAGTGCCATATTTCTCACGAAAGAACTGGGGAAGACGCTGTACGGATTTCTGCAGATCTCAGAGGAGGAAATCGACATCTCCCGGTCCATCTCCATCATGGGTGTGGACTCGCTTGTGGCCATCGAGCTACGTAACTGGTGCCGACACAAGATGGGAGTGGAGATTACGGTGCTGGAGATTCTCGACTTGCCGAATCTAGAGGCCTTCGGGCGTTCTGTTGCGCAGCGTCTCTACTCGAAGTACGGAGGCGGCGAAGGGCATGTCCGTGATTCATTCCTGACTATGAAAGCACCATGAAGCCCTCAGCTCGGTGTTGTCCGGGCAAAACTTGGAACTGTAGCTAGCCATCATGACAATTTCCTGCGCTCTGTCTATCGTGAATATGGATATCAATCTATTTCCGACTCATCCCTACTATGTAGTGTCATGTCATCCATGGGTGTGGGTTCGTGAATTGGTTGCCATACCACTACGATGTGTGTTTTGTTAGTATATATTTCACCTTTCAAAGTTGTTCAGCACATACGACCACAGGGTGTGGAGAACAGGGCTTCCCGTCCGCTCAGCCGTACTTAAGCCACACGCCGGCCAGTTAGTAGTATGGTGGGTGACCACATGCGAATCCTGGCTGTTGTATGTTTTTGTTCTTTTGTTGGTTAGATAGAATTCGGTATGCTCGATGCCAATCAAGGCAGTTGTATAATTTAGTTTTTGTCCATTTTTTGTGATTCTGGTTCGATTACATAATCAATTGATGCCCCAGGTGTCAACATTTGAACCGCAAGTCTGAGATTGTCAGGGTTGTCCCCCGGTTTTGTACGAAGCGAGACCGACAAACAGCACGGGATTATCTGAAAAATCGAATGACTTGAACTTCTATCAATAGAATGAGTGACTTCCAGACATGTTATGAGTGAGAGCTTAACATGCGTTCTACCGGTCCGTAACAGTCGCATTCTATCTTGACCGGGTTTCCTGACAGTATATCCTCTTCTTAGAAGCCGCCTGTCTGACATGTCGTCAGAAATCCCGCCGATGTGACCGGGGGCGGCCGATGTGTAAACGCTGCATCAGCAAGGGATTGCAATGCGGTGAGTACCCAGACAAGTTTCGCTTCTGCGGGATCGCCACACGTGGCAAGTGGAAGGATCGAGATGCCCCGATTGATGTAGAGGGTGCACCTACATTTGTATCCGCTTCAGCTTCAGCTTCTCCTTCATCGTCGAATATTTCAAAACAGATCGTATTCGAGCGAAGTGAGGTTTCAAAGCAAGCGAACAGACACCTGAGCCAGACACCCGTGAATGGCGACGTCTGAGGCTATTCCCATTTCTTCCGATCTCGTTAATTCTCGCCAGAACATCATATTCGCCACAATCGCCACAATAATAAAGTCCTATGACTCTACAGATACGAAACAAAGAAGATTGGATGCTGATTCGAAGGATGAAAGACCGAAGAACTAGTTCAGAGAACATCTAATTCTCGAATGAGCTTTGTTTTCTAGGTGATAGTGTATAGCGTAGCTGACGGCGCTTTTAAGGGGCTCAGTACGGCAACCGACGTTCTCGCCGTGAGACCTCCGAAGGGGAGAGAATCAAACACGCTTGAATAGAATGAGAATAAAAAGTATCTTCCTTTCTTTCGGATGGTAAGCCTGTCAAGTCATAGAAATCTCCACAGGTAGTGGCCGACCTAACGATATTCACGCCTCAACGAAAGCCAAAACCTCCTTCACGAAGCTTTCAGGATTCTCTTCTGCGAGATAGTGGCCACTGTCCTTCACAGTCCCAACCTTGATGTTCTCATACATCTCCTTTGCCATGCCCTCCGCCTCAGAGGCAATGAAACTATGATCGCCCGATAGAATCATAGCGCGCACTTTCACCTTCCCGTTCTGTTTCAGCCATTCCCGGTTGTGCTTTCCATCTTCGGTAAACGCGCGATAGCTAAGGAAGGCACATCGCAAAGCATCGGGCACCTGGTATTGCATAGTGTAGAAGTCCAAGACCTCGGGAGTGAAAACTGCCGAATTCTGCGTCAATCGATCGTAGAAGTGCTTCAGATACATCCTCTCTCTGCCCTGCACGAGCGCCACCGAGATTTCGGGATTGTGGCTTTGGAAATCAAAGTGCCAGAGGGTCTGCGTGTGTTTGATTTTGTCGAATAGTGTGGTTCCCGGGAGAGGGCATTCCCCCCAGATCACGCTGGCGACATGGTCTGGGTATTGAGAGACATAGGCGTGGGCAATAGTGCCGCCAATATCATGCCCAACCACGTGCACCTTCTCTGTGACTCCAATATGCTTAGTGAGCAGTTGGAAGATATCACTCGCGAGTTCTTTCTTGGTGTAGCCGGTATCACCCAAGGGATGGGACGAGAAGCCATGTCCTCTATAATCTGGCGCGATGACGTGATATCCAGCTTGAGCGAGTGGTTCGATAACGAAGCGGAATTGATAAGAGCTCTGAGGAAAGCCGTGGATTAGGAGGATCGTTCCTTTCTTCTCCTGCGAGGGTAGGCATTCTTGGTAATACAGCCTGACTTCCGGGTCCTCTCGATTAAGATGTGTTTGACGATGCATCGTCTTGACAGGGTTGTTGAAGGCCATGGAGGTCAGGTTCAAGATTTTTCTTGGCTTTTTCTGATGGTAGATTCGAGTTTGTATTCGGAAGAGTATCAGACTGTGGAAGAATATTTTTGGGGCCAGGGGGAGGGTGGAGGGAACCAATATATTTGTACGATAGTACTCACGGAACACCACTCCCAGTCCACCCCGCAGGGACTTTAAATTAACACGTGGGGTTCAGTTTAGATTCCACTCCCAGGCTGTCAGATGTCCGGAAGCTTGCAGAGTGCGATCAGTGGCGCGGCTGTTCAATGCTCAACAGTCTTACCGATTAGCCACTTAACCGTTTTACAATTAACCACTTAACCGTTTCCTTATGCCAGCATAACTCACGAGTATGCCCTTGATGGGCGTCTGTACAGGCCGCAAGCATATCTGTCCCCCTCCCACAAGTGCGTCTGCATATATAGGCTTTCCCTGGTACCAAGGCAGCGCCGGGTTGTCCCCAGATGGTTGTGGGGTTTAAGCTTTGACTCGGTTTGACTCAAATGTGGGGGACAGGAATTAGACGCCCAGATAGCTTCGCGGAGGCGAAGTGTGGCTGACTGCCCAAGAGTTATTGGGTTAAGCGTTTAACAACTCTGCCGATTTCCCTGGGTTTGTTAGAGCCAGAACTCTTCAAATAATCGTAATACTTGGAAACCGAGCGTGGCCTGTTCCGAATCTACCACACTTCATTCCAATCCCATAACGGTTGTGGGAGTTAAGCTTTGACTCGGTTTGACTCAAATGTGGGGGACAGGAATTAGACGCCCAGATAGCTTCGCGGAGGCGAAGTGTGGCTGACTGCCCAAGCGTTATTGGATTAAGCGTTTAACAGCTATTCATTCCAATCCCATAATGCAAACAAGGTCTAGATTTTTCAAATTCATAGGGTCCTTTCTACGTACTTGTCTAAGGTGGCGTAATCTCCGAAGCCGCCCATAGCTGCCGACTTTCTATAAAAACCGACTCTAGGTCCACCTCCCCACACCCCACGATTTCTGAAGTAAACTGGACACGCCGGAAAAGAAAACCGCATCGTATACAGCCAATATGGGTTTCCAAGTATGGCGGAGTCTTCCTGGGAAGCTATTGCTCCTGATTCTCAACCTTTTTACCGCCACGGCTTTGATTGTCGAAGGTTATAACCAAGGTGCGTATTGACGCTCATTCACAACATGCTTACATATCACCAAGCTGATCGTCATGATAGGTGTCATGGGTGGTGTCAGTGGTACATCAGATTTCATTAGAGTCGCTCAGATTGGTTCAGGCGGGGTGATCACCAACGCGACCAAGCAAGGGTGGGTCATATGAACCAAATTTACTTCTTGCCATCTGACCATTTTCTAGAGGAATTGTTTCCGTTTACTATTTCGGCTCCATGTTTGGATGTTTCATTGCTGGATGGTTCGGTGACAAATACGGTCGAAAGAAGGGCGTCTGGCTCGGCGCTCTCTTCGGCATGCTCGGGGGATCTCTCATGGCTGCAAGCCAGAACGCGAACATGTTCATATGTGCTCGAGTTATTGCTGGCATTGGAATTGGTTTCATCAACACAATTGTGCCGCCATGGATCTCGGAGCTTGCAAAGGCTCATAACAGAGGCTCAAATTTCGCTCTGATCTTCACCTCTAACTGTGAGTGTCTCCTCCTTCCAGCTGGACTTTCCAGTAGCTTATCGTTCTAGATATCGGTATCATCATTGCCTACTGGCTCAACTATGGTGTTCAAAACAATTCAAATGAATCCTTCAAATGGAGATTCCCGTGAGTGATCCTCCCCAATTTTTGCAAGACCATTGTTAATACCATACAGATTGGCTTTCATGACAGCACCCCTCATCCTCATCGCCACTACTGTGGTGTTCTTGCCAGAATCGCCGCGTTGGCTCATTGCTAACAATCGCCGGGAAGAGGCTGTTGAAGTTCTGGCAAAGGTTCGTGGCGATCTCCATCACAACGATCCTGCTCTTGTGGCGGAGGTTGAGCAGCTCGAGGCCGTTGTGGAGGCATCTCAACACAAGCGCAACCGCATTTGGAACATTGCCTTTGGCCGCTATTCCGGTCGTCTGCACCTCGGTCGTCGTGCCTGGATGAGTTTCTTCACGCAGCAGATGTTGATGTGGAGCGGGATTATGGCCATTACTACCTACTCAGGGCAACTCTTCCACCAGGCTGGTTTCACTGCATCCAAATCTGCATGGATGTCCGGTTTCTGCAACACATTGTGTGGTGTTTTCGGAACCCTGGCAGCTGTGAGTAACCCTTAGCTACATGCCAAGGAAAGTGCATTTTGTACTAACATATCATAGACCCTTGTCATCGATCGCATCGGTCGAATCAAGAGTATGTTGACGGGATTTTCGTGCCAGGGAGTTGTTCTCTTGATGTGCGCTGCTTTTCTCAAAGTTTCCAAGGACACAGACGATGTCTCCAAAGCCGAGAAACTCGGTGTCGCCTCTGCCTCCATGTTGTTCGTCTTCTTATGGATCTTCACCATGGTAAGACACCCTTAGTAAATGTGCAGACCATTTTCTAACAAGTCATAGTTTATCATTGTGCCCTGCTTTTTATATGCAACAGAAATTTGGCCACAAGAGGTTCGGGCTCAAGGGTATTCATTTGCAATATTTGGATGGTAAGTTATCCTATAAAATACAGAAATGGTCGATACAGTGTACTGACGACGATTCTCAGGTCTGTGGGCTCTGGCCTTACAACTTTGCTCATCCCCATCATGTTGGCAAATATAGGATACGGAACTTTCATCCTTTTTGCCTGTTTCAATATCAGTGAGTTCCTTGCCGCCATTCTTACTTAAGCACATATTAATGATGATCTGTCAGTTGCAATACCTGCAGTGTATTTCATCTACCCTGAGACCAATGGCCGCTCTCTTGAAGAAATGAACCTGCTCTTCGCTTCCCCTTCGCTCCTAGTTAAGGCCAACCAGCGCGAGTACGATAGGATGCTCAACGAGGCTGGTGGTAACATTGCTGTCGCCGAACGTCGCCTGTTTGATAGTGTCGATGCAGAAACCAAGGAGATTGATGACAGGGCCGACACTTTGAGTACTGGCGAAAAGGAAATGACAGGGTACTCTGAGGCCAAGGTATAGAACTCGGAGAAGTAGAGGGTTGGAGGGATTGATTTGTGAGATGTTAGGAGTTTTTCTATGTGTTTATTTGTAATTTTTAATACAGAGAGAGATTGAATTCGGAGAAAAAGGTCGTCTAATTTGATTAATACACGTTGGTGAATCTTCTTAGGTCATCATAGGAATGGTCCAATGTTAGTTAGCGTGGGAGAATCTTCGCGGTGCTGTATAGTCGCCACCGCATTGAAATATCTGAGCCTTCAGTCCTAAGCGCTACTCTAAATCCTATTACAACATTGAGACTTTTATCTCGCAAAGGTTAATTTTAGTATAGTGCTACGCATATAAGCACCGCTCGGCCCGCATTTCCCCAGCTAAAGAATCAAAGACGACCAATATTACTGAGCCTTGAATCCACAAACGGAATTGACGAATTGACCTTAACGGTCGGTGAGTTGTGACCACAACTAAACTAGCTCTGCTCTGTCTTGATTAGTATATATTATTTGCCCACGCAATGCTAGTGTTGAGACACAGCTTCCATTATTATATCCAGGTCTCTACTTTAGTGAGTGTCAGGAAGACAAAGACAGAGATTGAACGGCCCATAAGCGTATACCTAAGTAAATTAGTAAATTAGACCCAAGCGCCCAGTTAGTACCCAAATGCTTCGAGAGTCAATCGTGTGGGGGATTGAGCCGCTGTGCTTTGCCCTGAAGGCAATGCCAGGGATGGTACACAAACAACGCACCCCATTTTCGCACAGCCACGCTGACTTGGAATTCTCAAAGAAGCGAGTGCAGAGGTCGCTTCATCTTTGAATTTTTGGGTTCTGTTTGGCAACTGGCCGCCAGACACAAGCGTTCAATTGTATGTAGCTGACTTTATCGGGGCGGCAATCGCGAAGGGAAAAAATAATCTTAATATCGTCGAGCTTCAAAGGCTATCAACCGCCGATAGCTACACCCCGACACAGCCCGACCTCAGGCGCAATGGCCTCGCCAACCAACAACTGGGTAGTGTAGCGAAAAGGAGCTGGGACTAGCCAGGGAAATGACGTCATTAAATCGTATTGTCTTGATCAGTGAAATAGGCCATACACATGCCCTCAAGAATGCAAGAGCTTAACGGGGGATATGAAAATGCCCGGGAGATGATGCAGGAGGTGCGATTGTATCTCGAGCAGATTGGGGTGCAGATGGAAGGGGAGGATGAGGTCCTTCTGGATTGTGGGCGAAAGTGGGAGGATGTATTTACGGTCGTTCAGACAGATGGCGTGCGCTGGGGAAGGGAGATTCGATATAAATGATACTGGAATAGGCACCTAGTTAAACATTCTAACATTGTCAGATGTGCCCAATGACCACCAGTAGATCAACAAACAGAGTGGAGTACTGCAGTACTAAGCCATAGCCAAATGATTACTTGGAAAAATATGGTTGACGATGTCTCTGCTTTTTGGCTTTTGGTCTTCGGTTGAAGTGCTGGAAGGATTCGACTTGAAATTATACACATCCCAAATGACACAATGACACGTGGAACCGAATGAAACAAACCCCCTTCACCATATCGTACCTGAAACCAAAACGTTGGAGCACCCAAACTTCGAAAGTCAGGGACAACCGTGTCCGGGTTCGACCCCCATACCAGACCGCGATCCACAGCCCTAACAACACAGACCAAAACCAAGCAACCCCTTCTGTACTGTGTATAATCCCAATCAAGCGCAAACAACCGTCCACACACAACCTTTCCATTCATCTAATTAGCCTCCCTAAGTTATCCCTATATACAGATTACTGCAAATTACCCACCGGAAATTCTCCAACCCATCCGAGAAATTAGCGCTTGCATTCTGCACAACCCCCGGCTCTCCGGGGCAGGTAGTCTTCAGCCTGAAGATTGCAGGAAAAACTCCCGTTCCAGCGGGGGAACCACTACGATGATATGCGGGGAAAAGGAAATAAAGCCCGTGGGTCACATGGCAGCATGGCGCTTTCGTGCTTGGCTGAAACGTGCCTGGTTTTGAATATGCGCGTTCCTGGACCAGGTCCGCGCCCGATGGGGAAGGGTGGGAACTTAGCCTAAGCCACGTTTTGCCAGTGCCGGACGCCATCGACTTTATTCCTGGTATAAATAGGGGAGTGGGACGGTGGGGAGTGGATTGTAGTGGTCAGTTTGTTGGTGCATCGTCTTTTTTCTTCTTATCGATATCGACTCTTATCGTTTGTTGCAAGTCAACTCAACTCAAGATGGTTTATATTAAGAACCTTGGGCAGACTGCCCTGTTTGCGTCGGCTGTGTCGGCGTATTCGGTCATCGGACGCCGCCAGAACGCCACCAGGCTCAATGCCGCGTTTGTCGGCCACGACAAGCTCTCCTGGGGAACGTGCTCCGATCAGGCGCTTACTTATTACAGATACAAGGTATACGCTAGTAGTCTTCTTTTGTTCTCGGGAGAACGGCCTATAGGATTTCTAAGTTATTGTAGTTATCGAAATCTACGACGAAAGTGAAGTTAGCGGTTTAGTCCTTCCTCTTAGTTATTATAAGGGTAAATATTAATCATTAGGCTAGAGGGACGAGGTATAAGGGGAGGCTAGCGAGAGACCGCTGCTAGACGCTCCTAGCGCGTGCTTATAATTCCTCTACCGTGGCTTCTTATGTTAGCTGTTCGCGAAATCTTTCCCTGTGCTAAAATGTGCAAAAGCGCCTTTTGCTAGCCCGGCCTTTACTCTGGCCGGCTTTCGGGTGAAGAATATTCAGGTAGGTGAACTGCCGCCTGAAGCCGCCTGAAGGCCACCTAGATAAAGCAGCGGGTCGCCCAGCACCGAACGATGGGCGTTAGGTGAACACGCCTATACTTTTGGCTGTTGTATGTTTTTCCTTGCTTTTTTGCAAAGCAAAAAATAAAGAGCATTGCTACTTTGAGCATAGGGCTGGTGTGGCTTCGTTTTCTTGGTAAATGCCCCTCGTGATCAGAAGGCCACGGTTTTCAACGTCATTTTTTTTCACATATTTTTGCATGCATCCATACTTGTCCAATCATCACACCCTACGCCATACTTTGCTTCACAAATCGGTATGCATATAATTGGCTGAGCCTAGGACATACGTGTGTACCTCTCCGGTGCCCTATCAAAAATACACGTTCGACTTCTATGTTATCACTTAATGTACGATTCACTTTTCGTGCTTATTTCATTTCAGAGCTATAGCGTGCGACAGCGCGCGTCACCAGTTTGATACTTTCATGCGTATTACCATACAGCTCTGGAACAAATTCTTAAAAACGGAATTAGCCGTATGAGGTTTAATGCATCAAGTGATTAGGGTTTGAAAGAGCATCTCTCTGTTTCCAGATATGGAAGGCAATAACGGGCGGCACGGCACTGTACTCCTTTCGACACTCTCCACACCTGGGTATCTGGGTATCTGCGCCCCGTGGGGCGGGGCTTAGCTGAATGTGCCACTTCATCAGCGCTTATACTATGGATGAGGCTATTGGATGAGAGCTACATGGGTTACAACTGCTCAATGTAGACATTCTAGGATGTCTAAGGAAATGGAATTTTGCGAAAGGGGTCTCGAAAAAGATGTCTATGAATCAGCAGACGTCTTCAAAGAGCCACTATACTTAGACCACTATACGTTGAGATAATAAAACAACATAGCGATACCTCAGGAATTTGACAGATATAGTTCTATATGGATTATAAGGATTGTTTCAGCAACTATATCAGACACTGGACTATCAGTCTTATCTCCATGACTTTATAATATGTATTAAGAATTATGTCTAGTTTACAGCCAGAGTTACAATATATGCATTGATCCATCATCCATGATCACCCCCACCAAGCCATCCATTACAACCATTCACCAATCACTGGTACATGGCTATACATCTCATTCCACCCTTGAGCCTCCCATCCAGCGCCCTCACCACCCCGTCCCACAATCCCCAACGCACCGGCAAGCCAAAGCGCCGCCCCAACAGCCGCAATGCCATTAACAACCCACCACATCTTCCGCTGCCGCTTAACCCGATTCTCATTCTCCGGATACCCCAAATACCCCTCCAGCGAACCCTTGGAACTCCTCTCTTTCCTCGCCGTAGTAACTCTCCACCCCATCCACGTCGCCCACCCACCCACAAAATGCCACACACTCGCCGAGACAAACAGCAAGTAGAAAGTGTTCCAGAACACGGGACTCCGCGCAATTCCATGCGCGACATATCCCAATCCCACGCCGGAACTCCCGCCCTCGACCATCCATGGTGTAACACGGTTCACGACCGCGTGTAGACCGACTAGCGGAGCAATCAGGTATCCCGTTTTAGCTTGGACGGAGACCCTAGGCCAGAAGGAGAGCAGGTTGCGCTGGGCACGGGTTTCTGCGCCGTAGAGGCGGGCGCGACGGGAACCTCTGATGTTTCGGAGTGCGATGCCGGATGCGATGTGTGCGAGGATGGGGACGGTGAGGACGAGGTGTTCCAGGCCTGGGGCTTGGTAGACTGGTCGCGTGAGTAGGAGGTAGGGCTCGCTGGCGGGGATGGAGCGGGTGATTAATGGGATGAGGGAGGTATTGGCGAAATGGAGGATGAAGAATGCTGTTGGTGGGTATGTAGAGTATTTTTGGATGCCGGATACTGTTATTATTTTGTTAGAATTGTAATGGTCAAGCTGTATGCGAATTGTACTTACGTAGAGTATCCCAACGATGTGCGCGTAGTCCCAATTTCGGCGCCGGAAAGCCACAAGTACGCGCCGGCTTGTCTTCGACGGGTTTAGGGAAGTATTCTCCATTCTCGAGGGAGTCGAGTTCTGGGGTTGAGAGTGAATCGTCGACAGGGGATGGGTCGAGCTCCTGCATGGAGAGGATGGACTTGGCATCGAAGTCTTGGGACTTTGTGTCCAGGGCTGGTGGCATTTTGGAGGATTGATGAATTTGATAAACAGACAAAAGGGAGAAAAGAGGTCAAAAGAAAATCGTGAATTAAAAGAAATTCATCCCCGTGGGTATAGTCGTGACAATTGAAGCTGTTCAAGGAAAAGAAAAGAAAACTAGCAAGTTAGCAAGTTAGGAACCGTTGGGGAAACGCCGAGAGTCCGTCAACCCGATCAACTCGCCTCTGATAGGCGCAGAACTGCAACCCCGACGTCAGTCTTCAAGATCGAATCAACACTACTTGCTACTGTTCAAATATTCTTTCTATTCACAACCACACATCATGCCACCAGTAACTATATCCCTCCCTCTTCAAACAACCCTCCAAAATACACTAACCTAACTATTCAACCCAGCGAGCCTTTACGAACCCAGCGCCAAAGGTATTTACCACCCACTACAGCTATCTACAGCTCTCCTCCCCACCAACTAACAACCCTTAACTAACAACCATCCATCAAAGACGGAATCTGCCCGCTCCGCCCTAAGCGCATTCACCTGCACCCTCTGCAATAAATCCTACTCCCGGCACCCCGAATACGAAGCCCACATCTCCTCCTACGACCACCAACACCGCAAACGCCTGCAAGACCTAAAACAGCTCTCGCGGGATCCGAACGCGGCTGAAAAGGCGCGGCGTGCGGAGAGGAGGGCTGATGCTGAGGCTGGATTGAAGGTTTTAGATGCGCCAGGTGGAAATACAGCACTCGGGAAGGGGACGAGTGGGAGTTCTAGGACTGGTGGAGGGGCCGGGGGTGGGGGGTTCAAGAAGGGCGGGTTTAAGAGTTCGTTTTCGACGGTGAAGGGGCCTGTTGCGCCGGTGAGGAAGAATGTTCTTGGGGATGATGATGATGAAGAAGATGGAGAGGGTGGTACAGGAGGGGAGGATCGAGGTGGGAAAGAACCGGTTGCTAGTGCTAGTGCTGGTGGTGGGAGCTCAGGAGGGCGTGGTGAGGAGGTTCGTGAGGATGCAGAGAGTGATACTGATGAAGAGTATACGCGAGATCGAGACGGGGGAGGGTATTATGATCCTCGACGGCCGACGGGTTGTTATGCTGCGTGTGCTGGTCTGACAGAAGTGAAGACTGCTTCGTGATACCCCCAGGAGGCAGGTCGACTGGTCAGAAACCATTGCTTGATGTATGATTATGGACTTATGGGCATTCAGCGAGGGACACGGCGTTATTTTCTACCTGTCAACTACATTCTTCTGCGCTCTACGAACACAACACCGAGTATCAACCTTCCAATGTCTATCATTCTAAGTAAAAGAACTTACGCTGGGGGGAACACAAAAAGAGAAAGAGAAAACATAGCACAGACCCGAGGAAGGTAATCGTACACAGCTTTCCAAGAATCTGCCTAGGTGGCAATAGATAATGACATGATGGGTGGTGGAGGGACACAACAATATAATAAAAAATAGATGAGACAGATGGGAAAAATGTTGAAGAGGGATTGGGGGTACTAGACACAAGGTTTTATTATTGCACGCTCACTGCAATTCCAAAAACTTACAGCCGCAGAAGCTTGGCGGCCTGGCTGACAATGGTGTCCTCCTGGGGGAAGGACATGTTCTCAAGGCCAAGGGCGTAAGGAGTAGGAACCTCAGCACCAGTGACACGGACAGCGGGGGCAGTCAGGTAGTCGAAACCGTACTCCATGGACAGAGCAAGGATCTCGGAGGCAACACCGAACATGGGGTAGCCAGACTCAACAGCCATCAGACGGCCGGTCTTCTTGAGGGAGGCGATGATGGTCTCAACATCGAGGGGCTTGACGGAACGCAAGTTGATGACCTCGGCCTCGACGCCGTACTTCTGCTTGAGCTCCGCGGCGGCGGTCAGGGACTGGCCGACGCAGCGGGAGAGGGAGACGATGGTCAGGTCCTTGCCAGGACGCTCGATCTTGGCCTTGCCGATGGGGAGGACGAAGTCGCTCTTCTGGGCGGCCTCGCTCATGGGGAAAGCCTGGCCGTACATGAGCCTATTTTGCGGAGACGGAAGATTGTTAGCTATCCGTTTATTGCCGATCTCAAATCGGCGATTTCTCCGATCCCCGGAGAAACGATCCCCGGAGGAAAAAAAAAAAAAGATGTATGGCCAGACTTACTCGTTCTCGAGGACAACGACGGGGTTGGGGTCGCGAATGGCAGCCTTCAGGAGACCCTTGGCATCCTCGGAGCTCCAGGGGGAGACAACCTTGAGACCAGGAATGCTGCCGTACCAGGCAGAGTAGTCCTGGGAGTGCTGGGCGGCGACACCGGCGGCGAAACCGTTGGGACCACGGAAAGTGATGTTGCAGGGCTGGATACCACCGGACATGTAGTGAGTCTTGGCGGCAGAGTTGATAATCTGATCAATGGACTGCATGGCGAAGTTGAAGGTCATGAACTCGCACTAGATGATTGCGATTATACGGATTAGTTCCTGAAGATAACAGCTAGGTGCCCATTTTGGGACAACGAGTATCCGGAAAAATTACTCACAATAGGGTGCAGGCCAGCCAGGGCAGCACCAACAGCAAGACCAGTGAAACCGGCCTCAGTAATGGGGGTATCAATAACCCGCTTGGGGCCGAAGCGGTCCAGAAGACCTCGCGTCACCTTGTAACTGCGGGAAAACAAGAAACCACGTCAGTACTCCGCTGTCAATTGGAAAAGAATTGCGACAATTCCTCCAATTGCTTTGTAAAGCTCCTGGAGAAACATTGTAGGACTCCTTACGCTCCGTTGTACTGTGCGACCTCCTCACCCAAAATGAAGGTCTTCTGGTTGCCCTCCAGCTCCTCGGCGAGCGCCTCGTTCAAGGCATCACGGACGGTGACCTGCTTGACACCATCCTCAGTGGCATAACCGCGAGCGCGCAGAGCAGACTGAGCGAAAGCCGGGCGCAGAGAAGCGGAGGTCAGGCGCGAAGAGAGCACCCGGGATGCTGGGCGGAAAAGTCGGGGAGCGGCCATATCGGGGATTTGGGACGAAAGTCGGGGGAGAAGGACGAAGAAGAATCAATTGAAAAGGTCCGCAAGGTCGAAAAAAGCCGCACGAAGGCGATTGGAGACCAAAAGACCAGAAGACCGGAAGTGACGACGTTGAGGGTGCAAGTTGAAGGGAAAGCGGCGCATCGAGAATCTTTGAGATGCAAATCCGAAGATGTTGGGCGCTGAGTCAGCAGCCATGTCCCATCCCAGCAATCTCACCGGCAGCTCCTTCCGTAATCATACGAACCTTGGAGCTTCAAGCTAATCGGAAAGCTTCTTTAATCTACTCTACTGTTGTTTATCTTCGTCCACAGCTACTCTCTGCAACCAACTGAATATCCCACGACTCGAGCTCTGTCTCTTCCATAGGGGTGGTTCCTCTCCTAGACGGCCCCCGTTGAGGATGTTGTTATCGGCGTTGGCCTTCCTCTTCCCGTCGGCGCTCGCCGCTCAGCCCTCCGCGCCGTCTCCCATCTCCGCTCCCCTGCGAGACCTCGAGTTCGGGCAACTGAATTTCCTCCATACAACTGATACTCATGGCTGGCTGGCTGGTCACTTGCAGGAGTAGGCTCCACCGGAGGTTCTCCGCCCGTAAGCTCCCCAACTGATGTGGTTGCAGGCCATCCTTCTCGGCGGACTGGGGGGACTATATCTCGTTCTCAGAGCGCATGCGGGAAAAGGTAGAAGCGCAAGGACAAGATTTGCTGGTCATCGATACGGGTGACCGGGTCGAAGGCAATGGTCTTTATGATTCGTCCGAGCCGAAAGGTGTTTATCTCTCGGAGATTCTCCGCCATCAACACATCGATGTGATCACATCGGGAAACCATGAACTATACAAACAGAACACTTCGGAGTCCGAGCTCCTACACACCGTACCTAATTTTCGGGGCAAATACCTCGCCTCGAACATTGATATCTATCACCCCGAGACCGGCGAGCTCGTGCCGTTGGCCCCGCGGTACAAGAAGTTTACTACTAAGCAGCAGGGCATTCGCATCGTAGCATTCGGCTTCTTGTTCGATTTTACCGGAAACTATAATAACACGATTGTGCAGCGCGTGGAGGATACGATCAAAGAGGACTGGTTCCAAGAAGCCATCCGGGATAGGGACGTCGATCTCTTTCTAGTGGCTGGCCATGTTCCCGCGCATTCGTCAGAGTATCGGGCGATCTATGAAGAGATTCGCAGGATCCGGTGGGACACTCCCATTCAGTTCTTCGCCGGACACCAACATATCCGTGACTATGCAAAATACGATTCCAAAGCCGTTGCCCTTGCCAGTGGCCGGTTCATGGAGACCATTGGGTTCATGTCGATCGACGGGCTCTCCACCAGCAATGGGCCGAGCAAAGCATTACAACCCACGTTCAAGCGGCGCTATATTGACAACAACCTCTTTTCCTTCTACCATCATACTGGACTGAATGCAGATTCTTTCCCAACGAAAAAGGGTCGCAAGGTCTCCCAGCTGATCGCCGAGTCACGGACTGCACTCCAGCTTGACCAGGTGCACGGATGTGCGCCGCGGGACCTGTGGATGTCGAGAGTCCCATATCCAAATCCGGACAGCATCTATACATGGCTGGAGACCAAGGTGCTGGCTGAGACGTTGAAAGATGAATCTCGAGGCGAGAGGCCTTCCGTGGCGATCTTGAACTCGGGTGCCATCCGCTTCGACATTTTCCGGGGTACCTTCACACAGGACACTACCTGGACCATCTCCCCATTCACCAATGGATTCCGCTATGTAAAGGACGTTCCATACGAGAAGGTCCAACTGATCATGGAGGTTCTTAACAAACAGACCCGGATCTTGTCCACGATGCAAGACAAGACAGAGCCATCGTTGCTCCCTCTAGTCTCTCCCGAGCAGCTCGCGCGTCCTGAAGAAATTATCATCGAAGACGATGAACCCTTAGACCACTGGTCCTCTTCTGCAATGGGCGGCTCAAACCAAATCCCGCTCTCTTCTTCTAACACTGCTGGCAAGCTTGTGCCCGGATACACAACCAAGGATGACGCTGGCGAGGATGGAGATGATACCATCCACGCGCCAATCTCTTTCTATAAGGTGCCCAACTGTATTCAAGCATTGATTTCTGCCAATACTTCCGGTGTCCCCGAGAAGGTGGATTTGATTTATATTGAGTTTGTGCAACCGTATCTGGCGCTGGCTGCCAAGTTTGCGGGTCTTGAACTTGATTTTGTCAGGGAGAGTGATGTTTATATGCCGAATATCACTTTGACGGATCTTATCTTGGGGTGGGTGAGGAAGCACTGGAAGTGCGAGTGATAGATACTTGTATTATGTCTACACCTTTATTCCCTGGTTATTATGAATTGTTCTTATCAAGCATGTATAGCTACTACAGTATGTATCTGAATACACATGTTATACTTAACAGCCGCCATAGCCTTGGATAGGATGAAAGTAGACAGATATTACCTGTGTATATTCAATCTACTCGAAAATTATGATACACTAATCTCCCCTTCTCTAGGAGAAATCTACTCATCTCCACCAGTGAAAGTGAACACTCCCTTTCCACTGCGGTACCCGCCCAAAGTTCCCTGCACACTCTCCGCAAGCTGCGGCCCCTCAGCATCCCACTTCCACTCCACATTATCAACAGGAATATCCTTGAACCGCCCAGAGCGAGTCAACTGCAACACATCCTTAATCGTATTCTCCTTCAACACCGGATTCTTATCCCCCCACTTACTCACCCAGAACCCATCAAAGCTCAAATTCTTAAAAATCAACAACCCCGACGGCAAAGCCACCGGCTGCCTCGACATCGCACCATAAGTAACCATATGCGAATCCGGCGCCAACGTCTTCGCCAACGCCGTCGCATTCTTCCCACCAACACAATTCAACGCCAACCGAATAGGTTCACGACCATGACGCGTAATCTCATGAACCATATCCCTAAACCCACCCGTCAACATCTCGTCCTCCGTAACAACGACCGTCGCACCAAGATCCTTAAGCTCCTGCTTAAGCGCCTCGGTCTCTTCGGGTGTCTTCCGTCCCCTCACAACATTCAAAGATTTAATCCCCCACTCCCGACAAAGCTGGATAGCAGCACGGCCAACACCGCTATTCGCCCCATTCTGAATAAGCCACTCCTCCCCCGCTCGCATCCAGTCCCACTCGCAGAAATCCCGAATCATCCGGTACGCTGTCACGGGGTTCACGCTGACGGTGCCAACTTGTAGCGGGGTGAGACCGTCTTTGTTCTCGATACGGATGAGCTGGGACTCGTCGAGTTGCGCGTGCGTGCGCCAGGTTCCCTGGCCGGTGCGCTTCATGATTACCCAGTCACCCTTGGAGAGGGTGGTCACGGAGGCGCCGGTGGAGATTACTTCAAAGGCGCCTTCGTTTCCGCCGACGGCGGCGGGTTCGGATGTGCCAAGGGAGGTTGAGAAGGGCGGTTTGCTGGGGTAGACGCCTTGGATTTGGTTGACGTCTGCGGGGTTCATTGGTGCGGTGAGGAGGCGTAGGTTTACCTGGGTGCCGTGGGGTGCGGAGATGGAGTGCTTGTGTAGGCTGGATTAGAGTTAGTTTTGATTGGAATTGCGCTGAGCGAGGATGTAGAGCGAGGGAGAGGGTGAAGATTGGAGAGATACTAACCTGAGGACATCCTTTGGCTCGCCGTATTTCGAGTAAATCAGGGCTTTGGCTTGTGTGTAGCCGTAAATGGAGATGTACCGGCGGCCGAGTGTGGAGCTGCATGGAGCTTGAGTCTGAGCTAGAGCTTTGCCGGTCGCGGTCAGGCCGGCGACACGAGTCGCGCCCGGATGGCGAGCGCTCTGAGTAGCGGCTCGAAGTGCGCTACGTGATAGCATTGTGTGGTATATGAAGGGTTGTGTGGGGAAGAGAGAGAGGGAGAAAGGAAAAAAAAGTTGGGGGAGGAATTGGCCGAGGGAGAAGGCGGGAAAGGGAAGAGACTCGAATGACGTCTTGTTTCGGCGATTGGAGCTCGGGCCGAAGGAAGAGGAGCAGACAAGCTATAAGATGATTAGAATACCATACTTGGTTTTTAGTTGACGTTCTGAAATGAAGATGATATGAGTTATATCAAACGCCAATATATGGTAAAATGAGGCTTGTTCTTCTGTTTACTAGAATCTTTCATTATCAATGAAGTCGGAACTGATCTATTCCGGCCTTTATACTGTTTCCCTTTCGGTTACTTAGAAGTTCGGAATATGCTCAATATTCACTTAGGATACTCATAGTAGACAGTTAGAGATGTTCTAATGTCCTGTTTTTGGCAACATCCGATTGCAGCCCCTAGTAGTCGCAAAATAGGAAAAAGCCCAGGTTCTACTCGCTCGGTACTAGACTATACTTGACTCAAGACTAGGTATAAACCTACAGACCCTCACCAGACTTCAAGTCCACAGCACCAACATGCAGCTCCTTCCTCAACTCCTCAATAGCCCCCTCCCCCTTCCCATACGTATCCGCATACCTCCCGGTCATCCACTCCCCCACCGTAACGGGGTCATACTTCGCCCCCAGTTCCGTCTCACAACTCGGAAAGCAGCGAATTGTATAATCCGGATTCCCCGAGAAGAAGAACGGCACACTAAACCGTTCCTTGCCGCTCTTATTGATGACACGGTGCAGATTGGAGAGATATCGGTCATTCGTCCATCGCATCATCATGTTGCCCAGGTTCACGACATATGCGCCTGGAATGGGCTTTACATCGACCCAAGTTGAAGTTATGTTGTTCCAGACTTGTAGGCCGCCGGTACTGTCTTGTAGGAGGATTGTTATAGCACCGAAGTCGGTGTGGGCGCCGATTCCTAGCAAAATGGTAAAATTAGGTAAGGTCAGGACATGCACATTGGTGTGATGGATTCTTCAAGCTAGTTAGATATGGGATGGATGGGATGGGCATACGTACCACGTTCCAGTGCAGAAGCATCGGGGTCTTGCGGTGGATAATGAAGTAATCTCAACACAGCGACAGGATGCTCACAAAAATCACTGAAAGTATTTTCATCCAGATCCAACGTGCGAGCAAGGATTTGCAGAATACCCGCCGCGAGCGTGGTAAGCGCAGCGTGATATCTTTCTGTTACACACTGGAATTCCGTCCCAAGCTCCTCGGGATACTTATTCGGCCCCTGTCCAAACTTCCTCGCAACTACATACTGATCGTCAAGCGGCAGGTTTTTTCCAAGGTAGAAGCCCTCTTTCAGATCTCCTGCGGTGCGTTTCTCGAAGTTCTGTGCGCGTAGGCGCTCGTAGCCGCGGTTAAAGTCGCCAATGTCTGTTTCATTTCGTTCAGTTAGGAATGATGGTACAGGACCAGCGTATTAGAATTTCGAGTATCCCTTAATGCTTACCCTTGCTATAACTTTCCTTAATCTCAATTGGTAGGTCGAACAATTTCTTGCTCTGGTGGAGAATCGCGTCTTGGAGGTCGGAGGGGATGGTGTGATTGATGATCTGGAAGAACCCAAATTCTTCACAGGCTTGTCGTAGTTCCTTGACTAGGTTATCTTTTGCGGGGGAATCGGGGCCGTAGAATGCTGTCCTCGCAGGTGTTAGTTAGGCCAGCTTTGTTACGTACTTTCGTGCGGTTGGTTCACGTACGTGCGAAGTCGATGACTGGGGGCTCTTTGGCAGTCATATTGTGGATGTTTCAAGGGTATACGAGTCAGACAGGAGAAGAAAAGATTGATGCTCCAATAGCGAGAAGAATAGTCTAGCGTCACAGTTTATATTGTGGTCTATCTGGCTGTGCCCGCGGGGTTACAATCTCGGCCGCGGGTTTGTCGAGTACTACCGCGATAGAGTATTGTACATATGTAGTACAGAGTACGACAATTTCCCCGCGGCCGAAAGCATATCACAGCTATAACGACCAATGAAACTATTTTACTACCCCACTTTCTTCGTTAGAAGATATTTATGTACTAGATGTGTACAGTAGACGGCCTTCATCCGCGGCCGCAAAGATGCCCCACTCTTTGATAAGCTAAACGTGAATCTTATCGTCAATGCCTCGGTATGCTCCGTTGTCCAGACTCACCTCTGTGGTTATTCTGGTACTAAGAGAAGCAGTCATGCTTACAGAACGGCAGCGACGAAAGCGCCCACGCCCCTCCTATGCTTGTATAGAATGCACGCGCCGGAAATTACGTTGTTCGAAGCACATACCCTGCTCGGCCTGCGTCGACCGGGGCATTGCTCAACTCTGTCGCCGGCGGACCGACGATGCTGTAAGAGAACAACCACCCACGGAGAGGGCTAGACCGATGAGTTCAGGCCTGGGGCAAAGAGAAAGCTCCGGTATCACTCCGTGGTCCGAAGCCTCTGGCAATAACATTTCAAAGTCACCACAGTCAGAGCGGATACCTGATGCTGTACACAGACCAGTGGTTGTCACTTCGAGCCCTGAGCCGTCTAGTGCAGCTCACTCTCCAGTTCACTTATCGCAAGCTTTGCAATCACGCCAGAAGATCGTACACAAAGTCACTGAAGACGCGGCTATCATGCTCGAATTTCTGGCACTTAGCCGCCAAAATGTCCTCCAGGTTGCTCAAATTGAGCAAGCTCAATCTCCACAGGTCAATAATAAGGTGCCCGAGACATTTGACCCAGTATTTACCGAGAGTCAAGTTCGTGCCATGATGCTCTACCATCAGGAGTGCATCTCTTGGATTCATAATGTTGTCCATCTTCCTACCTTTCGTGATCAATGCGAGCAACTATTTATGAATAACACTGAGCTGCAAGGAGGGTGGCTCGCCTTATACTACGCTATGCTTTCTGTGAGTCTATAGCGATTCGATGACTTCCCTGCCATCACTGACTGTGCGTATCTAGGTCACTTTATACCACTCTGACCCCTCGATACTACGTGAGCTCGACATTGAGTCGCCTGGTAAGTTGCTGTCTATCCGCGATATGGGCATGGGAGTTGACAGTGAACTCCAACCAGCTCAAATTTCTGAGCTATGCTACCAGAAAAGTATCGATGCCCTGCAGGACGCTGATTTCATGATCAACCATAGCCTTTGCACGATTCAGGCAATATGCCTTCTCATCTACGTTGGACACAATATAGGGCAGTCTGACAGAATATCTGTGCTGCTCTCCTGTGGCATACGAATAGCCCAGTGTCTGTGTCTTCATCGTCAGGGTTCTGAGCCAACGGTAGAGATAAAGGGCAAAAGAGACACAGAGCAAGCAATCCAGCAACGGCTAATTGATCGTGAAGTGTCCAAGCGAGTGTGGTGGTTTCTCGTTCGGCAGGACTGGCTACAGATCCCTTTCAACAACACATACACGATCCACCCGACGCAATTCAGTACACCCATGCCCATGAATTGTGATGAGGATATCGCTCGAATGTTCAAGTCGAACCGTATCCTCGAATATGACCAGGAACACTATACTCAGGGAAGCTACACAACAGTACTGAATCATGGTGAGTAAGTCACGTGTGATCACAAATAGCTCGACTAATTGCCCTGAAATCATGCACAGTGGCGGTCCTGATATGGAGAACGCAAGACAGAATGTGTCAGCAAGGTCATCCTAATCAAGTTGAAGATGGTTTGCGGAAGCTGTATGCAGAGGTTATACAGGCGGACCATGACCTGAGAGATATCATGGAAAGGATGCCGAGTTTCTTTAAGATGTCTTCCGAGTCGACTATTGGATTACCTATGCATATCAAGTGTCAACGAGAGGTACTATCACTCGCGCTTGCCCATAAGGTAACCAACTTCATCCATTTTCCATGTCTAGCTCTGCTAAGCTCATTCCGCCAGTTTCACTCAATCCATCGACACTTCCACATACCGAGCTTCAAAGATCCGTGGTTTGCGTATACCAAAGTAAAACCTCCACCACCGTTGCGCCTCAGACACCTTCCGTTACTAAACAAACCAGGTTTCCTGCCTTCCAATAATGCGCCAAAGCCTTACAACCATAGTCTCCTCGCCCGATGAACCCTACTTTTGGACAATCCGGAACATGTGGACAGTCAATACCCACGTGCTGACGGCCACAATATGGCTTCTTTTCGAATTGATATTCTCAAAAGACCAAGGACCACTATTCGATAGCAGGGAAATCAAGAATCTGGCCCTGAAGTCCGCAAGGTTCCTACAAATTAATCAAAGTCGAAGCCGCATTGCGAAACGAGGCCAATCTCTCATCAACACTCTCCTAGAGACATACGATCACATCGAGAACGGACATCGAGCGCACTTCGATCTGAAAAATATCATGTCGCGTGTTGAGCGTGATGAGGATTGTTTGGATGGAGATTCCAACGACCTGCATTTTAATTATCAGGCTAATGATGGGTCTGGGTCTGTGGTGGATTGGCTTTCGCGAGATTCTGCGACGTGGGAAAATATTCTTGATGTTTTGGGGAATTTTTAGATTCACTGAGAATGCTACATCGACGAACAAAATTCGATTTCGAGAGTTACAGTTGAACAACCAGAACAACCTATTCATAGATTCGGATACGAGAGCCAAGAACCCCGCGAGGAGAGGAAAGTCTTGGCTTGTTCATACCATTCCGGCCAAGCTCAGGCTGAGCTTGATCGCCCTGCAGGACTACCTGATTGGGTCATGCATGACACCCTCAGCCACTCCGAAGCGCCTGCTGATCTTTCCGGGGAGGAGGAGCGGGCTACAAATACGTACATCCGTCGGATTGCTCAGGGACAACAACATTACCAAGGTACCATTTGAATATCTAAGCTTGGCACAGCACGGCTCGGCTGAGTATTGACTGACTCATATTCGAATTTGGAGTATCACGAAGTGTTCCCATGTTTTATTTGGCCCGTCTGGGAGACCCCCAAAATACCAAGACCAAACGATACGAAGTCATTGTCGGATCCCTTCTTAATATGTTTTGGATTTGCGAGGTACTATTTTGAGTCTCATAGTCACTCTGCCAATAGCTTCACAGTCAATCTGTGACGATCGAAATGCCCAGAAATTGAATACCTTCAGGTCATCGTATACACCCTTGGCAGCCCACTCCAGCAACATATTCGATGGCCGATCGTTCGTGATGAACTATTTCTGGTTTGAGTTAATTCAAGATACGAGAATTGGACACTTGAATCGCCAAGTCATTTTCAGCATACTCAAAAGCAACCAGGGCAAATGAGTCTCTTGATGAAGTATAAATACCTCCATCTATCCCACCCTTAACCCCATCATCAACTCCCATCAAACTCAAAGCATCTCAAACAAGCCTCCAACCATTAAAACCAAACTACAAATCTTCCATCTTAACCACTATCTTATTCAAACCACTCTTCAACGAACCAACCATCAAAATGAAGTTCACCACCGCCACCATCGCCTCCCTCATCACCGTCCTCCCCATGGCCAACGCATGGATCTTCTCCACCACCGCCGGACAATGGGACGGCGAGAACAACCGCGGATGCACCAAGGCATCTTCCAGTGCAGGCGCGATCATCGACTGGGAGAATGAGTGGGGTTCGGACTGCACTCTGCGCGTGTATAGCGATAGCAAGTGCCGTACGCAGATTGGGATTGCTTCGGATGATTGGAATGATCATGAGTTGAGTACTTCGATGGGGAGTTTTAAGGTTTCAAGCTGCTAAGGGGGAGATTGTTTATTCTCGGGAATGTTTCTTCTTGTCTTTTGGCTTTTTGGTTTGAATTGTTTGAATGTATTTACTTGTATCCTTTGCGTTGGTAAATACTATCGCAAAGATATTGCATGATTGACTGATTGTTGGCTGCGTTAGTAAGATTATGTCCTCTTCTCCTACCTTCAAGTGAGTCCTCCCATCTGGAGACTGCGTAGTATTCCTAACAATATCGAGGAATCTTCTACAGACTTTAGAAATATAATTCCGGGAACGCTACCTGCTGCAAAAGGATACCAAATATTCATATCTGAGATTAAATACGTGACTAGGGCCCAGTGTTCGGAAGAAACACAGGATATGCCTTAAAATACAGTAACTCTTTACTATATCCCATTCATATGTAAGTTCAATCAGTCGTATACTTCTTGCGGATCAGGTGGATCCTCAAAAGCACGGACCATCGGCCTCGGAGGCTCGGACAAGTCAATTTCCAGTCCGCCGCTCAATAACTTCGCATTCACCAAGCTCCAATAGACTCTCCATGTCCCTTCTACGCGAAGCGGAGAGGTGCCTTGCGAACCAACATGCACACACCCTCAACGCCTTCATAACTCCACTACCCCGCGCGGGGCAATGGCTAGATCGCGTCAAGGAAGCAGACCAACGTCGCGAGCAAGGTACGCCTACGATACTCAAGAGCTATGCTCTTCACCCAGAAGATTGAAGCTTACAAGCGAACTACCATACAGGAAACCCCAAGTCCGCAGTCGACGGGCGCTTGATCTCGATCAAGGATAACATCTGCACACGCGATCTCCCAACGACCTGCGCCTCGGGTATCCTCGACAAATTCACTAGCCCGTTCAATGCCACCGTCGTCGATCAATTAGAGGCCGCGGGGGCTGTGATTGCTGGCAAGACAAATCTAGATGAGTTTGGTATGGGATCGCATTCGGTGCATTCGCGATTTGGCGCTGTAAAGAACTTGCGACGGGATGCGGATGGTCGGGATCTTTCCGCGGGCGGAAGTTCTGGTGGGAGTGCGGTGGCTGTTGCTGCTGATCAGTGCTATGCGTGAGTACTGGAGATGTTGTTTGACTATGGATGTATACTAACCGCTGCGTGGTTATAGTGCCCTTGGAACAGATACTGGAGGCTCCGTCAGACTCCCCGCGGCGTACACGGGAACAGTTGGCTTCAAGCCCTCATACGGGTTACTCTCTCGATGGGGCGTGGTGGCATATGCCAATTCCCTCGACACGGTGGGAATTCTGGGAAAGAAAACGTCCAGCGTGAGAGACGTCTTCTGTACGTCTCTCCATTACAGCTTGTCAAGTACTGCTTGCTAACAGACCTACATAGCCATCCTCAACAAGCACGATTCTCGCGATCCAACCAACATAACCTCTTCCTCACGCTCTCGAATCCTCTCACGCCTGCAAACACCACGACTCGCCTCTCGACTAACCTCAACCCCCCTCCGCATCGGTGTCCCACTAGAATACAACATCTCCGAACTCACCCCATCTGTCCGTCAAGCGTGGCTTCTATCTCTCGCGCACCTACAAGAACAAGGACATACAATCCACCCCGTCTCTCTCCCAGCAACAAAACACGCTTTATCCGCATACTACGTCCTCGCACCCGCAGAAGCATCCTCAAACCTTGCCAAATACGACGGTGTTCGCTACGGAACGCGTTCCGACGGACCGGACAGTGATGGACAGCCAGATGGCTATCTATACGCCAACACGCGTGGCAATGGGTTCGGCGCCGAGGTACAGCGCCGCATCCTCCTTGGCACTTTTAGTCTAAGCGCAGATGCCATGGATAATTACTTCATCCAGGCGCAACGTGTGCGCCGACTAGTGCAGCAGGATTTCAACGCTGTTTTCGCGGCTGCGCATCCATTCGCCGCTGCGTCAGACGCGGTCGAGATAGATCGATCGACCACGGCAAATGTCGATGTAATCGTTTGTCCTACTGCACCATCTCCACCACCCCGATTGTCTGATGTATCAGCCGGATCGTCGCCCTTGGATGCCTATGTGAATGATGTTTTCACGGTTCCGGCTAGTCTGGCTGGATTACCTGCTATTTCGGTCCCTGTGACTGTGGCTGAGTCTGAGCGGAATCCCGATGCTGATGAGGTGGCTGGTATTCAGGTCATTGGGCAGTATGGGGATGACGAGTTGGTGATGAATGTTGGTGAGTTGTTGGAGGGGAGGAGGTTGGATAGCTGATTAAGAGTCCGAGATCTGGCCTTCAGACAGACTGTGTTTTATTATATATTTGTATGATTACAATGATACCATTTATTTCTGTGCATTACATTTATTGTCTAGCTGTTTTGAATCTTACACGGTTCATTTCAATACAATAAGCGTACATAATACTCTGCGCTTCAACATAGTCGTAGCAACATCAAGTCATCTCAACATCCTCATCTGCACCCGTTGGAGCATCCGCAGCCTGAGGTGTCCCGGCTGTGCCAACACTCATCGCATCCTCGAGCACCGGGTTAGCAGCAGGCGTAGCTTGATTACTGTTCACAGCGGAATCAGAAGCCCCCGCCGCACCAGCCGTAGCAAGCGCAGCACCGACGCCATTCTGTAGAACTTCGGAGCCCCCAATGGCACTAGACGCCGTACCGTCCATTCCCGTGTTATTATTTCCAATCACGTCGCCATCGATTCCACCCCAGGTGAACATGGCTTCGACCTCGTCGACGAGGTCGGCAACAACATCCTCAACGATCTGGTCGTTGAAGCGCTCGCCAATAGGTCGGACTGGACCACCGAACTCGTCTTGCTCGGGCGGACCAAACCACCATGGGCCTTCGAAGCGGCATTCGGCAGCACCACCGCCGTAGCAGCTGACAGCCGGGTAGTAGCCGATCATGCCGTCGTCGGCATTTTCACGTTCTCCGATGCCGAGATTATTCGTACCGTTGGCGAGACGGCTAGCTGGTGGTAGGAAAGCATACAGCTCTTTGAAGGGCGTGCCCATCTTGACGCCATTTTTGAAGATGGTAATGCTGGAGCCGGGCAATGTGCGGAGAGTAGGGTCTTCACTGTTGAGTGGGGAGGGAGGCCCGAAGGTAGGAGTTTCTTTTAGGTTGAAGGCGTAGTCGCGGAGGTGCTTTGTAGAGAAGACGTTGGACTGTTGCCAGCAGAAGTCGGATTTGTAGTGGAAAGGGATACGGTCTCGGATGATATTGGCGGCTGTAGGAACCCGGGATGACTGGTCGGATCCATCGCCATCTACAGCCGGGTCGTAGGTGCCTTCGACAATTTTTTTGTGTAGAGAGAGAGGTGGGAGGGTGATCAGCATGCCGATGACATCGCCCTCGTTAATGCCTTCGCCCTTGGGAAAGAAGGGTTCGCAGCGCATGCGATTGACGACTTCGCCGTTCACGTCGCGGATGCCGTATCCGTAGCAGTCGACGCCCACGTTGACATCCAAGTCCGCCTCACGTCGAGCGAATCCGAGTCGCACATGGCCTCGAGGGGATGCGCTAGGTCCGCCCTTTTGGGGAGCTCCTTGGGGATCATCCACCCGGCCACTGATGACGCGTGCCTCGTAATAATATGATCCTTCCCGAACACACACGTTTGCGCGCGCCGTATGCCACGCACTACTGGTGGTTACTGCCCTAGCGTCCTGCGAAAAGGAAATCGCGGCAGGAGAATCCTCGAAGCTGAAGCGTGCGTGGTACGGTTCAACATCGGTCTGTCGGTACTTGATATGGGGGAAGCCCGGGTCACCGATTGCATAGCTGTAGCGGAAGCCGTTCTTGTTGGTGAGTTTATCGACAACCTCGTGGAAATCCCATGTCTGACCCAGCACTTCCGAGCTCTTGCTTGTCACAAGGTTGAATTGACGCGGCTGCGGTGGTGACTGATCTGAAGCCCGGGGTTCGGCGAGTAGCAGTGGGCGGAGGATCGAGAGTTCCGAACTGGGGCGCGCCATGCTTGCAACCGTTGCGCGTTTCTTGGGCGGTGGTGCGTTTTCCGGGTCTAGACCCTTGGCTTCACGTTTCTTGCGACTATCTCGCTTGTTGCGCTTTGAGCGAGCTGCATCAGCACCTTGGACAGATGCGTTGCTGGCGGGAGCTGGAGAGGCTCGAGAGTTGAGATCAGACAATGCGCCGTTGAGGAGAGGGCCATTGCCTGGTGGGAGGAGGGGGGAGTTGATGTTTGAGGAAGGCGCGGACGAGCCAGGAGCTTGAGTAGATGCCATTTTGGTAGATTTGACACAGGGCGATGTCAAGTATCAAACCAATAGACCTCGAATAGGGCTGATTGAACGTGGCCGGCGAATTAGAGCTGAATGGACGAGTAACTATAGTGAAGCATATGAGTTAGCGCATGAAAGCAATCGCCAATCGGTATCTCTAGCTCTCCAGTGCCACGTTTATAACTGCAGCAGCAATGATCATTTACCTGAATGACGCGGGTCCAGTCAACTCAGCTCCGGCCGGAGTGTCGCAGCTGCGCACGTGAAGTGAATTGAGATGCAAAAGCCTTATTGCTGATTCCAGAGTCCCTGATGGTTCAGATCTTCTTAGCATTCATATATATTGATTCAAGAGCACCAGCAGAAGCACAGAATCACTGGAGTCTGGTGTACCTGATGAACTCGCGATCCTTGCGAAAGTGAAGCCATCCCGGCAGAACAGCGTCGGCGGTAGGAAAAGCGGTGTTGTGATGTGGGAAAGGCGGTGGGAAGAGGAAAAACTCTTGGAAGGCGGTGAAGGAAAAAGTAAGTGGGTCTCCGCCGGGCAGAAAAAAATACTGGTTAGATCACATGATCCATAAATTTACACACAACTGATCAACGGATAGTCAAGCAACAACTTCGAGCAGCCCGACGGATCCCCGCATTTCTCTCTTTCAGATAAGCTGAGAAGAGAATATCATTTACAATGCCCAAGGCTACCAGTTCCCGAGCCGCCGCTGCGGCGCGCAGACACAACCCTCTCGCAGACGATATCTCTGCCGTGGGGCATCTCCGAACAACCAGCACCACCAAGAAGGGCAAGCGCCAGGATGACGATGAGGAGGGCGAGAATGGCGATCGCTATATTGATGCCAAGATGTCTCGCAAGATTCTTCAGATCGGTCAAGAATTGGCAGACGAAGATGCTGCCGAACACAAGCTCCGCATTGGTGGGGCTCAGCAAAAATCGAACGCGGCCTTTGACTTTGACACTCGGTTCGAGGATGAAGCTTTGTCGGATGATGACAAGTTTGAGAATGACGGTTGGGTTGATGATGAGGAGGAGGTTGAGGATATTGTAAGGATTCTTCTCAGGAGCATGGAATTAACTATTCGGAGCTTTATCTAACAAGGCTTGTAGGAGGTTGATCCCAATGATCTCGATATGTTCAACAAATTCATGCCTGGTGGCCACGACGAGGACCCTATCTTCGGCACGCGACAGCCCGGAGAGCAGATGCAGCAACAGACGACAAACCTTGCCGATTTGATCCTGGAGAAGATTGCCGAACATGAAGCGAAGCTGAACGGCGAGAATGTCGGTGGGCCCTTCATTCAAGGTGGTGGTGCGCCCGAGGATGCTGTGCAGATCCCAGCCAAGGCTGTGGAAGTATACGAGAAGTATGTCAGATCACCAAGCCATTGCATCTCTGCGCCAGCCTAACCAACGTAACTCTAGGGTCGGCATGATTCTCTCTCGCTACAAGTCCGGTCCTCTCCCCAAGCCTTTCAAGATCCTCCCATCTGTGCCAAACTGGCCGACCTTCCTCGACATCACTCAGCCCGAGCGATGGACCGCCAACGCTGTTTACGCCGCGACTCGCATTTTCATTTCCGCCAAGCCCTGGGTGGCTCAAGAGTTCATCTCAACTGTGCTGCTGAACCGTGTCCGCGAGGAGATCTACGAGACCAAGAAGTTGAACGTCCACACCTACAACGCTCTGCGCAAGGCCTTGTACAAGCCCGCATGCTTCTTCAAGGGTCTGCTGTTCCCGCTTGTGTCCAGCGGTACTTGCTCCCTCCGCGAGGCCCACATTGTCTCCTCGGTGATCGCCCGCGTGTCCATTCCCGTCCTCCACTCTGCCGCTGCTCTCCTCCGCATGTGTGACTTGGCTGCCGAGCAGTCCATGCGCTCGCTCGAGAGCACCGGTGCCGTCAACACCTTCATCCGGGTCTTCCTGGAGAAGAAGTACGCCATGCCTTACAAGGTCATTGATGCCCTGGTCTTCCACTTCCTGCGTTTCCGCAACGAAGATCCCGCGGCCATGGACGGCCCCGGTAGCTCCAAAGCCTACAAGCTGCCCGTCTTGTGGCACCAGTCTCTCCTGGTATTTGCTCAACGTTACCGCAACGATATCACCGAGGACCAGCGCGAAGCCCTTCTGGATTTGCTGCTCGTTCGCGGACACAAGGATATTGGACCCGAGGTGCGACGAGAGCTGCTTGCCGGCCGTGGCCGTGGCGTCGTGGTTCTGGATCCCGAGCAACAGAATGCCCTCGATGCCGGTGATGACACGATGGATGTGACTATGTAGATGCTCCATTGAGCTTGATTTCTTTTCCTTTGTCACCAAAATCCTTTGCCCCCCTGCATATACCACCTACGACCTGGTCATGAGCACGTACTTGATGGAATGGCGTTTACTGTTGTGTTTTTTTTTCTTTCTGTGGGACTGCATATATTCCCCTTGGTGTCGGAACTGGTGAAGTCAATAGAGCAGAATAGCGTCTATTGGCCAAAAAAGCATTGTTAATATTCAATCTGGCATAACCTGAGTAACTTAACCTAAGGCGACTCGATATTAAAGATTAACGGACTGAGCCTGGGGCTCAGTCCGGACCTCTCTAAGATCTAGGTGTGTTCTTGCTCAAATTTCTATATAGAGAAACGTATTTTCAATTACTGGAATATTGGCACAATAGAGATAGCCCAGGATAGCTTCTTGATAGCCCTTCAACCTGGCAAGTTGTAGAAGACAATCCGAGATGACTGGTTGCTCTAGGCGTCTTCTTATTCCTCATTCTTATTTATTATATATACCACGCTAGAATGATGTATGATTAACAGTGCTAGCTTGAACTATTGCACCTTAACCAAGGATTGCAACTATTCAATCACATAATCATTAAAAAATATCGCAACCCATCCTACTTGGCCCGAAACCGATGACCTTGTCATGCATACCCTCCAGATATATCCCATATCTAGTAGTACTTCTCCCCCTTAGACAGTCCAGTCACGGACCACTTCATCCCAAACGCCGCATGCCTATACTCCCTCCCACTAGCACCACCAACACCCTCCCCAATCTCCCCAAAACGCAACTTCGCCTCCCCAATCTCCTTCCCAATCGGATTCCTCCCCAAACAATGTCCAATAGCCAACTGATCCAACTCGGGATTCCTCGTCGTCACCAAAACACTCGAAAACGCCGTACTCTGCGAAACACCATTCTCAAAGAGTGCCATAAACCCAACAATAACACAGACGACACTCACGCCCAGCGCAGTCGCATACGCCAAAAGCAGATTCCTACTATTATAGCTGTAGAAGTTCTGAGGCGATGACACTTTTACAGGGACGGTGGTGTTCGCGGCATTCAGGCTGAGGAGACTATAGGTGAAATTATGCGAGAGGTCCTCCAATGCCCGGGCTAGGGTTTTGTTTCGGCAGAGGGCGGTCGACATATTGCGTGAAATCGTTACCTCCAAGTAATCGGTGTTGTTCCATATTTCGGGACATGACCAGAGACCCGTTTGGGTGACTGACAGTGGGTTGCTGGCTAGGACGGAGGAGGGCGAGTCGTCTAATACTGATCCCGTGGAGCCGATGGCAATATTGTGTTTGATGAGGCCTGAAAATAGCATGTGTATGACATAGTAGCCGCCATTTGCGGGTGTGTCGTGGTACCCGGGTAGTAATACAGAAATTGCGGCCGACGAGTCCCAATTTGCCGGGGCGAGTGGCTTTGTTGATACTGGTGTTAGGGTGCGGACGCCGTTGGTGAAGGTTAGGTTTGCGGTATAGGATGTGTTCCATAGTTGGCAGACCAGCTCGGTAGGTTGGGTGGCGTTGGTATTCCAGAGGGGGTTTGAACCTGTTGCATATAGGAAGAGGGTGTTGTTGAGGAGATCGGGGACAGTCCCTGAGTATACAAACTGAGGGACTGTTACGTTGGTGATGTTTGCGAATGTCTGATTCCAGACTTGTGCTAGGGTATAGTGGTTCTCATTCAGGATATCGGGGAAGGTGAGACCTTTCATCTCTTCAATGGCTTCGCTAAGTCTCTGGCATTTGTATGATGGGCCGTAGAAGTCTAGGGAGTAGGTTGAGTTGGGGAATGGTGCAGCGGCAGGGACAACGTCGACGGATGATGAGGTGACTGTAAAGAGGCGACTGATCTCGGCGGAGGGAGCATCAATATGTCCAACGCCTTCGAAATTCGCCCAGGGGACCCAGGATGAGTCCGTAAAATTTACGGTCGGAACGCGCACCTGCGTGGTGTTTGTGGTTGTTAAGAGATGGACGGACAGGGTCGCAGGTGTGATGATGGCCGACAATGGGATAAGCCTATTGTGATCAGTAAATTAAGCCCCTTCTACTCTCACGCAGGAACGAGATGGGAAAAACCTACCATGAGAAAATTGCCAGTAATGTGAGGGTTTTCGCATACAACCAGAGATCAGGAATCAAAAAAGCGAGTGGGTCTTTAAGCACCGCGAACATCCCATCAATTCCGCTAAGCTTCATGCTCTTCCGGCGGAGAGTTGCCCATATCTCTTGCACAGCTGCGATTCCAACACCAGCAACGAGGAAGGTTTTGTTAAGAAAGGCAAAGCCAGTTCCGATTCGGATTGCCCATGTTTGTTGGTCGACCGAGTGGACACGAGTATTGTCGAGGCTCTGGTAGTATAAGTGATGGCCCACCGACAACGCCGCACCACAAATCACAGATCCAACCATTAGGGTTGGAGTCCACCATCCGATTCCCCATATGGCTGGGGAGATCTCATCATGGGGTACTGGTTGAGGATGAGAAGTGTAACCTGTTTTTTCGGGCGCTCTAGGGCCGCGGATATGATGATCGGAACCTTGAATATGGAGAGGGTCGTGTTCAGTCTGCCTATCGATTGATGAAGACATTATAATTAAGGAACGATTTGGGTTAGCGATCATATACGGGGGGCGAGTTGAGATTCTCGCCAGATCTTATAATGGATGAGGCTAAAGACGAGGCTGAAGATGAAGCCTGTAATTATTTTCCCCTCTCCCTGTGTGACAATCTACGAGTTGGCAATACATTAGCTTGCATGATGATCATCGAGGAGAAACAAATCGACTTGTCCAACCCATACATTGCAGGATCAGGATTCGGACTAGTAACCTAATCCATCGATAGGGTCTGGTCCCCTACTACTCTTTTTGGTTATCATGCATGAGCGGCGTATGTACGGAGTACCTGTCGGCACATTGCAGATACGAAGGAGGGTCGGGCAAGGCGCAGTATCACATTGAGGGATGGCTTACCCTAGTAGCTAAAAATATCTACCAGATCCTATTTCTCTACATCCTCATTCGCTCCAAGTACGTGCCCGTTCTCTTTCCCCGCACGAACCTTTCGGTCCACTTTCTAAGGGCCGGTGCCCAGCATTAGTTCTGTGTGCCACGAGGCCTTAGCGTGTTGATTATGAATACGCGAGGATTTCTCTTCTTAAAGCTTTTTGTACGCAGTTTGTGGCCTGATTAGGTTAAATTTAATTCTTGCATTAGCACTTCATATACAAGGCTCTTCTTTATATACATAGAAGTATTGAATTAGATATTAGATATTAGAAAGGCCTAGAAAGAGTGAAAAACGACCCAGTGTTGCGGACCTCAAGTGCCGAAGCGCCTAAGAGCCGCAATGGGCTGATGCAATCGAAAGCCAATCATTCTCCAAGGCCCGTGCGGCGGGCGGTTAGGGGGCGGCTCGCCATCCAAGGTTACGGTAGCCGTTTCTGGGTCGCCATGTTACTGTAGAAGTTATTACAATTATTCTTTTGAGTTGATTGATGCCTCTTATGCTCATGGTAGCTTTTATCAAAAATTATACAATAGTGCTTCAATTACTCTTATTCGAAGGATCTTTCTGAATGTCTCTCTAGATGTCCTTCGAGATATCTTTTAAAGATGTCTTTCTAGATGTCTTTCTAAATATCTTTCTAGACATTTTTCTAAATGTCTTTCTAAATGTCTTTCTAAATGTCTTTCTAAATGTCTTCTAATGGCTTTCGAACCGTCGTCCTTCTTGATAGTATAAATACTATTTCTGCGATCTATCTTTTAACTCGTGACGGCAAAGATGATTTTGAAAATTCATCATAGTTTGAAATTTTCGGAACCCCAATCTCGTTCCCTAGGAAGTAAAGTTGCTGGAGAATATAGGAAAATATCTCTCACTTTAGAATTAGAATATTAACGAAACTGATTCTAAATGCGGCAAAATAGCTTATTCTTTGTGTGGTAAAAATGAGAAAACCAAGGAACTAGTGTAGAATAAAAGAAAAAGGCCTATGGTGTGTATATTGTGGTGATTAGTTAAGGTAGGACTTTTTGTGTCGTAGTGAGGCCAGATACTTTTTTTCATGGGGCTAGAGTGCCTGGCATGGCTGTACATAGGCTGGTTTGCTAGGCAAATGTTGTTTAACATACCCGAATGAATTTACCGAAGTATATATTTCCCAAACAGGAAGTCTCTAAACCTTTCCAACACATGCTCTGCCATAGCAGATGGTGACGAGGTACGTTGTGGTTCTATGAAAACGAATTTTTCGTTCATCTTCCATTTTTGACCCATTCATTTAAATTCGCTTTTTACTCCTGCCTAATCTTTCCTTTTCTCATATCTTCTACATCCAAGTTTTGCCTGCCAGCAACCACTTGCCCACACTCACATCACCACCTTGACTCACTCACACATTCACACATCCCCATCTTCCTACATATACCCTCCCTCATCTCTATCTCCCATCTCCCATCCTCCCCCTCTCCTTCTCCATTCCCTTTTTCATACATAAAACTCTTCCCCTAACCCACCATCACAGTCATGGCCCGCACCCATGGCTACGGCAAGTTCCTGGGCTTGACCGAGCCTGAACAGAGGGTGCTACTCTACAGCATCCTCTACGCCACCCACGACGGCCGGGTAAGTCCCTTTTACCTCCCTACCCCTTCACATTTTCGTTACTTATTGCTGACTTTTCGGCAGAATCCTGTCAACTTCGAGAAGCTGGCAAGTGAGCTGGGATATACAGTCGTCTCAGCCAAAGTCATTACGGCTGCACTCGCCGTAAGCTGATCAAGGCGACTGGCATAGATCCCGGCCGCAAGCCATATTCTCGACGCACAGCATCTGCTTCCGCGGATGCTGTCCAAGAGATTACCGATGCTGGCCCCTCGAACCCCGATGCCTCTGCCGATCCTGCTGCCTCCGGTCCCTCCACCACTGCTGACGAGGGCAAAGCTCCCAAGAAGCCGCGCAAGGTCCGACGCACCGCTGTCCCACGAAAGCACAAGGCTTGCGAGATGGATGAGGGTGATAAGGACGGCAAGGCTGATGAGGACGATGGGGCTGGTACGGCCGTTGCTGAGGCTTAGTCGCCCAGCAGGTTGAGTCCTAGCCGCTGGGGCTAATCCCCCCTCGGTGGTTAGGGCTCGACTTCTCAATGAGAGATGGACCGAGGGATAGGTGCGGGTTGGAGTTCTATGCTTGGTTTATTGCTTTTCTGGTCGGGAAACACCAAAATTCGTTACAACGAAAATCTATGCTTTGCAGCTATATTTTCTGGGTCTCCGGTTTGGGAGAGAGCATCGGAAAACCGTGAGAACAAAACCAACGATTTTTCGCTATGTCATTTTGGTTTCTGGTTTGAACGCGAACATCAAAAACACGTGAAACAAAAAAAAGTGCAGACGTCGCTGAGCCCTCGTCATTAAAGGTGGCTTCCTGGCTATGTTTCTGGGTTTCTGGTTCAAACAAACAATATCAAAAAACCGAAAAAAACCGCGAAAAGAAAACGTCAAAACATCAAAACGAAAAAAAGTGCAGATGTTAAGCTATCATCAATACGGCTGATGCTTCTTCGCTATGCTTTGTCGGTTTTTGGTTCAAACGGCAACATCAAAAAACCGTTGCAACGAAAGATCGCAGCCGTTTCGATGCTTTTTCGCCATGTCGTTTTGGTTTCCGGTTTGAACGATAACATCAAAAACCGTGAGAACGCAAATCGACGCATTGTTGCTATGTCTTCTTTGTTCCGGTTCAACCGAAAATATGAAAAACACGTGAGAACAGCCAAAAACCCACAGCTTTTTTAGCCTTTATCATTATGGGTGATATTCGGTTTCACGATATGAACATGATATTGTGGAGGATCAACATGGGGAAATCGTCCGACAACAGTGACCATTTCTTGCCAAGTTCTCTCTATTTTCCGGGGTTTCAAACACAAACGCCGAGAGAGCTCAAAAAGTCGCTTAGACACAAGTTCTTACAAATTGAACCTCCGTCAATCCGCGACTCCTGGATGAAAATGAAAGGATGGTTCATGGTTCATGGTTCCTACGCTAAATTACCCCGCCATTGAAACGGTTAGAAGGATTAATTAACTTTGCACATCTGCCACGCTACACTTGACATTAGCCGAGAACTAAGAACTATCTACAACTCCGTATGTAATCAAAGTTGTAGTCTGTTTCAGTGTTTGCACCTATAGGAGAGCCCCGGATTGTTCGGGAGTCATCTCGTGTAATTCCTTAGTAATTGTTACCAAGGAGGATCCAAATTCTTAGTCCATACTCAGTACGGAGTACATACTTAGTACGGTCTTTGTGGGCCACCCCTTCTTGGACGCGGACTCCGGCGGGGACTGAGTTTCGCCAATGCGACCGCGGGGTGAACGCACATGTTAGGGATTCGGATGGATGGTCCACAGTCTATCATGATACTTACAGTAGTTATACAGTAGAGGGTTTAACTAACTACAGTCCAGTGTCGAAACTGTCGAAATCTACCGTGTTCTGCGTTCTTCGACAGTCTTCGGTAGGATTGAAGAGTGGAATTCTTCAGCCAGGGTCAAGGGCCAATGTGAATGCAGTACTGTACTGCAGGTTAATGTCCGAGGGGAGGGGGCTAGCCCCTGCCCCTGGAAATACCATTCCAACACCAAACTCCGTATGGAGTGTAGTAGTGGAGTTAAGCGTGCATGATGCATCTCCAAGGGGCAGGGGAGAGAGAGTAATTCCCGGAGAATTAACGGCTGGTGGCGAGTGTAATTCCAGTTGGTTATTCACCTTGATTGGGGCCCTCTGTCTCCAACCTGGACGAGGCTTTTGTGCAGGGACCAACATCCAATCCACAGTGTGCGCGATCTGCTCTCCACAGTTGCGACAGACGCTTGAGACTGGGTTCTTAGCGGGGTCCACCATTGTTCCAGACGGACGTGGCGGATTGTCGGGAAGGATGACTCCGTGTTGGAAGGGGAGGGGAGGGGAGGGGGTGGTAATGTCCGGTGGGACAAGAGGCAATTGCCATTGATTGTGTGACCATTTTCAAGTGTACAGAGGACATGTGAAATGGATAGATCATTAGAGAGAGGATCATCAACTTGACTGTACATATAGATTGGAATTGCTTTTTGGCCCGTAATGCGCAGTAGATATAGACTGCAGTTGGGGGCCTTAGGCTTGGGGTCCAGAGACAACAGGAGTGGTGCATGTCGTAGTCAGTGGCTATTCATAGTTACAGCATGGAGTACTCCGTACAGAACTGTACTTTGTTGGTCTACGGTGAAACGGATGAGCCGTGGAATCCAGGGGCGCAGGGGCTGATTTACTGTATTAATACACTCCTACAGGCATTCTGACTGGAGGGGTAAATGTCAGAGTGGTAATTTTGGTATTGACTTTGTAAGCTGACGGCCCCGGGGCTGACGACTCCGCCCCTCCAGAATGGGAAAATCAACTTGGCCCCTTCCCAGGTACTTCAGGTACCATAGAAGAATGTATGGAACCAGAAGTACCGTCCAAGTACCTTTAGACCCAGGCCCCCATCCCTGGAACCCCTACCACTGTCCTCTCTCCCTGTCCCTCTTCTCCCTCCATTTGACCACGCTGGCCTCTACTTAAACACGCCACTCGCCCACTCTTTGTCCCTCCCCCAACAGCCCAACCCCAAAGGACCATCTGTCCTCTACCTTCGCTGAGTCATTCCTTCCTCTGTCTCGATTCATCTGGAGGCAGATTGACGGTGCCCGACCGTGATGACAGCGTGGCCTTGATTCCAGGCAACCAGAGAAGCACATCCTACTTTGAACAATCAAGTCCCCGCTCTCTACACACCATCATCACTTGACGGCACCGGCCATCTACTCTCCTCGATATACAACTCGATAATATCCTACCATCCAACCACCACATACACAATACACACATATCCATGATGGCAGAGACAACGTCACTCCGTGACTTGGAGTCTCTCTCCGCATCCCCGGAACCCGAGATGCCTTTGACTATCTCTCCTTCAGATACGTCATTGGATTCTCCGGAACCGGTGGACGACGACATGAAGGAAGACGAGAAGAAGCCCACGAAGAAGAGAAAGTCCTGGGGTCAGGAACTACCAGTGCCCAAGACCAACCTTCCTCCAAGGTATGTACCAAGTATCCCTCAGCAAGTGCTATGTCCAGCGAGTGAGCTTTGTTCTAACACTTCACCCCCTCCATCAGGAAACGAGCCAAGACCGAAGATGAAAAGGAGCAGCGTCGCATCGAGCGTGTTCTTCGAAACCGCGCGGCCGCTCAAACATCCCGTGAGCGCAAGCGCCTTGAAATGGAGAAGCTGGAAACCGAGAAGATCCGCATGGAGCAACAAAATCAATTCCTCCTACAGCGCCTTCAGCAGATGGAAGCCGAGAACACCCGCCTGTCTCAACAGGTCGCTCAGCTCTCTGCGGAGGTGCGCGGCTCTCGTAGCAGCACTCCCGTCAAGGCCGGCTCTCCGGTCCCCAACTCCTCCGCCACCACTACCTCCCCTACTCTCACTCCTACTCTCTTCAAACAAGAAGGCGAAGAACTCCAAATGGAGCGAATCCCTTTCCCCACCCCATCCACCATCACCCTCGACTACTCACCCACCCTCAAGCCCTCCACTCTGGCTGAGGCCACCACCGACGTGACACAACATCCTGCCGCGATGTTGTGCTCCCCAGACCTGCAGTGTCCGTCGGCGGCCTCGAAGGAGCAGGCGCTCTCCCTCTCTTCGACCTCGAACTTCCAGTTCACTCTAGCAACGACGTTGCAGCTCCTCTTTCTGACGATGACTTCCGTCGCCTCTTCCACAGTGACATTCCCACTGCTCCGCATTCTTCATTCCCTGAAGACGGGTTCGCCTTTGGCACTCTCGACGGCGGAGATCTATCAGCATTTCCCTTTGATTCATTGGTTGATTTCGACCCCGAGTCTGTCACCCTCGACGGTGACCGGCCCGTCCTTTCGGATGAGACTTCTCACTCGACTGCTAGCATGCAGCCCAGCCTTGGCGCGTCCACTTCGCGATGCGACGGGCAGAGCATTGCAGCTAGCGGTTAGGGAGCAGATCTTCAGCCCGCAGGGGACGGTGTCGGCCACGTCGGAGGGTCGATCGACTTGGATGTCCTTGTTGACTATGGCCTGGGCAATCGATAGTATCACCAGCCAGTCGCGACGACGCGGGCGAGCTATGGGAGTAGCTTCATCATCATCATTATCTATGTCGACTGTGAAAGGGGCCGGGATTGGCAAGATACAATCTCGGGTCTCTTCTTCTGGCCGACGACGCAGTTACGGAAAGATGGGTCCATCTCATCAACATCAACATCAACGGAGTACACGGAGTTCCTGGAGTTCGTCATCAACGGGTACGGGCGAGACTATGTCGTCGGTGCTTTTGGGTAAGCAGCTATGATAGGATAGTTTGCTGGTTCGGGGGACATTTCCTTAGGAGAACCTTGGGATTTAGGGATCCTCTTTTTTGGCTGTATAACTAGTTCCCACCTTTCAAATCATCCAGATTCAAAATAAATTGACTGGCTCAGCTTCTAGCTATCTTGATATGTGTTCATCTCCATAGTAGACGACTTCTTATTAATAGTAGTCGTGAGTGTATCTCGGTAGATGTATGTAGAAGGTGGGCACGGGGATGGCAATTTGGCAGCCTAACTCCAGTCAGACGAAGTAACAGTTGATTCAAAATACAGTCACCTATCCTGAATAAAACCATGTAAAATGTCTATTAAATAATTATAACTCTCTATTCCATTTCTTTTCTTCAACCACCACTGTTCTCTATTTACGTGGGTGGTTCAATATCCGCGCTAACAACTGAATGCGGTCAGTGACGTTTGCCACCCCTCTCTCTCTCTCTCTGTGTGTGTCTCTTTCTCCGGTCATCTCTTTGCGCCGAATCCTCCTCCACCTCAGCCACAACAACTTCCAACTTTCTTTCTCCTTCCCCTCGACAACACACACCCACAGTCTCTTTCATAACATAATACAAGTGCATTACATTGCACTAGTCTATCCACCATGGTCCGCAGAGATCCCATCTTCGAAGCTCGCACAAATGTCAAGGTCCGTCCAGTCTGCCCATCTCTCCCCGCACTCCATCCATACCATACCACACTCTACCCGCCCTCTCACCCAACACCCAACATCCAGTCCTCATCCACTGACTCGAGTGTATAGCTCCACTCAAACCGCCTCAAAAAAGAAGCCTCCCGCGCCGAAGCAACATTCAAATCCGAAAAAGCAAAAGCCGACCGCGCAATGAAAGCCCGCGAATTCCAAATCGCCCGCATCCACGCCTCCTCCGCCGTCCGCGAAAAAAGGCGCCAAGTCACTCTAAGAGCCGAAGCCGCCCGCGCAGACGTAATCATCAACGAACTCAAAGCCGCTCAAAGCACGCGCGATACATCGCGGACTCTCGCGCTTGCATCGCGAGGCCTGGACGCTGCGAGCAAGAGTGTGAATCTTGAGAGTCTTGTGGCGCATGCGAATAACTTTTTGGCCAGGAGTGAGGACTTTAAGATTGCGGGCGCCGCTATTGAGGATGTTGCGGCTGGCATTAGTATGGCGGAGTATGGGGCGGAGGGGGAGGGGGAGGTTGATGCTTTGATGGGCCAGTTGGCGGATGATGCGGGGGTTGAGTGGAGGATGGCGCTTGAAGATGAGGCGGGGAAGGTTCCTGAGGGGAGGGTTCAAGAGCCAAAAGTGTCAGAGGGAGTTCCTGGGGAGGTAGAGGATGGGCTTGGGGCGAGGTTGAGGGCGCTGAGGGCTGCTAATTAGGTGGGGGGGATGAGATGAGGGTTTTTGATTCTTGTCTCTGTCTTTTGCATGCTTTGCTTGGAAACTAGCCCGTTCTGTTCTGTTTATACTGGGTGATACCCAAGAAGGATGATCCCCTCCATCCCTTGTCTTGTCCTGTCTCGCCTTGAGTCATAGTCCACCCAGTCCGGACTAAGGCTATATCACGACGTTACGGTTTCTGCGTTTAGGAGTGGGTTTGGCCCCTGTTATTCTACTTTTGTCTTGGTTCTTTGCTTGAGCTCATTCGATTATTTTCATTTGCCTTGGGCTTGTGCTTGTCTTGCGTTGATTGTGTATGTTTGAGGCGTTTGTAAATGGAGGGTTACGTCTATTTGACGAGGGTTTTCTCATATCATGCTCTACAAATCTAGATACTGAAATTATTGAGAATACCTGGGTAGACGTACTTCACACTAGCATAGACAGTATTCTATAGATCACATTATGTTTATACCATGATGGAACCCCAGCTCCGGGAGACGTCACACTCTTGTGGTGTTTGTAGCAACATATCATGATGTCTTAGATGGACAGTATTCCTTCCATTCATTGACAGTCAATGTCTATATCGTGATGGAACCTTTACTCTGGGACAAATCACACTCTCATCGTGCTTGGAACAACATACCATGGTATCTTCAAGAGATCGCTGGAATAATACCAGAGCTTTAGTAAATTAAGTTCTGATACAGAAAGTGTTGATTGTATTTAACTATTACCACGAAGATCCGAGGAAATCTCCTTCTACTTAAAGATATGCTATTACAACCACTGAGTCAAGAAAGCAAACATGGAGGATCCCATCAGCAGTCACTTATACCCAAGAACTTCTGCTTCTCACTTCTGGCCTTCAAATCAACTTGACATTGATCTACAATCCTTGAACTTGGGTTTCAAGATGCCAACTAGCTTCCTCGAGCTCCCGGGGGGAATCCGCAACAAGATCTATGGCTATGTCCTATTGAAGCCAGGCGCTATAAACCTTGGCTTCAAAGAATTCGTCATTCCTTGCTATGATCTGAGACAACGTACTCTATACGACTGGTGGCTAATACGCACATTTGACGAGCTACACATTCTTGATCTCAACCTCTTGTACGTGAGCAAAACAATCAGCAAAAAAGCAAAATCCCTCTTCTTCAGCCAGAATCCTTTCAACTTTGCCTGGTGTGGCGGCCCTGGACATCCCGGATCTTTGAAAGGATTGGCTATGACAGCGTCAGCCAGAGAGAGCATGTTATGGTTCAGTTCCGATACACTCAGGGGGAACCTCTGCCAGGTGGGCATATCGACGGTATCCATGAAACACTCAAACAGAAGCAAAAGCACTGTACGAACTTGAAAACTCTCATGACATCTCCTTATCGTTCTCAAGCTCTGGATCAGAGGCTCAAGCCTGGACACAACTCGGAGGATGACATCAGAGAACTTCTGGAATGGACAGATGTCCTATTTCGACCTATCCCATCGCTTCGGGAGATTGTTGTGAGGGTTAGGAGACGGAATTGTCCCGCGAAAGGGCACCGCTACAACAGGATCGGTTTTTGGAGTCGGAGAAGGAGAGACTTGGGTGGAGACTTGAAAACATTACGGATCCAGCGCCAGCTGAAGAGGAAGATGAAGATGAAGACTGGTCCTGGTGATCGAGGTGATGAAGTATGTATGGCCAGCTGAGGAGTTCAAGGTTGATAAATTCCTTATGTTTGGTTGACTTAACTTATTAGCACGAATTGATGTCAAAGTCGAAAACGAGTGCCTAGCTTCGGAAACATGATACGATTGTGATGCCGACTGGTATGAAATTGGCTTTGTATGATATTTAGAGCATCCACTATACAGAAGTTCTGCAAGTAAACATCGTATCCAGCAGGGGTCAACCTAACTAGTAAGCCTCTATCAAAGAACGACATTCGGATTCGAAGATATTTAGAGTTTCTTGACAGAGATTATGATAGCATGGAATTTCGAGAACCATTGCAAGATTCTGGCCGGGAATAGGATGCCTTAAGAGGGCTTGACAGAACGCATACTGTAGATCTATGTGGAGACCAATTCAGTGGGTAGATCAACAACTCCAGTTGAAGATCACCTCTATACCGTCGAACGGGATTAGATTTGATCTTGAGAAGAGTTAGAAGCCCAATGAAGTTAATTGAACCAGTCTTGCAGTTGCGATGACTATTGAATATAGAGGTCTCTTCTCTATATTAACCCTAGCTGCATTACTATGCATCGCGAGACTATAATGTTGCACTGGAGAAGTTCACTACACATTCGAGGCTCAAGGAGATTAGCCCCACCAGTGCGGCAGTGACAGAGATCTGGGATCTCACTGGACCACGAGAATCGCCGGTTTTCTTCGGCTTGTTCCGCTTTGATTCATGTTGCTTCTGATGTTTTACGAGGCGAAACACACCAAAAACATCGTCAGTCAGCTGATCCCAGGTCACAAGTCACAAGTCACAGGTTACTGCTTCCGATGAAAATTTTTCTCCATCACATTCACCTCGTTCATGCAACACAGTCTTCTTTTGTCGAACTCCTTGGATCTTTTCTCTCTCGCCAGGCTATTTTTGCAATGGAAGCCACAATAAGCGAGCCAGTCATCACCGGCGCCAACCAGCACAACTCCCGAATTGGGACTAAGCCCAACACTAGCCACTACTAAACCACGCTAAGCACCGCTAGCCTCTCTCCTTAGCCTCCTCGGACCCTTGAGATTCAGCATGTCCGACCAATCGCACCGCGGCGACTCCGGGATTTACCCTGCGTTCGGTCGGGAGGCAATTTCCACCTGGTCCCTGAATGGGCTTTGAGGCGCTTTTCATGGCCCCCAAATGGCAAACTAAGGCCTCGCCAAAGCAGAGTCCGACAAAATGGCAAGGAAGAGGCGCTGATGGATTTCTCTTAAAGCCAGTCCCCATGACCAGAGCCGCATCCAGGTTTTTCTCGTCGTAGGGGTGTCACGTCGCAGTCGCTGTTGCAGTCGCAGTTTCCAACTTTCAGGCCCATTCGCAATGGCGCCCTCACACTCGTTTTTATACGTTTTGTCACTCGTTTTGACTTATCTAACTCCATTCGTTCTTGGCGCTCCCTGGATCGTGACCGACTATTACCAGGCTGTTCCAGAGGAGGCGTATGGCGATTACGACACTTCCAAGCATCGATGGTCGATCATTACCACCACTACTTATCAGGAGATCATCCCGACCGCAACTTCGTTACCGGACGCTATCCAGACCAATGTCGTCGTCAATTCAGATTACTATGCCGACGAGGTAACCATCGTTGAAAAGCTCTATCCGTCTGGCGGAGTGGGTAAACCAGTGCCCTACAGCGCGGTGTACAATTACGTGGACAGCGCATGGACGTCTATCATCTGGGTCGTCAACTTGACCTATTCTGCACCAACTGCCTGCTCTACGCAATGGACAACGACCACCGCTGCTACAGTCACGCCCCCGTCAGACTACACTTTCGATCGACTCCTCCCCAGCACCGCTGTCTCGACCTCGTATAGCGTGTACAATGCCGAGGGCTTCAGGTCATCAACCTACGTGTACAAGTACATCTATGTTGAGCCAACACAAGTGCCCACTAGATCGTTGAGCTCGCTGAGTGACCGTTACGTCCCGTCGACATTGTACGATTACAGCGACAAGAAGTGTCGCTATCAAAATAGCGATTCCACGTACTACAACTACCCTGACAGCTACTACAACGACGACTACTACGGCGGACTTGCCATCTCTCCACTCGCCATCCTCCTCATCTGTGTGCTGGGCTGGATCGGACTATGGTTCTTGCTAGGCATTTTGGAAGCCTGGATCCGGTTCCGCCGTCTCATGACCGGCTGGCAGACACGGCGCGGAATGCCAGTCTGCTGGGCCTTGACAATCATGCCACTCACGCTGTTCTGCCTGTGCTGTCTGCGCAAGGGCTATCGCTCGCGTAACGCCCACGACGCTGCCGTACTGCAAAGCCGCTGGAAGAAATTGACCGCGTGGAACAAGTTCACTCTTTTCTTAAAATGGGGTTTCCGGTACTCATACCCGACTATCCTGGGCCCTGCCCCTGAGCGTGTGAGCAAGAAGCCAGGCAACAACCGTGGTCAACCCACGGGTCCGCCTCTGCCCTTCGCCAATCCACCACATAATGGGGTGTATCCACCAGGCGCCCCGGGCCCGCAAATGAGGCAGGCAAATCCGCAACGCCTGGGACAGGCACCGACCCTGCAGCCGATTCCCGAGGCTTCGGGCGCTCTGCAGCGTGAGGTCGAGCAAGCCCATGAGCAGCAACAGGCTCAAACCGAGACTCCGGCCCAGACTCAGACTGAGACTCCAAGCGAGCCTCATACCGAGACTGTGACCGAGACCCAGGCCCAGCCTCAGAATGACACTCCTGCCGAGGCCCAACCTCACCATCAAAAGCCAGCCCAAGATGGCGAGATTGGACGCGCTCAATAAGGAGGCATTTGGGTGGATAGATTTCGATATAATTGGTGAATTGGATTACCTTGGATAGAAGGGCAGCATGGATCTGTCCAGACACGTCTTCTTACGACTTGGATACCACTTTACAGCCAGCCGGCGTTTTCTATAATTATTAATTGACATTAGAAGTATTTGCATGAGCAACTTGGAATTTAAAAGTTCTGTGATACCACTTTCTATGAGTATCGACTATATGGTAAAAGTAAAGTCCTTTGCTTTACTTGTGAGAAGAATAGTTTGTAAATTAGAGTTGGGGCGTTTCAAGGCAGATGTCTTTCGTGCTGAAACGAAACAGCGTTCATGGATGGGATCAAAAGCGAATCGCGCAGAGAAAGTTTGGGGTCTTCATCGGGTATTTCCTATGAACTGGACATTTGGCATGCTCTCTCTTGTTTACCATCGGCACAGAAACCCAAGGTCAAAAATGTGTGAAAACTGTTGGATTTGCCTGGTTTTTCAGAACTCTAGATTGACATTCGGGATCGAGTCACCGTTCGTTCCATCCTGATCTGTGCATCTTCCTCTTCCGCTCTGAAATGTTTGTCGCTCGGTAGCATAATCGCCTTGTCAATGGCGACTGGCAGACCTCGATGGCGACCTCGGATCATTACGGCACAAAGGACAAGCTTGCTCAATGTATGCCAGGCCCCAGAGAAACTATAAAGTTGATTTGGAAGTCCCGTACTGATCCCGACACATCCGTAAGCACTCACTGTCTCGAAAATAATGTTGAATGCTGAGAACGTGACAGGATCACGGCTGAACTGGCCTGCCTCCACGATGCAAATGATGATGACAGCCAACGCGATCCACCATAGATCGTATGCCATTTGCGCCCGTAATTGGTGTCGGATGAAGTAAAGTCTTCCGGTAGTAGGGGCATTGGAGAATGGCCCTCCCGGCGTATCTGAGGACGAATTCTGCTGATCGTCGTTGGGGGATGGATCATCCGCGTATATTCCCAGACTCCGCTCCTCGTAGACATTGGAGTGTCGCATCGTGATGACAACGGGATAGACCGAAATATACATCATCACCACATAGATGACTTGCGTCCCTAGCTGGAGCGCTGAGATGTTGACCACGTAGAAACCTCCACTTCGAACACAGAAGGCTTGGAACAATCCATCCAACACACGCGATCCCCGAGGGATGGCATCCACTGATGGATTATCCACCTATTGCTGGATGTCAGTGGGATGATAGAAGTACAACGGGGTAAATTTAAGCAACTTGCGTTGAGCACTTCGAATGCAACCCAATCAATGCCATTCAATACCATCACAGAGAGTAGCAGCCACCAAGTGTGGGCGGACGGAAACAAAGTGGTATAAGATCGCCGTGGATGATCCAGGAGAAAGTTTAGCGTGTCACGGAACTGATCGAAATATTCGTGATTAGGAATCATGAGGTGGATAGCACGTAATATCCATCGTAAGAATATTGGGTAGCTATGAGCCCATCGTAAGCATAGTGAACCTTCAAACGAGACAACGCGAATCGTATTCTTACCAGGTGTTGCCTGCTAGGATCAGGAGGCTCATCGTAATGAGCATGTAGGTCGATGTTTGAAAGGGAACCTTGATAGGTGATCAGAAATGTCAGGCTTTCGGAGGAAACAAGTGAATGAAATCACCCACCATATTTGCATCGAGAAGACTCATGCCAGAGTTGTTGAATGCAGAAATTGCAAAAAAGAAGCCGGTCCACCTGATTTAACATGGCCTACAATTAGAAAACACCAAACCAGAAACTTGGCATCAAGCGTTTCAAGCATCCAAATACAGTAGTAGGGACTGAGATGATACAAACCAAGGATTCAGACCGTTGGACTCGGTCAGCGACGCTTTGTTTCTTGCGAGATACGCTCCTAAACCTAAGCCTCCAAGCAGCTGCCAGAGAAAAAAGTAGATTGGCACAATGATTGCCAGCAAAGATACTGCTCGATACTCGGCACCGCCGAGCTTTTGTCGCTCTGCTTCAGTGAGATTGTGAAAAGTAGAATTGCGGTGCAATTTGTGGAGAAGGTTCAAGTGAAGATCACCTCCTCCAACAGAACCGTCGGCGGATGGGCATTGTTCCAGTTCGCCGAGCGTATTAGCGCGATTCAGAACATTGGTGTACGGGGAAAGCATGCGTCTGCGTTCTGTGTTGGATTGCTGATTTTCCGAGTTATTCCGCGAGTGGGAAGCGAATGAAATATGCACATCATTATCAGTGCGACTGGTTTGCTCCCGAAGAATGTCTTCATTAGGTAGTGCTTCATCAGGAGCCACTGACCCGGAAACATCATCTCCAACTTCCGGGGCAGCCTGATTTAGTTGTTGATTGAGATGTCCAGTATCAGTCTGGTTAGGCTGAGAGCCTGGGACCGGGTCCTTTTTCTCCAAACTCCTGTTTTGGAGGCTACCGTTCGGCTCAACCGGTCCTCCCCAGCTCGGAGAACGGAACGTAGGTAGGAGTCCTGGAAACCAAGTACGTTCCTCAGGCATAGTATTTTGCCGGGATAAAGAACGGGGCCTCTTTATTGCGCGGCCAAACCCAATCTGGCTATGAGCTCTTCTTTCAAGCCGCTCTGCATTGACAATCTCGGCAAATCTTCTTTCAAATGCATGTTTCCGAACTAGGACCATCGCGATCGACACCCAGATCTTCGTCGCATTAGCTTTCCGGACAGGACAGTCAATTTGAATGTATCGTTGCGAGCTCTTACCGCAGATCCAGAAATTATGAGAAAGAACAGCAGCACTTGCTGGAATGTATTGAGTGTAGACAGATTCACCGGGTTCATTCCTGCGAGCGTCATAGCACTGACAGTCAGGTACAAAGAGTCGATGTATCGCACACTCTGGTGAGGAGAGGAGGTGCCCCAGAAGATGGCGGAAGTAATGAAAGAGAGCCCAATGAAGTAGACATAATGGATTGTGAGGAACCGTACTCGGGGAAGATAGGCCCTCGGCGTCTTATAGTGGAGTCCTCTCATTGTCATGAAGAAGGGGGCGCTTTCATGCTGGTGGTCTATGTTAGTGGGAGTTCATTCAAGCACAAATTGATTAAAGCTAGAATACGCGACCCCAAACAGCACGCGCACACTGATTAGAGCGACGGGGCTGGACTCCTGGAGTAAGAGGGATGCTCGCCCTGGGCACCTTCGATATCTCCTGCGCTTCTGGCATATTCTGCCGGGCGGTGAATCGGCCAACCCGTTGACCCGCAAAGCTTATGTCTGTCAGGTGACGCGATTTTGTTTAAAGCCTGGATGTGTGCTAGTCTAAGCAGAGGGTGCTTGGAAGCTAGATGGACCATAACCTATAATATTAGAGCCAAACTCGGGTGGTATTTTCAGATTGACCAACTCACTCTATCTAATTTAGAAAAAAAAGAACACAAACAAAAAAACATACAACAGCCAGGATTCGCATGTGGTCGCCCACCATACTACTAACTGGCTGGCGTGTGGCATATCTGCGGCAGATAGTCAAGTGGGTGCCGCCCAGGTGAGAAATGGGTGAGCGCCGCTTTAAGGTCGCGCGACTTGGGTGAGAGAGGGTGAGTGCGCAATAGACAGGGTGAGAAGCTGGGTGAGAGCGGGTGAGAATCACCCAGCGTCGCGCGACCACCGCGCTAACCCCTCTAATCTGAGCTCAGATCCAGCCTTATTGGTTCATCCCCAAAGAGCTGAAACTACGGTCTCTACCACTTGCATATCCCGTCGAGTTCGATTGGCCAAAGAACGGCAAGGCTGAATTCGATGTCGCCTGGGGCCAAATCGTGTGTCTGTTGTCCTGACATCAGGAATGTCACGTGGACATTTACGTCTACTATGGTGGAAGGAAGCACAGGATAAGTGGTTCCCAAAGGCGGGACATACTGTGTCCGCTGAGATTAGTTCATGAACTCAAATGAGCCCATCCATATCATTATTAGAGGCTTCTCTGTTTCTCCAGACTCGGTACACACGTGCTCGAAATCAGTTTCAGTAGTTTATTGCTTTCGATTTCTCTTCCCAAACTCTATTTTAAAAGCCCCTTTGTCTAGCTTTAGTTTGGTGAGTTTCAGATCCTGGAAACGTATTGTAAGAGAGAGTCACATGATTGGCTACTTGGTAATTTTCTGGAAATGATCATACGATTATTATCTCCGCTAATCGATCATGATGTTAATGTCACGGGTCAGACCCGCTTCTCACAATGGCCTTGCCATAGCCTCTTCCCCGCACGCCCTCGTTCTGCCACCGCCTTGCACGTTACTTCTGTCGTTGTTCCACTCGTTCCACTCCTTTCCTTGTCCAAGCTTTTTGTAAACAGCATGTTGGCCTAGTTAGATTTAATCAAGTCTTGCTTCAGCCCTTCACAGTTAAAGGGACTTCGGCGACAAGGCAGACTCAGTGATAAGGGTTAGAGTAGACTCCAAATACGGACGAAGGTAGGGGGAAATAAATAGGTCGACAGAAATTAACGTTTATAAACGGTCGTACTACGATATGATACAATAATAGGGGTAGTCTACACTTGTGCCCGTGTACTTTTGCCGCTATTTCGAAGAGCACTGCCACGCGAAAACAACGAACTTATAACGTGTTTTGGACCCACCCGATACCCCTTTTTTTATTCCTGCTGTTTAAAGAGCGCTATGGTTAGTACTTTCTATCAACTAGACAACCGGCTCCGTTGGCTTCCGCAAGCTCAGCGCAACTCACTCGAAATACTGTGGGGGTATAATTAGAGCGCCTTGGAAGCCCAAAATTGTATGGAGGTTCTCTGTACGATCAATGTTTGCCAGGTTCTACTCAGTACGACGAGGATACTGGTTTAGCGAAATACGTGCGAGGGTAATTGCGCTCAAGAGCTAATGCAAGGTGGTTTGCCTAGGTCTATATCAACCGGAGTCTCCGGGGTACGATTGGCCGGACATGCTGGTCCCCAAGGTCTATGGGGGCCAAGGACAGGGTCTAGCTGATTAGCGGTTTAGCAGCGCAGAAAGGTAGCAGCTAGCCCCTAAAGCCTTGCAGCCGTGTCAGCCGTGCTTCCGTTCTTGGTAATAAATAAGAGGGAAGAGATTTCATGCTCCGTTCCATCAGAACGTTTCAATCTACTTCTCAAGATGTCTCGAAGTCCAGAGTCGGCAAGCCCTATCTATGAACCGATTAAGAGGTCAGACGATGATCATTATAACCCGGACCTGAACGCCGAAACACCGACTTTTAAAGGCTCTCCTATTTCTGCAACATCGAAACAACATGACGAAGGAGCAGAGGGAGAGTCACAGAAATCGGTTGATAGTGACTGGTTTGTCTGGGAACTCCTGGGAGTCGCGATATCGGGTGGTATCCTAGTTGCCACAGTCGTCATCCTTGCCTCGCTCAACAACACACCTGAACCAAAGTGGAAGTACATGTCTCTCAACTCGTTGATTTCCTGGTTGAGCACCGTCTCAAAGGGCTGCCTTATATCTGCCATTAGCGGGGTGCTAGGCCAGTTGAAGTGGACATGGTTCAAGCAGGCATCGCGACCCCTACCAGACCTTCGTCAATTTGACACGGCGAGTCGAGGATTTTATGGCGCTATCCAGTTGATATGGAGATTACGTGCTAGGTAGGCCATGCTCATTAGCTTAGAGTTTTTCCAGACTAACACGATGGACAGGCATTTTGCGGTCTGGGGCTGCTTGGCTGTTATCCTGGCGTTGGGATATGATCCATTTGTGCAGAATCTAGTTCACTATCAACAAAAAATGGTTGTGGATTCATCAAAACCTGCTTTTGTGGCAAATTCATCCATATACAATGCTTATGGATTTCAGTATGTGCTTACGGGTAGTGGACGTAGGTCAAAACAAAAGAAACATATTACCTGTGGCTTGGATTGACGATATGACAGAGAACAAAATGGTCGATTCTGAACTCAAATCGAATGTATACAATTCTCTTCTAAACCGCGACCAAAAGAGACCTTGGGCAATTCCTCAGTATTCCTGCAGCTCAGCAAATTGCACATGGGGTGCTGTTGCATCGTTGGAAACCCGCGCACTCTGCGCAAACATCACTGAGCACCTCGCCAAGTCATGTAAAGTGACCGATGAATATGGCTTTTCAGATACGAGCTGCAATGTCACCCTCCCCAAAAGCAACGTAAAAGCATCCTTTAAGGGGGTCACATCGGCCACTACATTCAGTGCATTCGTTAGCTCTGCAGTTGGTCCGGATGCAGCCTTGGTATTTACCAATGCGACAATGTTTCCAATACAGTTTATTACTCCCCGACTCGCAAATATCTCAGTACTTGCGGATCCAATTATGAACCAAGGATTGTCATTGGGCAGTGACGCATGGGAGGCAACGGAATGCGTCATTGAGCCTGTCGTACGCCTTTCTAGGCCCTCTGTCCGGAACAATGTCTTCACCGATGACACACTAGCGATCTGGAATACTGCGACTGCCAATAACGAGACAGGACGGTACTTTAATCCACCCTGGGGAGATGATATGGGTGTGCAACCTAACCAAACCTTTATACTTGAGAGGGAAGCAGAATTTGCTATCAGGGCGTTTTTAATAAACATTTTGAGTGGCGGGTTCTCGCACAATCCATTACATCAATCATATGGAGCGACAAGTGACAATATGGAGTACGCCGCATCCGACATCCTTCAGGCCCTTGGACGGGAAGATATTGTTGGATGTAGTAGCGAGTCAGCGATCAGGTTGAGATGCGCCATGGAAAACATTGCAGCAGCAATCTCCAAAACCTTTCGAGACACCATGTACATCCAGGCAGCTTCGAAGCTGGAAAACGCGAACATGACACCAGGTCATGTTCTGACCAGTGTGACATATGTCTCGATTCACTGGCAATGGATTGTATTACCCGTACTTGTTTGGATACTCGGGGCTGTCGCGCTGGTAGGGACTTTCTGGAAGACACGGCGGACGCGAGTGCCCAAGTGGAGGAATGATCCATTGCCTTTACTATTTCTTTATCGGCATGAGACCGGTGATGCACAGAGATATGAATTACTTGAACAGATTGATTCTGGCGAGCTAAATACCCTGCGTGGAAGGCTGCACGACGTTGACGGAAACTTAAATATAGGATGATGAGAAGTAATCAATTATGTGACAATCAGCTAGTAAGAGAGAACGCATTGGATAGTAGAAGGATCGGTTGGATTTCAGAACTTAGGTCGTACTATTGCGAGATGCCCTTAGGATCGAAGCCTATACCGATAGTGCCGGAATCAGCTGTTATCGCAGCATGCAGTGCGGACGTAAATCTGAATATGAATCCAGACAAGCATACTAATATGGGTGCTGCGAGACTGAGGTATCCATAGCCATAAGAACGAAGGCTCATGACCAGCGAAGAATCGGAGATTTATCAGTCGTAAGTTTGGGATACATATTGACCAATGACAACTACCTATCGGGCGCATATGCCCACCAAGAGGGAGAGTATTGAAATCTCCAGATGAAGGCACACTCTTCCTGAGCTGCTCCACATATTCCACTTTAAGGGAGCTCACCCTTCGAATCCCCTGACGAAGAGTCCGGGGAAAAATCGCTGCTTCGACGCCCTCGTTTAGTTTCCCTTTTCCTCGCAACTTATCCTTCATCTTCCGAGCTTGGCTGTTCCGGCGGAGTTTGAGGCCGACGACGCTTTCCAGCTCCCGGGCGTAGTCGATTGATAGAGCCCTGCAGTAGCATCTGCCCTGGCTGTTCTTCTTTGGCGCGGGGAAGGAAGTCACAAAGCTGCGTCGATGTTATGGAAAAATCTTGATTGAGACTAGTGAGCCCCTGTGAGAGTTCCTGGGTTGCGAAGTCCCTCAAGGACAGTCGGAGCGCTGTTTCTTCGATCGGAAGGCCGCAATCAGTCCGAAATGGCTGTAACAGTCAGCAACTAAAACTCGGAAAGATTGTCACTCATATGGTACGTACCAGCGCGTCGATAGTAGCGGTCGCTTGAAGCTCCTCCTTACCATCCAAGG